CTCGCCAAGTTCAGTTCTGCCTACACCTTGGCTTTCCTGATCCCATGTCTGCAAGCCTAGACGGCATCCCTGTATTCTTCCCAGGTGACACGCCCTTGTTTACAGAGCTTGTGCGCACCTGTCTTTGTTTTTAAAGACAGTATCCCAGAGGATCTTGGCCAACAGTCCATTGAACAGCTTAAAGGTAGCTCTTCCAAAGTTCAGGGTCCTGACGCCACTCTTTGCCAGGCCCACATCCCTTGAGATAACGAACTCAACCAGGGCATGATCACTGCAGCCCAGGCTGCCTCCAACCTTAACACCTGTAATGATTTCCTCCACATTGGTGAGCAGCAGGTCCAGCAACGCTTCACTTCTGATCGGTCTGTCCAATACTTGGACCAGAAAGGTATCATCAGTGGATTCCAGGAGCCTCCTGGACCTCTTACAGCTTGCTATGTGGTCTTTCCAACAGATATCTGGATGGTTGAAGTCCTCCATCAGGACGAGAGCCCATGAGCATGATGCTTTCCACATCTGAAGCAAGAAATCCTCATCAACAGTCTCCCCTTGATCCGGCCTGTAGTATACGCCTGTCACCAGCTGGCCTTTGTTAGACCCGTCCCTAATTCTAACCCACAGGTCTCAACCTGTTCCTGACCGTTTCTTAGAGGGACCTCCTCACAGTCTATCCACTCTTTGACATACAAGGGCAACTTTCCCACCCTTTCTACCTCTCCTATCCCTTCTAAAGAGCCGATACCCCTCAATGATGGTATTCCTGTTAGAACATAAAATAGCTGTTAAAAAGTATTTTTAGAAGAGGTCTCTTTCCTGCGTGTAATCAGTGTAGGAAACACAAGTCTTTCAGTCACACTATCCTTGTTGGTAGATCTGTCAGCAGAACAGGAAGAGAAGAGATGATATAAGGGTATACTTTTAAACTTGTAGGGAAAGTGAACTTTTTCTTTTTTTACCTTTTAGTGTGGGCAGAATTCTTTCCTTACCATTTTTTTTTCCTTGAAAGTGGCTGAACTGTTTTCAATAAATATATGTTATATGAAAGTATACGTTACAGTTTTTCAAAAAGCACTAGATTTTCTGCTAAGAGTTTGGCAAAAGCTACAAACAATAGAAAAATGAGATTAATGGTGAGAAGCTTGATTCCCTGTTTCATTTCTTTCAGTAGGTTCCATATGTTGGTCTGAGTAAATTTTTCTTAAAGATAAAGATTCATACTTTAAAAAAAAAGCCTTTGGAGCATGGGAATGACTAATGAAAGACCAACGCTCAGCAAGATTGAAATGTAGCTCTGTTATAAAAATTTAGATTATTCCTTAAATGTAAAATTAGGATCTTCTGAAGTTAAATATTAGGGAAACCCTTACATTTCACACAATGGAAAGAACTGCAGTAACTTGTAAAAAGACAAAAGAGTAATATATTTAATATAGAGGTTAAAGAGAGGAGATCTTTGTATAAAATAAAACCTTGTCTGAGCAGTATGATTTCTCTCTGTACAAACTAAAATTCTTGTATTTAAGTTATAGTAAGAGAATTAGACAGAAGGAGAGTACAGTGTCTGTAAGTTAATACTAACTAATGCTATGCAATTCATCTTTCACAGATTGTCATACTGAAGGGCAGAATATTCTCTTCACTGATGGAGAGTATGTTAATCAAATAGCAGCATCTAGAGATGTAAGTGTTACATACAATGGGCAAATGATTTTTACTTCTCACATTATTCCTTTATTTTATAACATGTACACAATTTCCTCTTTGTTTAATATTTGTCTTTTTCTTGGCTAACTCAACTAAGGAATAAATCTATGTAGCTAAAATTCACGAGAAGCTGCCATTTATGTTTTTTATATTCGCACAGTTTTGATTTGAGATGGAATGTGATTTTTCAAATAAGTTTTAACAACAACTAAATTGCTGTTTTTGGGAAAAAAACTCACACATGGAATAATATCTTTTTAATGTATTCTACTGGGGCACTGTGGGATAAGCTGCTCAGTGCAATTTTTCTTTTAAATTCATTTTCTTTAATTGCTTTTGTAGTTGTTGGAGAATTTCACACAAATTTAATAGAAGAAGTAGCAAAGATACTATTTTAAATGAAAATTGACTGTTGGCCGAAGCTGTGCGATCCCAAATATGTGCTTATGTGAGGGGCAAATCAGTTTTAGGTTTTGTATGTTTTGTGTATCAGGTAGTTATTACATGAGTAATTCTGGACCAGTCACTGATTTTACCTGGGGCTGTAATACGAATGGGGAACGGTAGACAAGAGATACGGATCATGACCTTATAAGGAAAACCCATTATTGCCAGTTCTCCTGTTAAAACAGCTTGTTTGTAACATGACCAGTTTAACATATTTCCTTTCTGCTTGTTATTTGTTGTTGTTGTTTTACAAAAAACTCACAAAACTTTTTTTAGATACTATTTGAAAAAGTAAGTAGTCTCCCTTAAAACTGCAACTATAAATTTGAGTTGTAAATCAGGAGAAGCTGAGGGCTTAAAAGGTGTGTGAATATACATGTGCATAGTTGTAAAAGCAGAGTTTCTTTGATAAGGTTCAGAACTAATTATTTCTGTAGCAAATCACTATTTTCATAGTAAATTCAAATATTTTACCATGTCAGATACTTCTCTTCAGCTCATGCTGTTTGCCTTTCCTTTTTTTTTCCTTCTGTACTAGCTGTTACTTTATCTGTGTATCTTCTGATAACTGAATCTGATACAGTTTTATACTGATGGACTTAGGCTCTGAAAAGTAAATCACCATATTTATTATTCAATGTAAAGTGGATATTTTATTTATTGCAGGATGGCTTTGTAGTGCGAATATTTGCAACAAGTACTGAGCCAGTGCTGCAACAAGAACTGCAGCTTAAGCTTGCAAGAAAATGCTTACATGCCTGTGGCATCTCATTGTTTGATCTGGAGAAAGACTTGCACATTATCAGTAAGTTCTTTTCTTTGAAGTTTAATTATAAGCTAATAATTAAAATAGGAATACTGAAACCCTGCCCGTTCCCTTTGTTTGCCTTCATTATGTGAAGGAAAATATAACTCCATTATAAATGAAGAGAAGCATAAATCTTTGAAGCAGCTTAAACACACATTTTGAACCACAGTGTTTTTGTCTGCAGTGCTATCTGCAATTTTCCATTATTTAGTTTATAATATGTATAACACTATTTGAAGCTTAGAGTTGATCATAGGGCTCATATAACATATAGTTAAGCTACAGAATTCCTTGCTCTGGGTCAAAGTTTACAGAATTTATAAGGACTGCAGTCTGGATTCATTGGAACAAATGCAAAGATACTAACATATCTGGAAACCAAATCGCTATCAGAATTTTTGAGATGCAGAACTCCTGGTATCTAAGAAGGTAGTTCAGAGAAATTACTTGACATTTGCTTAGCTCTTTTGCTAATTCAGCTGTCGAAACAAAAGAATATTTGGCCATATGGACCTTTTGTCTGACCAGGTGCAGTTGTTCTTATGCTAGTGCTTTTTTCCTCTTTGGACAGCTCTATTACATCTAGCCCAGTAAGCCTTGTTGTGGCAGCAAAAGTTTGTTTCTATTGTAACTTTGTTTAGAACCTTTGTTTTGACAAACACTTCCTGTTGGAGTTAGGTCCATAAACTAGTCTGTGAAACTGCTTGGTAAAACTGGCTAACAGTTCCTTCCTTACACAGGTACAGGGTTTGATGAGGAATCAGCTGTCCTTGGTGCTGGAAGAGAGTTTGCACTTATGAAAACTGCTAGTGGAAAGGTACTAAAAATGTACTTCTTGGTTTTCATCTGTTTAAGTTGGCTGTTTAAGCATGACCTAATAATAAGACCTAGTGAAAGATGTCTAGTCTGTAAGTGTTCTCAGAGGTTAATACACTCATTCTACTGTTGAGTGGCATAGTTCTAGTGGAAGCTTTTTTTGTTCATATCACTGGTTTTATATTTGTTCAAGTGAAATAGTGTGTTATATTACTGTTCATGTACTCACTTTGTTGAAAATAAGCTTTAAAAAGACTTATTAAGCATCTTCTTTTTCTGTACCTAAGTTATCAAATCAAACAAATATGAAAAATAACTACAGTACAGTAGATAGCACACTTTAAAGGAAGTAAAATCTGATCAGAATGCTTCCTCCATTAAACAAAATTTCATATGTCTAGAATATCAGGATAGGTTCTGTACATTTTGAAATGTCAGGCTTTTAAAACAGTGCAGCTTAAAAAATGATGTACAGTGAAGTATTGTGGCATAACTGAAAATGATATACCATTTTCTCCTAGATTTATTATACTGGTAAATATCAGAGCCTTGGAATCAAACAAGGTGGTCCTTCAGCAGGAAAATGGGTTGAACTACCCATCACAAAATCTCCAAAGATTATTCAGTTCTCTGTTGGACACGATGGTTCACATGCCTTACTTGTTGCGGATGATGGAAGTATATTCTTCACAGGTTCTGCTAGTAAAGGAGAGGATGGTGAATCAAGTATGTGCAATGTTTTCTTGACTAGTGGATGGTAAAAGCCTTCTAATCACTTTTTCATTTCATAGGGATGTTGTTGATACTTTCCAAGAACATGGAAGCATGTTGGTAGGAGTTATGTAATAGATAAGTGATTAATACACCATTCAAAAAAGTGTTCCTATCAAAGTAATTACGACATACGAAAAAGATCAAAGGTGTGATCACAAAAGTTGATATTGTGAATCATAGAATCATTTGAGTTGGAAGAGTCCTTTAAAGGTAATCTAGTCCAACTAGTCAAGTAGTACAACACAGTGCAGATGACGCAGTCTAGGAGGTTTCTGGAGTGTATGGAGGATAACTTTCTGATGCAGCTGGTGAGAGAGCCAACAGGAGGAGCTGCCCCGGTAGACCTGCTGTTCGCAAACAGCAAAGGTCAGACCAGGTATCCTCAGGGGACTCCACTCTCTGACCTCGTAGTCTTGACTGGGGTGCGGACAGAATCCCCTGCAATTTGGGAGGATGCAGTCAGAAACCTACTGGACGGTCATAAGTCCATGGGGCCAGATGGGATTCACCCGAGAGTGCTGAGGGAACTGGCAGAGGTGACAGCCGAGCCACTTGCCATTATTTATCAGTGCTCCTTGTTGACTGGTGAGGTCCCAGAAGACTGGAGGCTTGCCAATGTGACTCCCGTCTACAAGAAGGGTTGTAAGGAGGATCTGGGGAATTACAGGCCTGTTAGCCTAACCTTGGTGCCAGGGAAGGTTATGGAGCAGATTGTCTTGAGGGACATCACGCGGCATGTGCGGGACAACCGGGTGATCAGGCCTAGCCAGCATGGGTTCACAAAGGGCAGGTCCTGCTTGACCAACCTGATCTCCTTCTATAATCTAGTGACCTGTCTGGTAGACAAGGGAAAGGCTGTTGGTGTAGTCTACCTAGACTTCAGCAAGGCCTTTGACATTGTCTTCCACAATATTGTCCTGCAAAAGCTGGCAGCCCGTGGCTTGATAGGTACACTCTTGGCTGGATAAGGAACTGGCTGGAAGGCCGGGCCCAGAGAGTGGTAGTGAACGGAGCTAAATACAGCTGGCGACAGGTCATGAGTGGTGTTCCCAGGGGTCATGCTGGGGCCTGTCCCCTTCAATATCTTTATTGATGACCTGGATGAGGGCACTGAGTGCACCCTCAGTAAGTTTGCGGATGACACCAAGTTGTCTGGAAGTGTCAATCTGCCTGGGGGTAGTGAGGCCCTGCAGAGGGATCTGGACAGGCTGGATATCTGGGCTGAAGCCAATGGGATGAAGTTCAACAAATGCTGGGTCCTGCACTATGGCCGCAACAACCCCAGGCAACGCTACAGGCTTGGGGCGGAGTGGCTGGAAGACTGCATAGAGGAAATGGACTTGGGGGTATTGACTGATACTGGGCTGAACATGAGCCAGCAGCGTGCCAGGTGGCCAAGAAGGCCAATGGCATCCTGGCTTGCATCAGGAATGGTGTTGCCAGCAGGAAAAGGGAAGTGATTGTCCCCCTGTACTCAGCACTGGTGAGGCCGCACCTCGAGTACTGTGTCCAGTTTTGGGCCCCTCACTGCAAGAAAGACATTGAGGCCCTGGAGCATGTTCAAAGTAGGGCGACAAAGCTGGTGAGGAGTCTGGAGCAGTGGCCTTATGAGGAATGGCTGAAGGATCTGGGATTGTTCAGTCTGGAGAAGAGGAGGCTCAGGGGAGACCTTATTGCTCTCTGTTAACTACCTGAAGGGAGGTAGTAGTGAGCTGGGGGTAGGCCTCTTCTCTCCTGTCACTGGTGATAGAACTAGAGGGAAATGGCTTCACGCTGTGCCAGGGGAGATTTAGGCTGGACGTTATGAAATACTACTTTTCTGAAAGAGTGGTCAGGCACTGGAATGGGCTGCCCAGGGAGGTCGTGGAGTCACTGACCCTGGAGGTGTTCAAGGAACGTTTGGATTTTGTTGAGGGATATGATTTAGTGAGAACTATTGGTGATAGGTGGATGATTGGACTGGATGATCTTGGAAGGTCTTTTCCAACCTTGGTGATTCTGTGATTCTTTTATTCTGTTATTCCTCTGCAATGAACAGGGACATCCAACACTAGATCAGGTTGCTCAAAGCCCCATCCAGCCTGACCTTGCATGTCTTCAAGGATGGAGCTTACACCATATCTCTGCTGGGCAACCTGTTCCAATACCTCACCACCATTATTGCAAAAAAACCTTTTCGCTTATATCTAACACAAATCTAAAGCTTGAAACTATTTCCTCTCGTTCTATCACAATAGACCGTTGTTTCCTGTAGCTCCCCTTTAGATACTGAAAGGCTGCTATCAGGTCACCTCGGACCTTCCCTTCTCCAGGCTGGACAGCCCCAGCTCTCTCAGCCTGTCCTTGTAGAAGAAGTGTTCAATCCCTTAGATCATTTTTGTGGCTCTCCTCTGGACGTGCTCTAATAGGCTTATGTCTCTCCTGCACTGAGGAGTCCTTTTACACTTTCAAGGAAAAATTGGATATTGTGTTTCAATAACGCTTCCCTTATGTATTTCCTTATAATAACGCTCCCAACATTTAACCGTAAATGTTGTTGAGTTTGAAATTTATCCCATTAATGTGCTCGGAGTAGAGGATGTTAGTTGTATTGCTCTTGTATGAAAGTCCATGGATGTCAAACTTATTATAATTCACAGTAAACTTGAAGAGTCCTAAATGCAAACCTGCTGAAAAAAAATGTGGGACAAAATCATACTTCTTCAGTGAAGTAAGAGTAAATTTAAGAGATCTAATCATCTTAGGCAAGAATACTTCAGGAAAAAAAAAAAAAAAAAAGTACAAGCAGAAATTTCAAGATTTCTTCGAGCAGTTATTTGTAAGTTATCTGTAATATAATTTAATTGTATCTTTTTCTTATATATTAAATTAATATTCAATTTCAGATGAAACAGTAGTTAAGTACTTTGGAGTAAATTCCTGATGCTGTTTTTCTTTACATTAAGGAAGTTGAAGTGGGTCTTAGCATTAGATCTTCGTACTAGAGTATAAGATCAGGATCTTGATCAAGGTCTCTCTCAATTCTTTTAAAAGTTCAACTCTGTTTATACTAATCTGGTTCTCTATCACCCTCTGAGTTGGATTAGAATGAAATGCACAAACTTTATAATTTTTTCTAATTTTTTTAAAGCTGGGCAAGGTAATTGTGTTTCTGTCTGCAGAGTCTATGTGCCTGCTTTCTGTAGATAGTTGGTAACTCAGCATTTAGAGGTTACAGTTGTCTGATTTGGATGCAAATTGACAGCCCGGGACACCTGGGCACACAGTAATAGCTATTAGTTGTTTATTCTGTTCTTTAGCTGTGTTTTTACTGTTTTGTTTAAGGATAGAGTGCAAACAATCAACACTTTTATTATTTTTTTAAGTTAATAGTTATAAAACAAATGCTGTTGTGTCCTCAAAATTTTTTTGTGGAATAACATGTGATTTATTTATTTAAAGCAAAAAGCAGACGACAGTCAAAACCGTATAAGCCTAAAAAAATAATCAAAATGGAAGGAAAGATTGTGATATCTACAGCTTGCAATAATGGAAGCAGTTCTGTAATTTCAAAAGACGGAGAACTCTACATGTTTGGAAAAGATGCCATTTACTCTGATAGTACAAGTAAGCTAATACTTGTTTTAAGCAATTTCTCAAATAGAGTAATTTAAATTAGTCTGGAAAGCTTCAGCCTGTGGAAATTATGTTTGTATTTCTTACTCTCCTAATAGACTTCTGAATTTCTGCTGATTCAGCCAGGTATGACAGAAGGATAGAAAGACAAGACAGTTTCCTTAAGTTACATAAAAATATGTATATAGGAGCACTGGAGAATTTGCTTGCACAAAGGGAAAAAAAATACATTAGTTGTATATTTAAAGTATTAGTTGTATATGTGTATTAGTTGCACATTAGACAGCGACACAGGAAAGTCAGAAATGAGACATATTCTGAACAAAGCATGCAGGAAACCAGGCCTTACAAATTTCTTTACTCACAACTCTGCAGAGAAATTTGCTTGTGATCCAGTACATACAAATTTAAATAATTTTCTAAAGAAATAAAATTCAGTGTGATTATTATGACTCTTTTAGAATTGTTTTCATGAATTGTTTTTGACTTTTCTCTTTTTGCAGGACATGCGATCAAGGGCTAATTCTCTTTTCACTTCTTACTCTAGCACTTGTTTTGTCTATCAGTTATTCTTGTCTTACCATTAATTTATAAATTGTCAGTGTTCATTAGCAATTATGTTATATTATGGAAGTTTTCATCTCAGGTAAAAAGTACAATCTACCATTCAGCTGATCTATGTCATATAGGTTTGGTAACAGATTTGAAAGGCCATTTTGTGACTCAAGTAGCCATGGGGAAAGCTCACACCTGTGTGCTAATGAAGAATGGAGAAGTTTGGACATTTGGTGTAAATAATAAAGGACAATGTGGACGAGACACGGGCTCCATGAGCCAAGGAGGAAAAGGTAAGGAACCTAGGTTTTTCCTTTTGTTTTGTGTGCTGAAAAATATTACAAGCAAAAACATAACTAAAAGTATTTTATCTAACTGTAGTTCTGAATCTAAGTTTAATACAGTATGCTTTCAAAAAAACCAAAAACACACAAAAAACCCGCCACCACCAACAAAAAAAACCAAGCATGTGTGAATGTTTTTACTTCATCTCTTGGGCATTTGGCATTTTGCATGTACTAGTAAACTTAGCAGTGTAAAATAATTACTTCTGTTTTACTGGTGAAAAAGCTTTTCTTTAAAACAAATTAATAAAACAAGATCTTATGACTCTTTGTCTTACTATGTGCATTTGTCCTAGTAACAAAAAAAAGTTCAACCATCATTCACATTTCATCTAGTGTCTGCTTTGTTTGCATAAACAGTGCATGGATTCAAGTCTACATCTTTCTGCATTCATTTGAATATATCACTTACTCCAAAATGCAGATATGAAAAATTTGTCCTTCACCTTTGCAGAATTGGAATATTTTATAAATGACAAGTAAATGACCTGTTACTTGTATACAGAATAAAAATGTTTAATTTCCCTTTTAGTTGTGAAGCCTAAATATCAGCTCCAGCCCAAGTTTGGATAGATTTCAGAAATTTAGTTGTGCCAAATATGAATGTGAATCAGGCATTGCTAATCATTCCTTTTAAAATCTGATTTGTGAGTGTTCTTCAAATTTTCTTCATTAGCCACTATTAAGCTCAGAAAACAGCTCTTTCTTGTTTCACTGTCTTTGTTAGGCTTTGGAGTTGAGAACATGGCAACAGCAATGGATGAAGATTTAGAAGAGGAACTGGATGAAAAAGATGAGAAATCCATGATGTGCCCTCCAGGCATGCATAAATGGAAGCTGGAGCAGTGCATGGTGTGCACTGTTTGTGGAGACTGCACAGGCTATGGAGCTAGCTGTGTTAGTAGTGGCCGTCCTGACAGAGTTCCTGGAGGGTGAGCAAATATATGGAAATATACTCAGTATAGATGGTTGAACAGGCAAATTGTATTGAATTTAAACTAAACTGATGTATTCTTAAATTTAAATCTAATATAACATTATATCTGAAGATGGGTATGTGCGTTCAAAATTAGAAACCACATACAAATTTACAAAACTTAATTTGTAAATATCTTGTAGTGGTTACATGTTATTTAATTCTAAATGCATTTTTTATATCCTGTAGGATATATTTTGTTTTACTAAAAGCTGTTGAATATGGGCAGTAACATTGTCTGTCTTGTGACAGACATGTCTCTTGAATGGCATTTATAGAACAGAGTTATTATCAGGCACAGTCAATATGAATTCATGAAGGGAAAGGCCTGTATTAGTAATTTGATCTTCTATAATAAAGTCAGTGGCTTAGTGATTGAAGGGTAGGCAGTGAACATAACCTTTCTAGATTTTAGTAAGGCTTTTGATAACAGTCCCTTGTAGCATCTTTTTGGATAGTTGGAGTTTAATAGGTTCATGTTACACTTAGTGGTGAACTGGCTGAACTGCAAAGCTCAGAGGTTTTTAGTGAATGAGGCTTCATCTGGTTGACAGCTAGTCACCAGCAGTGTTCCACAGGGCTCAGTTCTCTGTCCAGTTCTATTCAACATTCTATCAGTGATTTTGGATGCAGGAGTTTGGTTGCATCCCTAGCATGTTTGCTGATGATACAAAATGGGAAAGTTCTGTTCATTCTATGGAGGATTTAGAAAGACCTACATAAAGTGGAGCATTGGAAAATCAACAATGATATGAAATTCAACAAATGTAAATTCTGGATACTGCACCTGGGACAGGATAGTGCCAGACACAGGGGCAGACTGGGAGAAGAGTGATTAGATAGTAGTCTTCCAGAAAGGTCCTTGGGGTGCTGACTGCAGGCCCAGTCTGAGCTAACTGCATGCCTGAGCATCCAAGAAGGCAAAACTCATAGCCAGGTGGTCAGAAGAGATATTTCTCCTGTTGTACTTAGCATTATTGTGGCCTCAGTTTGAATATTGTGTACAGATCTGGGCACAGTATAAAAAGGATGTGAAGATATTTGAGTGTGTCAAGAGGAGAGCAACAAAGCTGTGGTCTGGAAAGCACGTCCTGTGGGGAGAGGCTGAGAACACTTGGACTGTCCATTTTGGAGAAGATGAGGCCAAGAGGCGACCTCACTACTCTCTACAACTCCCTGAGCAGAGAGCCAAGCTCTGCTCTGTGGTAACCAATGATAGAATGTGAGAGAACAAAGCTGCGCCAGAGGGATTCAGGCTGAGCATTAGAGAAAATTTTTTACTGTGTGAGTGGTCAAACAGTGAAACAGGCTTCCTAGCAAGGTGATTGATGCTTCACACCTGTCAGTGTTCAAGAGGCATTTAAGCAACACTCTTAATAAGCTCTTTTGGTTAGCCCTGGAGTGATCGATCAGGCATTGGACTTGATGATCCTTATAGGTCCCTTCCAACTCAACATGTTTTGTTGACAGGGCTTTGGGATGACCTTTTTGTCCTACAGTAGAAGTTTTTATCTTTCTTTTCTGTTTGCTTTTATCTGTTACTAAAGAATTGAGCTGCATAAAGAGTCACTGCTTTGCACTGCATGTGTTTGCCATTTTCTTGTATGTATTTTCCCATAGTATGCTTTTAATTAATTGAAAAAAAGTTAATGCTGAAAAGTCAGTTTGGATGTGTATTGTCAATGTACGCTTCCAGGAACAATGCAACAGCATCTAGAATTTAAAGTAGCTACATTATCTGTTAATCATGGGAAGAATTATGTTATAGGTTTGTTCTATCTGTGGGCATGTTTTAATTACCAAGGCATTAGTGATGCATGAAAATAAAAGGTATTGACAGAGCAACTCTGTTTGATGCAGAATCTGTGGCTGTGGCTCAGGTGAGTCGGGCTGTGCTGTATGTGGCTGCTGCAAGGCATGTGCTAGAGAACTGGATGGCCAGGAGGCAAGGCAAAGAGGAATCCTTGATGCTGTAAAAGAGATGATACCTTTAGATCTCTTATTAGGTAAGTGATACAAAATTATTAAGATGACTTTTAATTTTCTTGCTTATTACATTTTTCTTTCCAGTTGAAGTGTTTTTATTTTTTTATTATTATTTTTGTGGTTTTTTTTTCTTTTGATACTTCTGTTTGAAATCTTTCAGTAAAAGCAGTCCTGCTACAGTCTTCTGAAACTTGAGTTGGAGTAACAGGCTAATGTAGAAATAGGTTTGTTCTTTCAGTTAGGACTCATTTTACATTTTCATTTTTCTGTGTTCTGTGATAAAACTTTGTATCTTAACTAATGCAGTTTCTTCCTTGGAAGCAAATTATTGAACTTCTGGACTTACATGATAGCTCTAATATGTTAGTGTTAAAATACATAAATATAGCTGATCAGGCAAATTTATTCATTTATTGGTAATGTGGAAAAATGGGATTGTTTTGGTAAGTAAGAAACATTCTAAATTTTGTATTACTGCAGGCATGAGTGTGCCATTTTGACCTGTGTGGTTAGGATGCTGTTTCACTTGCCTGTTTTTGATAGCCTGACAGTATTTCAGTGTTTTTGCAGAGACAGAAAAGTTATTTCAGCGTTTTTGCAGACACTGTTTCTTGAGAATTTTTTTTCTTCTATCGGAAATGTTTGGATAAAATATGTTGCCAGGATTATGGAGATCACTTCAGACCTGCACACAAAGACACATGAATCATAGAATCTTTATTGGAAGAGACCCATAAAGGTCATCTGGTCCAACTCCCTTGCCATGAACAGGCATCTCTACAGCTACATCAGGTGGCTCAGAGCCTAGTCCAGACTGGCCTTGAATGTCTGCAAGGATGGGGCTGCCACTGTATCTTTGGGCAACCTGTTGAACACCAGCTTAAGTCTTACTTTTTTCTGAAATCTGTTATCACAAGATTTTAATATTGCATTCTCTGTACTTAGAACTGGATAGTTAGAGGTCTGGGGAGACTTTGTTAGGCCCAACAAAGGCCCTTCCTTATTTTTTTTTTTTGTAGTTAAGTTTACGTACAGATCATAATGCTTCATGAAAGTAGTATCTAATATAGAAAAGGACCATAAAGCAATCACATGGTTAAAATATTTGTTCAACTTTTTTTTTTTTCTTTTCCTCTGAAAACTAGGCATAGAAAATCCTACGCTATACTTTGAACGTGGGATTTTTTTTCCATGTTAAATAGAATCTGGAAGTGATGAGTTATTCTAATTCTAAGGGCCCCCTGAGGTTACAGAAGTAGGTTTATGCTGCATTGCACTGACAGTGAATGTGACAGCAGCAGCGCTGCTTACTAGCTCTATTCTCATGCATGGCATAGTAGTGTTCCATGCAAGATGTGGAACATCCACAGGGCGCATAATAGGAACAACCACAGGGCACATTGCAAGGGTTGGAGTGATGTCAGGGTCTGTTGCAATGCTCAGAACAGCTGCAGAGCCTGTTGCAGAAATTGGGGCTGCTGCAAAGTTTCTCAGGAGTTGGAGAGTCTGTTGCATTGTCATCAGATCCAGAAATATTCTTCTTCCCTTGAGGATGCTGAATAGTTTTCAACGGAGCTTGATAGGCATACGCCAGGCCCTGGCATGCTGCAGTGATTTGTGTCTCTTTACGATATTCTACTAGTTTTTCAGTATTCTTTTGTTGTTCAGAGGTACAGCTGCAAATTACTGGGGGTGCCCACTGCTCTAGGCACCTGCCCATTCCATCCCATCCTGCCTTAGGGCATATCTCTGGGTGACATTCTTAAATAATTATTTAATCTTAAACATAATCTGAAACACATTCATAACACATTGTATTAGGGGCGCACTGGTTTGAACATCCCTTGGATATTCAAAATTCTCAAGAGCTATTGTAATTAGCTCTTGAGCTCTACAGAAAGAAGGAAAAGTGAAAGGGAGGAACTGCTGGAAAGAGTCCTCCCTTATCTCTTCCATAACTGGGCTTCTTGAGGAGACAAATTAGAGTATAATTACTAATAGTATCAACATTATGGCTCCCAAAACCCAAAGCATTAGTTTCTTTGCTGCCAATTTTATCATGAGATAAGCCAAGACCACACAGCCTAGCAAAATAAAGACCTTAATCCAACCCCCAGAGATGACAAACAACACAGCAGGGGAAATAAGCAGAAAGCAAGGTGCTTCAAAATATAGTTGCATGAGAAGTCTCTTATAGAGCTCCATAAGTAGGAAAAAAATCAACAGCAGTTATCAAACTATCACAACATGCTCTGGCTTGATCTGCTGTTATCTCAACCCTTTGAGCTCCATGTTGAGCGCCAAATTAACTGTTGTGGTTTAACCTAGCTGGTGGCTCAGCACCACACAGTTGTTTACTCACTCAATCCCTTCCCAGTGGGGTGAGGGGAGAGAATCAAGAAAAGCAAAGTAGAACTCGTGAGTTGAGATATAGCTATTAAGCTAGAGAAAAGGAAAAGGATAATAGTTGTGACTATATATATATATAAAAGTGTGTGTGTGTGTATATGTGTATATATGTGTATATAAATATATATATACAAATGTATGTAACAAGTGATGCACAAGCAATTGCTCACTGCTCCCCAACCAATGACCTGCTGGTTTCCCTGAGCAGCGGAAGGCAGAGAGATGAACTCCCACTCCCTTCAAAACTCTTTTTGCATTGGTGTCATATGGTATGGAATATACCTTTAGCCAGTTTGGGTCAACTGTCCTAATTCTGTTGCTTTGCAGCTCCTTGGGCTATTCGCTGCAAATGGCCTTGTCTCTATACAACACTGCATAGCAGCAACCTTAAATATCAGTGTGTTATCAACATTGTTTTTCTCCTGGAACCAAAGATGTAGCATCATACCAGACAATAAGGAAAACAATTCAATCCCAGCTGAAACTAAGCCAAGGAGTTAAGTTTTTTGTACTTTCTTCTGCTTTGCTAACTCCTTTTTTAGCAGGATAGACACCTCTTGGCCCTATGTTGTGCCTGCCATAGTTTGAGGGGAAGACATTGAATTGATTGAGCCATATTTTCCCGGGGAAAAGCAAAAGTGCTTCAAGGTGCAGTTTTTTATTTGATATCAGGAGCAGGATACACCTGGTCGGGTAAATGTCAGAATTTATGTAAAGATGTATGTGTATATTAAAGTAATTGAATGTTTTTTATTAAGCACATAGCATATGATGGTAAAGTATTTAAGTATGTATTTAAAATGTTTTTAATATGTAACTTGGTTATATCTTAAAATACAGTTTACATTATATTTTATGTTTGTTTATTATTGTTTTGTATTTATTAATAATCGTTTCTGAAACTTTATGGGGAAAAATTGATATCCATGCTAATCTGCAGTTTTATAGAGAGAAAGTACTAAATGCTATTCAGTGAAGTTGGAACTCTGGCATACTAGTGGAAATCAGGAAATTCAACAGTAAGGCTTAAAACTCTTGATAAAATTTGCTCATCTCTGCTGTCCTTCTCTAAATATTGTGCAAGAACTATATAAAGGACTAGTAGTAAGTAGGCTTCGGTTTCCATTTACTAAAACTCTATTAAGGTTTATTGCTCTCATAACAATTTAAAAATTTTTTTAAAGTGTATTGTTTTCTTAACTAATGTAGCTGTCCCAGTTCCTGGAGTTAATATTGAAGAACACCTACAGTTACGGCAAGAAGAAAAGCGGCAGCGTGTAAATAGGAGACACAGACTGGAAGAAGGAAGGGGTACGTGACTTGATGAGAGGCTTGAACTGACTAAGGAAACTTAGCCTATGTTCTAAGAATGGGAATTAACTGACTTTGCTTAAGTAGATGAGTACATTAACCAAACAAAAATCAGAACCTAAAAAACTAGTTAGTTATGTAGCCTGCTTTTGAAAAATTGTGAAAATCTATATGTTTGTCTAAGTGGAGAAAAGCAGTGTTTTATATGAATCGCAGAATCATGGATTTGCAGTGGTTGGAAGGTATCTCAAAATATCAAGTCCAACTCCCCTGCTAAAGCAGGCTCCCTACAATAGGCCGCATGGGTAGGTGTCTGGGTAGGTCTTGAATATCTCCATAGAGGGAGACTCTACAACCTCTCTGGGCAACCTGTTCCAGAGCTTTAAAATTACTTTACTATTATCAATTTAAATTTTTTGCTGATTTGCAATTAAATAGTAGCTTTCATTTTTAATGTAAATGCTTAAACTGACAATGTAGAAAGTTAAAAAGCCTGCAAGATCATACATTGCTCATTATCTATAGTATGAATTATTTATTATAAGTTACTATAATTCATCAATGGATTTCTACAGTATAATAGTAAGCAAAATTTCTTGTTTTGCAAAATGAAATTTTTTCTACGTAAGTAGCCCAAAGCAATCCAGTATGTTGACTGAATTAAAACAGATGAAAAACACTGGAGCATTTCAAAATTTGCTTTTTTTGTGTATTATCTACGTCAGGAATTATTGTTGGAATCTTATACAGAACTGTGTTCTAACAAGCCTTCAGTACTGCTCTTGTTTTAAATATTTCAGAGTCTTAATCTGGTAAATAAATAAAGTTGAGAGACTTTAGACTGATACAACTGATATTTTAGTGAAGTGTGCGGATGTGGTTGGTGACATTCTTGTGTGTTGAGAGGAGGAGCAGCAGTGCTGAAATTTTGTACTGTATAAGCTTCTGCTGTTTTGGCAAATCCATTTTGATTATGTCACTAATGTATGATTTAAATTTTTAAAAATAATGCCTTTTCAGAATTTGCTACTGTTTTTTTTTTCCCGAGATATCAAGTGTGCATTGTGATTGAACTTGTTTTCTAAAGTCCAAGCCACCAAACTTTGTGGGGCAATTTTTGACTTTGTTTCATCTGCCTTCAAGAAATTACTAGCTTTATCATGAGTAAGGACCAACGGAGAAGAGAGAAACTATGGATGTAGAGAAGGGCAGAATATTTATTTTTCTTTGAATGTTTGCAATTGATTTTAGCTTTGAGGTAGTAAGGGAAGCTTTTATTCTTCTGTCTGCATACTGCAGTGTTAATGCTAGGGACAGCTAGAAATACTGAAGTGTCTTAGAAGGGTGTTCATGACAGAGCTGGGAAGAAAATTTTCATTTTAAGGGGGAAGGTTGGAACAAAAAGAGAAGAACAACATTCCATTGTGTTTCCATTTCTGTGGTTGGAAATAGAACTAGCACAGCTTGTCCACTTTGTGTGCTGTCTTTTAAACAAAGATATTCTGGATCTGTGTTTCAGATGATCCATGTATTTTCACTGTCAGTTTGATAGGGTGTAGAGGGACTGTACTTAAGATGATATTGCTGGCCAGCTTGTTGCATACACCTGTATTATCTGTGTGAAAGAGAATTGTAATTCTGTATCTCCGTGGATATTGGAGGTGGTCTGGGTATCTCTGGCTGAAAGAGTGCAGATTAATTTCCTTTTAGAATGGTTTGTGCTCTAAAGCTGAGAATATTTTATCACAAAGACTTAGGACAAATCCTGATTTATACAGCCAGGTATTGCCAGATGAAAAATTTGGAGTTTTGTTAATTCTTCATCTAGATGTGTAGTTTTCCATTAGCTGGGGGAGAGAGTAGGACTATGCTTGAGAACTCTTACATCATTCTTCTCTTTCTTGAGAGACACTGGGAACGTTTAAATATTTATCACATAATGATTTAGATATGCAAAAGGTTTTGCAACCTGAAAAACCGTAGATGATAATTGTTAAGATGCAAATTTTGTGTGTAATTAACCAAGATTTTAGCTTTTGATGCCAATGCAGAAAGGAAAAAATATTTTCTTTCAATCTTATTCTACCTGGAATAGTAATAATAATAATAATAAAGAATATTCACTAATTTTAGTTAAAGCTGTTGAGTATTGAGACAATATTAACTGACGCTGCCTGCATTTGAACTATTTTAGATTATCCCGAAGTGTAGATAATTCAGTTATTTCAGTAATTAGTTTTACTTTGGTAGACCAAGTATTTAAATACTATTATTTAAAATGCATTCATCAGCAATGGCATTCTTTGTTCATTGCCAAACGCACTTAAATACGAATTCTGTTCTATATGCAATCTTTTTCATTTAAAATTAGTGCAGCTTCTTTCCATAATTTTAATTAATTATGCTGATGCTTTCATGACCCGGAAGTTATATTTGTTTCTAAGTTTCTTAAAAACTTTTTACTTAAAGTTGTATCAAACTCATTGATGACTTTGTTTTTAAGAAAGCTTTCAAGAGGAAGTTGTGTATGTTTGTCCTCAATTACCAGAAAATATGAAATTTACATCTGAAAATTACATTAGTATACTTGAGTTGGTGACTTCTGTCTGAAAGGGATGATGAGTACTAATAAGGACAAAATATAAATATTTCTACTTTATAAATACAGTTTTAGAACTCAGATTTGCCTCAGACTTTATTAGCACATTGTCCAATGTTTTAGTTTAACTTATATGTACATATATAGAGAAATGCATCTTTCATATTTGTTTAATAATATGTAAATGATGAAATATTCAGAAGAGAGAAAGTGCCTAAATTAATATTATTAATACAACTTATGTTTAAGTTTTACCATTCGTCAAATTGTCCTGTACACTCATATTGGCTTGTCTGCATATCTTTAAAAAGTTCTAATGATTTTTCTTTCCCATCTGTTTTATTTATAAGTTGTCAGTAGAAAAGTTCTTTAAGAACACAGGAAGAGAAATGTAATCTGTTATTGCTTTCAGTGTTTTAAAGAAAAGAAGCAAGCATAGCAGTGGGCAGTAAAACAAAAATTAACCTTAGTGTCTGCATCACAGTGTCATTGTACGTGACTATTTCTGCGGGGAGATGTTACTTGTCCAAAAAAAACCATAAAAGAAATGTGCACCGTTACCAGTTATCCCTACCTTGTTAGGAATATTAAGGTGTTATGTTTGTTTTTTTGTTTGTTTTGTTTTGTTTTTTACCATAAAGCATGTAGTCTGTTTTGTTTTTTGATCACCTTTTAAGTTTGCCTAATGTTGAGCTGGTTTTTTTTTTTCTATATTAAGAATTTGTCTCCATATATTGTTTTTAATTATCTGTTTTTTTTCTTACAAGTATTCAAGTGGGCAAAAATAGAGTTTTACAGTGGAAAGTACCATCATTTATTAACAATCTACAGAAGAGCTACTGTGTTTAAAAAAACATGAACTGTGAAATCAAACACTGATGAGTTAAGGAACAGCAGAATAGAGATTGCCTGCGCAGCCTTAATTTTTACTGCTTGTGTAAAGCAGTACTTTCTGATGCAACTTCTGATTACATAATTGTGTACTATGTTTTCAGGTAACCTGCTACATTCAGTGCATTGATCTTCATCATATGGCCATTTGAAATAATTGATTTCAGTCTTTTTTAATCACAGCCAGCCAAAGAGTAGTTGTGTAGGGAGAGATACTAAAAAAAATATGCTTAAGACAGACTTTAACAGAAAACTCTATGGAAGTTCTGCCTAAGTGCTAAGATGGACTAGAATGCAGAAGCACATGTGTGTATGTATGATCTTAATTCACTGCCAGACAAAGATCATCTTGAAAGGCCTGGATCCTGTAGAACACATTCCGGGGGGGGGAAGCTAATCTTGATGTTTCTAAAGGGAGAAAATGAATATCATTTACATCATAAAGCAACTGATTTAAAATAGCAGCACTGCGGTCTGCTAGTGACTCCCCTTATGTTTGTAACCTGAGCTACTAAAAATAACTGACTAATAGGTTATTTCTCTTGTACATCTACATTAGAGACTTCTAGAGGAGTTTTTCAAGTACTGTTCTGCATTTTTAACAAAATAAAGGAAGCATCTGATGTATGGCTGCAGTGTTACACCAGAGCAGTTAATAGTACCTAAACTTTGCTCTCTATATACAGACAACCTTGTTTGTAAGTACAGAGCGAATAGGGTCTTTGTAAATAGTTCTTGTGGTTTGTTTCCCATATTTGTTTGGAGGGGAGGAGGTCCTTCACAGCACATGACTGAACATGCAGGCTTCATATCATATCATATCATATCATATCATATCATATCAGGCTTCATCAGTATGTAGGTGTTTCCTATTATATTCTCATTAACAGGTCACAGATCTAACATTTTCTTACATGTTTGATACAAATTATTAAGAAATGAAGAAATACAGCATTTAACTTATTTTAAACTTGAGTTCTTCAGCTAACTGATGGGAATGTGGAGGATATAGAAATATCCAGAAGCAAAGATAAATTCTGCTTTGGTCAGAATATCAGGCACTGTTACAGAGCCATACTGACTAGGGGATCATGGCTTGGCAATTGTAAGCAGCAGTGTGGTAGCTGTATGCTGGAGCTGCCATTATTTAGTGCATCCCCAATATTTTCTGTCTCCCAGACTTCCTATAATTCTTTTACTCACCCTAGCATACTTCACTTCCTTCTGACCTCCTATAATTCTCTCTTTTTATGCTATATTTGCTCTTAACACCACAGTGCCCAAGATTGCCTTCGGGGCTGCATCTGCATCTTGTCTCCTGGGCTGTATGCTATACAGGTGTTTTCAGGAACTGTGGAATTTTTTGCCTAAATTATCTGGAGATCATGTTTTCTGTTTGATTTTCCACAAAGATCTTAGACGTAAATGCTTCAACCCGCTCTCTTTGTATTTCTTGAATATATATTTATATATATATATATATATATTTTTTTTTTCACAAATGTTTTCTAATCTGAGTTACACTTTTATCACCCCATTAGATCCATTCTCTGTTTCATTGGCTTTTCATTTAATTGGAAACTGAGTAGTAAGCAACTCCCAGTCTTCCATTGCTATCATTTTAAAACTCCAGTCTAGTTTCTCCTGCTATTCATCAAGTTTAGCTCTATATCTTTTGTCCTCCAAACTTTCCTAGCTTTCATAACCCACCTGTCATTTCTTTTTCCCCTTTATTGACTTTTTTCCACATCTGCATCTCCCCTCCGACTTGGAATGCTGAAAAATAACATTTTTGTGTGAATCTAACATAAGGAAGTGAGATGCTAAGCACAGCAAGTGACCTGGCAGATGGTAATCTTTATAAAAAATGTTAACTGAGAATATGGGGTAGTATTATGTATCTGTTAAACAGAAGCTCTGATTGAGAGGAGACTGTGAAAAGCAGTAAAAAAAGCAAGACAATTAGAGGAAGAATCTGCATGATGATGGTAAATCAGATGATGATCCTTGGTCATCAGAAGTTAGTTCTTAATTAACAAGTGAACCTATTGTAGTTGAATTAGAATGAAGAGACTCCAGGTAAGCATGGTAGAATTTAAATAAAAATCTATGCTGTATGTAAAAACATAAACAATTTTTGAGATTTTTGGCCATTATGTTAGCTAGCACTTGTAGGAAACATAAAGCTAGGAGGAAAGGCAGTAGTTGATTTTTAAGACAACTTATAGATCTGATGGATTAAAGTGAACAGCAGGAAACATGAGACAATGGACATTAATGGAAAGTTAGCCTAAATTAATTTATCAATAAAGATTAGCTAAGAAAATAGAGTATTGATAATCTTGGGGATGAAGAAAGTGCATTTATTTTTTAAGTTTCACATAAGACATTCAGAACGTGTCACTAAGCCTGATTTGGGATTTTTTTTGTTTTGTTTTGTTTTTCTTTTAAAAAGTCTTTTTATGGACTGGGTTTGGAGTCTTGTGGAATAGTGGCAGATGTATTAGTTGCTCATGATTCATGATTTCCACTGAATGTCAGATTACCAGAAGTAAGAGATGCTTCTAAAGAAATTCCTGATGGCAGATTAATTTAACCTTTGAATTATACCAGAAAATACAAATTGAAGCAACAAATTGCTTTTCTGTGATGCACACAGAATTATCTTCAGCAGTACTTACATCTAGATTTTTAAATTTGGAGGAAATGTTAAATAAATACATCACTGCTTTCTTCAACTGTGAATCTTCTCTTAAAAGGTGAGACCTTTATATAGATGGGAAACATTCGAAGAATAAATTAAATGGATTACAAAATTGTTAAAAGATCAGAAAAAATCATATGATTTGAATAATTTTGTTCATATAACACACATTTTTGGATTGCAATTTCCTTTATGATAATAACTTAAATGTAAGCATGATAACGACGAATATTTATGTGATTGTGCTGTTTATTTTATATTTAGCATTGATAGGGTATTATTATTCTAAATTAGCAGTTTTAAAAGTAATATTTTAGAATGTAAGTCATGATTATTAATCTTCTAACTTATTAAAGACAGCAGTGTGTATTTATTGTCATTATGAGCCCACCTTTCCATTACTTGGAGTACAGTTGCATACTTAGAAATTCAGGTTAAGCTGTTACTGTGGGATATTCACTGTTTCTTTCAATAATATTCTAATTTTATTGTCAAGAAATAATCACTTCTTTCTGAATTTAGAGAAACAAGTTTATTATATAATTTTTTTCTATTGATTTTAATTTTAATTTTGTTTAACACACTGTTTTCATTTTGTGAGCTTTCCTATGCATGTGCAAAATGTTTCTCCTCAGGCCCCCTTGTATTTCCTGGTCCTATTTTTATGAACCATCGAGAACAGGCTCTAGCCAGAATCAGACCCCATCCAGCACAGCTAAAGCCTAAGCGGGACAAGCACAAAGGTATTTGGTCTTCCTTATTGGCTAGGGTGGAAAAAGCTGATACTCCCACCTTACCTCTTCCATGCACTCAATCTCTCTTCTCAAAGCAATGCAAAAAATGGCTTCTGCCTTTCTTCTTGTTAGTATTTTGTTACCTGAGGAGAAAGAGAACACATTTGTATGTTGACTTTTTAAAAAAAATTGTAAATGTTTGGTAGTCTGCATCATCTTTGTTTTCCTTTGCTTTTTCTCTTTTTTTTACTGAAAAATTTGTTGTTTTTCTGGGTCTTCTCTCATTTCTGAAGCTATTTCATTCCTGAAGTTCTTGAAGTTTGCTGTAGGAAACTTTAACACCTTCCTGTGTCTCAACTGTCACATTTGCACTGTGGTTGGTGTTTTTTCTTTTTGTTTTTGAACTTGTGCAATGTAACTGGGGTGATTCCTGCAACCTATCAACTCAAGTTTTTAATTCTAGACTAGAATATTTCATTGTTAAGCCATCTATTAACAAGACTTTTTTACCGAAACAAGATATTTGAAATAATATAAATTGCACTTTTTTTCAGAATTTAAGTAAGGAGACGTTTTTGGCATTTATGGCACTTCCTTTTGTCTGGAAGGCCAACTCATTAAAACTAATTTTGAAACATGGACTTTATTCAACTGTCTGCATATATCTGTATCTATATATAAATGCGTGTGTATTTATAGACAAAGAATATGTATGTAAAGTCTAGATTATAGATGTGATCTTAAGTAAACAAAGTTCTAAAATGGTAGGGGTCTAGAATGTTTCAATTTTTTTTTTTTTTTTTTTAAATAGCTAATTGTTAGAATGACTTTTCAGTTGAATTAATGGAAAGTAGTTGTTTGCATATGTGCAGAGAAATTGTATGACAGTTTGAAGCCTTTCTGGATATGACAGTGCATGAATGTGGTCTATCTAATTATGAAGGTACCAATTCAGGAAATTATCTCAAGTCCACTTTAGAGAAATGAAAGCAGAATTTGATCCTTTGTTTTTGCGTTTCTTTTCAGTTTACTATATAAAATCTGAGCATCAACTACTTTTTTAAATTTAAAAATATCTATCTTAATCCCACTGGTAGAGATTTCATGTTGAAAGACAAAACACACAGAATCTGCTGTCAGTGACGATCAACTAATAACCACTTTTCTTGAACTAGGTATTTCTGCTAGTTGTACTGCTTGCAAAACCTCGACTCTACAGGGAAGTGCATAACAGAATATATTTGTCCTACCAATGTCTGTTCTTTTATGGCATATTTTATTAGTTGGAACTCCCTTTAGCTCTGGGTATCTATCTCACATATATCCTTATTAGAGGTTTGTGCATTATTCTCAATTTGAGGTTGGCATTATTTCTTGAGAGTTTGCTAGCACGATGCAAAGGCCTGTATTGTGCTGAAACCTGACAGACATGCTCCATAGAATTGACCATTTAGTTCTTTCTATTTCATGCTGAACAGGTTAGGTTGATTTGTCTCATGTAATGTCTTTACAAGTAAACATTGAGAGCTGTTGGAAGATGGCTCCCCTAAAGAAGATCATAAATTCCACTATAAACTAGAAATCTCCCCTGACTTCTAGAGGAGCTCTCAAGGGAAAATGAAAAACTTGTGAAGTAAGTTGCTATCAAAATAATGGAATTGTGAAAAGCAGAAGAGACATACCTCATCTTAAAAGACATTCCTCATTTGCTTCTCTGACAAGATAAAATCAGGAATCTCAAGCAATCTGAGCCAGAGATGTTAATTTCAGGAAAAGGACATTATGACATTGAAATCAGTATGTTCTTTCATCTTACTTTTGAACGTTATATTTTCCAAGCCAGCATTTTAACTTCAGACATTTCTTTTAAAGTGGTCTTGTAACAATTCACATCACCTTAAAGATTTCTGACAGGGAAAAATCATTTCAACTGGTGGTACTGAAGAGCACAATACTAAACTTGCCTATACCTATTCCTGCTTCCTAGTCTGCAACTGTAGAACTTTTCTTTAATGATATTTATTTAAAATTGAACATGAACAGCTGCTTCAGGGCTGACAGTTGTGGCCTAATTTGAATCTTGTACAGTGGTATATTACCAAATCTAAATGGCTTTTGTTTGGGGAACTCTTTTGAAATGCTCACTTAAAAATTTATATAGTTTCATTGTCCTGAGGAGAAGTACCTGTGGGCCCTGGTGGATGAAAAACTGAACATGAACCAGCAGTGTGCTCTTGCAGCTTGGAATGCCAAATGATATCCTGGGCTCCATCAGAAGAAAGATGGCCAGCAGGAGCAGAGAGGTGATTGTCCCCCTCTACTTTGCCCTCGTGAGGCCCCATCTGCAGTGCTGTGTCCAGGTCCGGAGCCCCCAGTACACAGAAGATGTGGAGTTGTTGGAGAGGGTCCAAAGGAGGGCCATGATGATGATCAGAGGTTTGGAGAACCTCCCTACAAAGACAGGCTGATGGAGCTGGACTTCTTCAGCCCTGAGAAGAGAAGGCTGTGAGACCTCATTGCAGCACTCCGGTATTTAAAAGATTATAAAAAGGAGGGAAATCAACTTTTTACTCAGGTAGATAGTGATAGGACCAGTAGGAATGATTTTAAGCTCAAGGAGTGAAGGTTTAGATTGGGCGTCAGGGAGAAGTTCTTCACAGAGAGTGGTGAGGTGCTGGGAAAGGCTGCCCTGAGAGGCTTTGGTACCCCATCTCTGGAGGAGTTCAAGACCAGGTTGGATGGGATCCTAGACAACCTGATCTAGTACTAGATCTGGAGGTTGGTGGCCCTGCCTGTGGCAGGGGGTTTGAACTTGATGATCCTTGAGGTCCCTTCCAACTCAAGCCATTCTATGATTCTGTGATTCATCATGAATTCACTTATTTTATGGAAAACTTGCCATTGCCATCTACTTATTTCACATTTTCGAAGTATACGTATCAAGAATTTTCTTATTACCAAAACTGTATATTAAACATCATCATAAACTTTCTGATCTATATCTGCATCTCCATCACAAATTCAGATGGAAGAATAGATATCGTGTTCTTCGGTAATCACGGAGTACTTCGAAACTAAGAATCTGCTTGTCCTTTATTCTCATTTTTCAACAAGGTAGTGACTTCTTGTCCTTGTTTCAGCTGAAAAAGTACTGATGGCTCACTGATGTTAGTTATTGCTGAGTGATGAGTTCACTGGGCCAGGCTGGGCCAGTTGGCAGGGAAGGGCTGCTGCCATGATGGCACAGGGCAGGGGATGGGGTGGAGCCAGGACAGGTGGGTGAGTTAGTCCAAGGGTTGTTTCATACCATGTGACACCATGTCAAAAGCTGTAAAGATGTGGGCTGTTGGCCTGAGCTGTCTACTGCTCAAGGATTGGCTGGATGTCAGTAAACAGGGAATGAGATATTGTGTTGCTGGCAAAGCATCTGGTGGCAGGCAGTTCCTTCTTCCTCTTCTGTCATAGTAAATAGTTTTTATCTCAACCCAGTTCTCTTTTGTTTCCATTTCTTTCCCTTATCCTACCTGGTAGGGAGGGGGTGAGCAAACGGTTGTGTGGCTCACAGTGCTGTAGTTAAACCACACTTCCCACTCTGTATCTACAGACTCTGGAGATTTCATCTTTGGGAACCTTATGTAGCAAAGATTAATAATAGTTTGCAGAAGTCTGTATGTTGAGTGAAGTTGAAGTGAGTTTCTCGAGTCAGTTAAGGTTTTGTAGCAAATTCTCCTGTTTCCCTGTATTTGAGAGCAGTGATACTTAAATAAATAAATAAATAAATAAATAAATAAATAAATAGATTTAGAAATATATATGTATGTATATTTACACAATTCTAAAGACATATGAAAACAAAAACCAATACTGTCAAAAGGATAGGCTAGAAAGAGCTGAACTTCTATGGATGGAACACGTTATGTATAAATGATTTTTTAAATGCTGATACAAAACTGTTGAAGAAAATTTCACTGTAATTTACTTTTTAACAGTTTAGGGATAAGGATATAGTAGCTTGAACACTTATTGGAGCCAGGTTATATTTTAAGTAAAATATTTGCAATTTTTAAGTAGTGTAGTGCTCAGTGTTCACATTTCCACTAATAATTCTTTAGGAAACAGTTTGGGAATTATAAATTAACTGCACCTTGAATGCTTTTAACAGCAGTTGTTCCCCTGTATCAAAAATTTTAATGAAGCAGTAGCTGGTCAGAATTTACCACAGAATCAATAGTAGAATCTCTTGGGTGTAGTTATTATACATGTTCATCCATTTTTCTCCTCTTACTAGAGAAACTTTTTTAATTTAAAAGGATTTTGTAAAAGAACAGTAGTTACGGGTGTTTACTAGTTCATTTGGCTAATGTGTGCGTGTATACTGCAGTCATATGATATTTTTCAATATGAAAATGCACTTTCTTTAGAGTTTTTATTGCCAGCTTTTTTTGCAGATATAGATGTTTTAATGGTGATGAATATGCTCTCTGTCATGTTTTTTTTCTGCAAGTACTATGAAACCAATTTCCTTTGTGACCCTGCATCTAATTGTTAGCAGACTTTTATATTGTTTTCTGAAGGAGAGTGGCTTTCAAGATGCTCGTGAACAAAACAATTATTTGTCACTTCTGTACTTTTATCTGATGCAAGGACTGTTTTACTATAGGAACAAATAGCACGCTTCATTCTTTATGAAAGAAACCACAGCATGTCTAGAAATGCATCAGGTATAGTAGTAGTGGGTATGTCAGTGTTGTTAGGCATACTCGTCACATAGTATCAGAGAGTTAATTATGTAAAACAAGGACTATATGGCCAGGTTGGAGTTAAGTAAAATTGTTAACAAATACTGAATAAATGAGACCAGGGTATACTTACCGTGGTCAATTACAGTGCTTTCTGTGTAATTGATAATATTATTTTCTTGAAGAACAAAAGTGATGGTTATTAAACAAAAATTCTGAAGTTATTTCAGTGTCCTGTTTTGCTCATTGTTCTTGTCTGCTCTTTGGAAGCTTCTGCTTTAGAGGATGTGTTATTTTCCTTTTATGTGTGTAACTTTGATGCAGCAGATTGTTTAGGAGTAGAGTTTCTGTAATCTTTCACATCTACTTTGATTCTTTGTCTTGAGCTGTTTCTTTCAATATTCTGTGAGTTCCTTCTCATACCTTACAAATGGCGGGGGTGGTTGCTTACTATTCTCATTCTTTCTTCTAACACAACGTTTTTAGAAGATACAGGATATAATTATAAGTTTTGTTTATAGACGGAAGTGGAGAAAGAGGTGAGAAGGATGCAAGCAAAATTACAACCTATCCACCAGGGGCTGTTCGCTTTGACTGTGAGCTGCGAGCTGTACAAGTCAGTTGTGGATTTCACCATTCAGGTAAAAATAAATAAATTTATTGGATTGTGTGTTTTTTGTTTGCTTGTTTGTTTGTTTTTAATGTTCTGATACATGTTTTCACTACCTTCTGTTTAATGTTCAATAGGGATACACATGGAAAGGTTGAAAAAGGTTGCAGTATTATTTTCTAGCCTAATATGCTGTCCTTTGCAAGGGATTAAAAATATCATATATAGAATTATATTTAAGCTTTTAAGGAATTTAGGAATTTTTGAGCCATTTTATAACATCTACATGGCACATCTGCATACCTCTCTAGTGATACTAGCTGTGGTGGATTGTGGAAGATTGTGTTTAGTAGGGATTGTTAACTGTGCTGCTCAGAAAGACTAACTGGCATTCATGCATGTTAGCTTGGATATCTCTGAAAAATACTGATGTTTTTGTTTGTTTTCAGTGATTTTGATGGAGAATGGTGATGTTTACACATTTGGATATGGACAGCATGGGCAACTTGGACATGGTGATGTAAATTCCAGGTAAGCTGATGATTACAAGACAAGATTGCATTCTGTTGTGCTGCTGTTTAAAGAGTGGCTAAATTTTTCCATTACTCTCTAGCTAGGAAGAGGGAAAATTCATATATTGTCCAAATTAGGTTTATCAACTCTCATTTTGTATTTATTCCCCATAATCTTTCTGGGTAGATAGACTGTTAGCAGCAACCATACTGTTGTTCTGTGTAGGTAATTTGTTTAATACATGAAAGTTTGTATGCGTAGCTTTGATAATTGGGTTTAAAATGCACATCTCTGTGCATACAAGAGAGAATTGTATTGAAATATCTTTAAGGTTTTGATTATGTCTGGAAAATATTACATATGCAATAATTCAAATAGTGTAAAGTTGTAAACTTAGATTAATATGCTTCTCTTACATTACTAGCAGTAATTCACTTATTATTCTTTTTGTTTGTAATTAATAATAATAATAAAACTTCTTTTTGTTTATAATTAATCTTCAAAAGTAAGTCTGTATGTATGAGTTTCAGTTGCATTTTGTATATGCTTATAGCATGAAAGTGACTTGTGGGTTTTTGTGGTCAGTGGAAATAAAAGAAGTCAACAGAGTTGACTGTCTGACTAACCAGATGCTGCTTATCTACTTCAGATATGCTCAGTAACTGTAAAATATCTTGACTTGATCTCCATTGACTACAGTGAGAGCACAGACAACTACATATAGGTGGCTATAATGGGAAGCTGAATTTTCACCCTTAATATCTCATCTGCTCACACAAGTTGGCAATCAGAGTACTACTATAAAAAGGAATTCAATAGTGTTGTTCTTTGCGCGCATACATTCTGTATATGGGATTTTGAATAGCAGGAATTATTGAGGATTTGCTTCTGTTCAGTAATGCCCAGTATCCATATGAAAAAGGCATATAGAGTACAGCATCTATGATCTGTCTTCAGTTCTCTTGTTTCTCTTGTAGTAGTGAGATGAAATTGCTTGTACATCTGTCCTCCTAATCTCTTTTGAGACTTCCAAATCATTTCTCTTGTCAAGTTTCTGGAGAAATCATCTTCATCTTAAAATTTTAATTGTATTTGCTAAACAAAGGTAGAGAGGGAAGGAAGGATGAAGGTTTATTGGAAACATTACTTTGCATTGGTTGCTGTGCCTGTTGGTATTCTTTAAACTGTTACCCTTACTCAGTCTGCATTGGATTGGTGAATGCAGTCTATGTTTGTGAGTATGGTAGAGCCGTATCACAAATAAATACTCCTTTTAGTTCCTGAAAATTCATGTATACTTGAGGCTACAGCTACTTTAGTAAGCACTTCAAGTCAATACTAGAATAAGGTTGGATTTTCTTTTAAAGACAAAGAGATACAATAGTAAGCGGCATTTCTACTGGTAACTATGTCCCATTTCCAACTGATGAAATCACTTCGCTTTTTTGAGGATATCAGGTCTATCTGCCCTATTTGTCAGAATTCCAGGCAGTAAATACCACATTTGTTGCTTATTTAGACAGAAACTAGATGGAAACTGGATTTTTTTTCTAGATGAAATCCTGGAAGAGAACGTGAAACATCCTATGTCAAAGGATAGTACCTGACCTGTTCTAGAAGTTGAGAAGGTACAAGCAGCTTGGCACTGACCTTTGTATCGTTCTACAGGATATCGCAGACTGTGTCTGAAAAAAGCCTTGAAGAAACTAGGCATATGTCCTGTGCATGAGAACTGGCTATAAGTACTATATTGCTGTCTAGCACCATCATTCAGATGATGATTTCCTCATTGATGTACTTCTTTTTCCAGCTTTTAAGTAGAGATCACTCCTCTGTCCTCACAGTAAGGGACTCAGAAAAGGAAACAGGGAAACCTTATGCAGAGTTCCACCTCAGTTGGGACGCACTGGTGCTCAGATGGCCAGCTCCAGCCAGGTCAGTGTTATGTCAGTCATGCAGTGTGTCACATTGCCTGTATTGACCTCAGGAAGACCATCGTCTTCTGAATCAAAGAACTGATCATCTACTGTGTTTCCAGGAGAGGGAAAAAAAGGGAGAAAAAAAATGAGGACATACAATATAGATAGTTTAGCTAACATATGGGGCCCCGAAAACAAGAACTGGCAGGACTTGCAGCAGTTGTCATTTTCATCTGAGTCAGCCATCTTCATTACCAGATAATGTAATGATGTAAGTTTCTGGGCAGCAACTGATGACGTATCCTTTCCGAAACTTCTGAGTTGCAGCATAAAGATTAAGTATTGAGTCTTGTAAATGTTTAATAGTTTTGAATTCTGCACACGTGTCCAGACATATCTTTCTCCTTATTAAGATGATTCTGAACTCCTGCTTTAGGAGGTTTGTAGTGGTAAACACTACAAATTCTTCCTGCCACTTCAGTAAGAATGAGGCATATTACATACCCTAGAAAGATTTCAGACAATTTTGTATGTTCACAAGCCAACAAAATAGCAGATGAGCAGGATGATATGATTCTCTATAAACTTATTACTACAACGGAATTACTGAACTATTACTAGAAATAGTATGGAGGAGTAAGCAGCATGCACAAGGTAGTGTTAGTTTTTTTCTCCAACTAAAACTTGAGTCACTCACAGTTGGATCACTTATGGATGCAAATGATCTGGGAGTTCCTGGGTTCCTGGGAGATCGTTTTTTCCATATCAGCATACTAGGGTTATTAAACTAATCTGACTAGACTTTGTGTTGTAAAGATCTGAGCAGTAGGTGTTGATGAGATATTTACTCCATGAGGAATGTAATAGCCTCTTCTTACTCCCTCTTCAAAGTAGTTACAAAATGGGTGAATAGAAACTCAATGGAAGCAAGAAACACTTTGCGATATCTACTCTTGGTAAAAAAAATCTTGTATTTGGGTAAGCAAAGGGGTTGTTTCTTGCTGCTGTTTCTTTCAAGAAGCACTGACTTAAAGTTTACTATTCAAACTTTGCCTGAGTTTCTTATTCCAGCTGTTGATTTCAGCACTACTTTAACAAGCACATGACATGGAAGTAAAATTCCAGTAACGAGACCACTGAAGTAGGACAGTACTCATATATCTTTGTTTCCAAAGGGTCAATAATAACAAGGCAGAATTAATTGAGCATACCTTCCATGGACAGCCATCTATGTTCTATTTGTAGACAAAGTGTAAAGATTATGCCCTATTAATATTTTCAGAACATGTTGCATAAGGCTCTATTTCTAGTTGCCTTGTCTGATTAATTTGCTTCAGTGGTGTTGTGCAGGTCTTATTTACATATTTCCTCTGAACATTCAGTTATGTCTAAAATCTAAAAATCTCCACCTTCTTACCCCTGCACTGTCCAACTCTGCCTGTAATTGAGTTTTTCTGTTTTCCTTTGACACACTGCACAGTAACAGCCCTCGGAGAACCTGTATTTGCAGCACCACGGTCAGCAACCTCAAGTGAAATTCTATTGCACTTCACAGCCAGTTCTGGCTGGGCAAGTACCATGGACAGCGATCATTCAAACAGCTACTGTAGGATGTATTTTCAGAGACCAAATCTGCTGCCAGAAATGCTTACCCTTCAGGACAGAGGAGGGTTTCTGTGTGGGTAGCTGGAATTGTATTTGGATGTTCTGTGAGATCTTGAGTTACCTGATGTATGGGTATCTGCTGTTTTTTCACTCAGCAATCTGAAGTTACTCCAAGAGATCTCTCTCAGGTTGCAGCGTATATAGTTGAGTTTGCCTATGTCAAGTGCCTGCATCTTATCCAGAACCACATCTTTCATCACTATCTGAGAAGAATAATTCTCAAATGTAGAAAGTCTACTTGGCAAGACTTTTGCGAAAGGGTCTCCCACACTCCTAATTGTCTACATGCAGTTGTTCTCTTTTGAGTTTCCATGGGATAGGAAAATACTCAATTGTATCACAGATTTTAAACTCTGTGTAAGTGACTTAAGCCTAGTTATTGTATTTTACCAGTTACTTCCTCCTTCTATGAAGAGAAAAATATTAATGTTCTGCAGTTTTACTGTATTTTTGATGTAGTTAAGTGCCTTAGAATTTTCCTGTTCATTTCTGTTGTAGATACACCATTTCAAAATATGAGTTGTCTTAATAAAAGGGCTATATAAGAATAACATGCTAAGTATGCCTATGTTAATAGCTTCTTCACTTTTGCTCTGCTGCAACTAAGCAAATTATTGGATTTAGTTATTGGAATAGATATGATATTGTGAAATTAGAACGCCAAAAACCTTTCTGGTCATCTGTACAATAGGATTCACAGAAACATGCACTTGAAGTGAGAAGCAACTCTTATTCTTTGAAATTTTTCATGTCTCCCATACAGTTTACTCATAACCCTCTCAGAGTCGTAAAGTCATCATGGGGTTTATACTGCAAGAAAGCTGAAGAAAACTTGTAGCTTCTGGCTCTTGAATCTCTTATGTTCACATTTATGGTTCCATACCTACAGCTTTTACAATGATGAAGGGTGAAAAAAATGCATTCACATTTTTGAAAGTTTAAAAAAATCTTCTGTGGGAATTTCCTTCTAACAGGAATGCTTTTGTATTTGTTTTTAATTAGATTATTTTTTATGGTTTGGTGCCTTTTTAAGCTTTCTTAAAGATTTTAAAATGTTTTGTCATTATTGCTGTTAAACTTAGCTCCCTGTGTTTGTGTGTTGTCTTATTGGCGTCCTAACCCTCATGCTTTTAGGCCAACAAAGTCTTCTGAGTTTACAAATTTGTGTTGTACATCCTCTAATAAATTCTATGCTGCTTTTCATTTTCTTCATCTCCATCCACTGCAAGCGATATTTTCCACAAAGGAATTAATGATTTCTGTTACAAGTACATTCTCTCTCTTTGAGGTCATTATCCATTCTTCACATGCTTTCTGCATTTCCATGTGTCTACATCTTCCTTTCTCTTAGAATTCACAGTGTCTCTCCTTCTTCCTACTTTCTTTACTTTGGTTTTGCCTGCATCTTAGCCAGAAGAAGAACACACAGATAACCCATCTTCTTGCACAGCAGCTGCTAAACAATTGCTAGGTAAATGTAGGCTGATGATTTTTTATTCCAGAATAGGAACCTGTTCTTATTTTAGCTAAACTAGCTTTGGAAAGTAGGTGCTTAGAAGTACGTTCCTACAGTACTGCTGCTCTCTGTGGCCAAGATACCCAAACGTGGAGTTGTTCCAGAGTCACTTGGTTGTTAAATTCACATTCATTCTAAGTCTAAAGTATTTTTGATATCTACTATAGGTATACATTCATTATGGGACTCAGATTTTGATACAATTCTTCCGGGCTCCTTTGCATCCATTTTATTGTGGCTTAGATAAAAATTGTAGTTGTATCTCATAATTCATCCTTTTGTCTTTTCTTCTATTTCTATTCTGAGTAATCACTGCTACTTTTCTTTCTTGCTTCTTGCTTGTACTACTGATTTTTTTTCCTTCATTTTATTGAAATGGGAAATTGATTTTCTTAAACCTGTCCATCTTTGAGAGGCATAAATAGTAGACTTGTCCAGATCTTTCTTCTCCAAAACAGTTTGGAGAGAATTGTTCTTTCTCAAGTCAATGAATTTGATGAAGAGCAATTTTTTAATGACTTACTCTCCATTAAAAAGTTGCCGGAGGTGGGTAGACTTTCTCTTTGTTTTATAATTCTCTACCTCAGGAGGGCCATATCAGTACTGCTTCTGGTAATTGTACTAGAGTACCAGCCACATGTGGCTTTGATTGTTTCATAAATCAAACAATTTTGTTAAGTGCTTAACCAATATCATATCCTCACTACAGAATTTTTTTAATGCTACAATTCATTGCTGTATATTTTGTATGTCTATAAATATACATATACATGTTTATATGTATATGCACATACATATTACTGTAACCACAGGAGCATTAATGTAATCCTGCAGTAATATAGATTAACTATTTTTATTCCTATGTTTGATTGAAAAGGGTACCTGATCTGATTCCTTGTATCAAGAGGTCATAAACTTAAATATCTGGTACACTTTTAATGATCCTGTTCATTTAATAAGTAATTTATTGCTTGATTTTGGTACCATATGATATGTGAACATAGTGAATATATATTAGTTAGTGAAATCCTAGTAATATTAATATACTAAATGTTGAGTAATTATGTATTGAAACAAAATCAATTTCTTTTGATATAGGGGATGTCCTACTTTGGTGCAAGCATTACCAGGTCCTAGTACACAAGTTACTGCTGGAAGCAACCATACAGCTATTCTCTTAATGGATGGCCAGGTTTTCACATTTGGAAGTTTCTCAGTAAGGAAATAATAAAGTTTACTTATGGAAATAAGCTTATGATCAGTGTATTGTTCAAAGACGTTTCAAAACTGTTTGCTTATACTTGCAAGCACAGAACAACTCGTGGATGCTGCATATTTTTTAATTTATGTTTCATATTTGAAAATGGGGCCTCTAATGTTGATTTGAAGAGCATGGTGCCAGTTATTACTGATATTTTTATATTCTATAGAATGTTGGTATTTAAAATTGAATTGCTTCAAAAGATGGACAAGTTTTCTCAAACTCTTTATTGTTACAAGGTCCCTTGCAAATGAAAATCTTTTGCATATTTTATTACCAGTATTAGTTAGAAAAATATCAGGGTCATCTTTTCTTCCACAGAAATGACAGTGAGTTTCATTTACGGAAAAAGTTGTGGCTCAGTATCACTCTAGTTGGCATAACTCTAGTACTTTTCTTTCATATGCACCTAGCATGTACTCCTCATATCCATTGGAACCATTGTGTGTACTCACTGAATAAGCACTTCAAATTTGCTGAATTCCCCTTCATTTTTACTTCAGATCTTTGTCTCCTTGTCCTTGCAAGTGTTCCCTCACTACAGTTTCTCCAGAATAATTGCTGTTGATGCTTTCCTCCTAATGTCCTTTTGATAACAGCTGAAGCATAGATGTTGAATTTTTATGTTTTTTAGAACTGTCTACTGCCAAACACAACAGAAATGTCATGTATTGAAATCTGTTGTTTTACAGAAAATGAAAAAAAAATTGAAGACTTAAATTTTAGAGTTGAAAATACCATTTTTAATTAAAACTGTTCCTTAAAATGGCACTTAAATTAATTAATATTTCTCAGTTTTCAGCCTCTACGTTATAGTGTTTGTCTTTGTCAAATATGACTTTGGCACTTAAAAAAATTAAGCTTTGGCTACCCTTGAAAAATCAAATTCACTTTGAGAAGTAGAATTTAAAGACCTGTCTGCTGATAAAAAAATAAACAAATAGTTACCCAGAAACAGAACAAAAAGCTTTGATGCCATATTTAGACTACTTGTTCTATGTCTGCTCTTTCTGCTGCAGTGCTTGGAAGTTCACTGAAAACCTTATAAAGTCAGAGAAACTCAAGCCCATTACTTGTAAATGTCTTCACTAATTTTGCTTATGTATAGTTTGATGTATTCTCTTATAGCACACAGTGCCCGTTTCAAATGAAAAATTGATAAAAAATTTCTAAATAGGCAAAAATTGAGAGAAATGGAAGCAAAATATAATTTTTTTCAATATTGAGATTTTCAAGAAATGGTTTTGAAAATAATAATGTATGTTTCAATGTTTTATTTATTAATTTGGTTTTAGTTATGACTGAAGGGTAAGCATCAGTAGAAATAAGATATGTACAGATGAAAAAGTTGGACCTTACAAGTACAGCTGCTTAGAATGATCGACAATAGTATAGTACATTCATTTTATTATAGAAATACTTTACTGAAAATGGACTTACTATTTAAGACTATTCATTTGACATGTAAATAAGCAGAAAAAAGAGCATGAGTAATATGTGTCAAATATATATTGATTAGAGAGTGTTGAGGTGCTGGAACAGGTTGCTCAGAAGAGCTGTGGATGCCCTATCCCTCACTCAAGGCCAGAATGGATGGGCCCCTGGGCAGCCTGATCTAGTTTGTGGCATCCTTGCCTACAGGAGGATTGGAGCTGGATGATCTTTATCATTCCTTCCAACCCAAGCCATTCTATGACTACAAAGTGCATTAATTACATTTAGCATAACAAACAGTTATTTTTTATTCTTTATTTGATAAATTTCTGATGTTTCTTAGGTAAATAGTACATTCTCTTCAAAAATAATAATTTTTTAAAAGTGGACAAAACTTCTGGTCTTAACTGATTATGTTGTCATTAAATAACTGAAAAACCTAACTGAAAAGGGAGGAAAGCATTTGTCAAAAACTTCTATTTAAATGTATAGAGATTTTCTTAGAATAGACATTATTTTCTGAAGGTGCTTTTTCAGTAAGCTCTCTCTTCCAGATGGCTTACAGTTTTTGTGCTGAAGCTGTCTAACTTGTTCATCTTTGAGACTCACTATTAAGTACTAATTTTTTGCATTCTCTCTATAGAAAGGTCAGCTTGGTAGACCAATTCTGGATATGCCTTACTGGAATGCGAAACCAGCACCTATGCCTAATATTGGTTCTAAATATGGACGCAAAGCAACATGGATTGGAGCAAGTGGAGACCAGACTTTCCTCCGGATTGATGAAGCTCTCATTAATTCTCATGTGCTTGCTACATCAGAGATATTTGCAAGCAGGCATATAATAGGCAAGAACTCTCCTAGAATATTTTATTAAGCTTACAGAATTTTTGGAGAAAGATCATACTCAGTCATGCAAACAATAGAGGAGTAACAAGCTGAAAAAGTGAATTAAGGGAATTAAAATATTTTTACCTTCTACATATAATGCAAATGGTGATACTAGCTCCTTTAGGTAACTAATTCTATTAGAAAAAAGAGTGCAAAAGTCTGTGGATTTTTTTGTACTTCATGGATTTCCTTGCAATCTTACTGTGGTTTCGGTTTTTGCTGTTAGCAGTATTTCTTCTTCACTACTATGTGTGTTAATACTTTGTGCACAGAAAATGGCATGCAATTAGTAGAGTCTTTTTTTCTTTTTTTTCCTTTTGCTCCCTGATCCAGGTTTGGTACCAGCTTCAATATCAGAACCTCCTCCTTTTAAGTGTCTTCTGATAAACAAAGTAGATGGCAGTTGCAAAACATTCAATGATTCTGAGCAGGAAGACCTTCAAGGTTCTGGTGTGTGTCTGGATCCTGTCTATGATGTTATTTGGAGGCAAGTGTGGATTACAGCTCTAAATGTCATAATATAAAAGTGTTTTAAAAAGTATTTTGGAAGGTTGGAAATTTGATGATATTCATTTACCTAGTAAACAAAAAGCAATTTTTACTCTTTCATGCATCTTATTTAACATTTTTGGATGCTATGTTCAACTAAGGCCAAAAGAAATTATTATTCTAATTTTTCGATTTCTGTTCTTTTTGCATCATTTTCATTCAAGTATCATGGGAACCCCAATCTACTCATTTTCTGTTCTTTATTCTTTCCTGGCTTTCCTCCATCTATCTGACACTTCACTGACTAATTTCTTGACATCACAGCTTCCAAAATATTTCATCTTAGCACTCACCTCAAGTGTTAGTGATTAAGATTTGAATAGGAAAAAGGGTAGAGTAATGGTATTCTTTTAACCTCTGACATTTTGAGAAATCAGAAAAAAAGATAGTTAGATAGCTTAGGCATTCAAGTTACAGTTGTCTTTGGGAGGGGTTGCATTCAGTGGACTCTTTCAGTGGGTGTAGATCATAAACAGTTGTTCCAAAACATAATCATAATCTCAAATACTTCTATAAAAACTTGTTTTAAAACTATGTTAGCCAAGATTTGGGAGATAAAGTTAAACTGTTGCCTGTGTACAAGTGGTGGATGATGTTTAGACTCACTAGAAAACTTGGGCAAGACAGAATAGTCTTTTAAAGTTGGAGGAAAGCAGGGAACAAGCTAGTCTGCACTATCTGGAGAAGATATTGTCATGTAGATTTATGTCTTTAAAAGATCTTTAAATTGTGTCTGTAGGCTACCTGTGTTCTACTTTGGATGTCTTTATCCAAGATCAAGACATAAGAATTTAGTTGCCACTTAACACTGAAGCATGCATATTTGCTAGGCGTAATTCTTCAATACCTCTGAAGTTCCCCAAATGACTATAGTCCTGTATTGCGCACATCCCCAGGAGTGTCTGAGATTCATGATCTAGGCACCCATTCTCACTTAAATTATGCTCAGATTTGAAATAAGGAAGAGTAGCACTCACTTTCCATAACGACTCTTGGTCATGGAATGAAAGATCGGTTTGTGAATGCTGGAGTTATTCCTGGCCATGGGAAAGCCAGGAAGTTTCAGGAGAGAAAGAGGCAGGTGATACCACTCAACTTTATGTAAAATGATATTGGATGCTCAGCAGGATGAAGCTCAAATTCACATTTCACATTATAAGAAAGTAACTTAAAGATGAAATTATGGGTAAATGTGGATTGAGGTGTTCTATTGTCTTGCAGAAATTTGGGGACTTCAGAACTAAATCTAAGACTTAGGGACTTAACTGAAGTTAAGAATAGACTCTTGAAGTCTCTAGTTGCAGTCTTATTTCTGTGTTAGATTCCATGCTTGTTTAATAGAGAATACTAAAGCAATCTAAAGAGGGGACATTAATAAGTATACTCATTAGTCATAAAATATTTTATATATTTACTACTACTACTAGCCATTTTTTTCATGCCGATTTAAATAAAGGGGACACTTTCTCTGTACAGAGACAGCATTCTTGACTGCAGAAATTTTAAGGATTTTCTTCACTGTTCTGTATTTTTTTAAGTTAATATTATGATTGAAGTGAGTAAATCATTTCATGGCTTTATATGCATCTGTATATATCTGTAAAGTTACATATTGCTTAATTGTTTAAATCCTGAATAATCATAGAATCACAGAATCCTTAGAGTTGGAAGGGACCTCTGAAGGCCATCTAGTCTAACTCCCTTGCCCAGGGCCTGATCCAGCCTTGCCTTAAGTCTCCAGGGACAGGGCATCAACCACATCACTAGGTAACCTGTTCCAGTGCCTCACCATCCTCACTTTAAAATTTTTTTTTCCTTACATGTAACCTTGATCTACCCTCTTTGAGCTTGAAACCATTTACCCTTGTTCAGTCACCACAGACACTGCTAAAGTGTCTGTCCCCTTCTTTCCTGTAGTTTCCCTTTACATACTGAAAGGCCGCTATCAGGTCACCGTGCTGACAGGCCAGCTCTTCTCCAGGCTGAACAGCCCCACCTCTTTCAGCCTGTCCTCATAGGAGAGGTGTTCCATTCCATGGATCTTTTTGTAGCCCTCCTTTGGACATGCTCCAACAGGTCTGTGTCTCTCATGTACTCAGGACTGCACATCTGGACACAGTACTCCTGGTGAGGCCTCACCAGCACAGAGTAGGAGCAGGATCACCTCCCTCCACCTGCTGGCCACACTTCTTTTGATACAGCCCTGGATACAGATGACTTTCTGGGCTGGGAGAGCACAGAGCGGGTTCATGCCTTGCTTCCCATCCACCAGTAGCCTCAAGTGTTTTTTGTCAGGGCTGCACTCAATCCTTTCATCCCTCAGTTTGTATTGGTAGTGGGGGTTACCTCGACCCAGATGCAAGAATACCTGGTATCCTCTGACATCTTTAAGACTTTTTCCTTCTTGGTTGCTTATACCGTCTTAGTTCCTTTTGCATTTTAGGTGCAATGTAACAAGTGAAAATGAGTTTTCCTCTCATACATCAGCCATGTCTTCTGCTTTTTCCTTTTACATACTGATATCAAAGATGTCATTTTCTGCATATTATTTTATAGTATGAAAAGTCTTTGTATTCTCTTGTTTATGCTGCCATTTTCAATAATCCTGTAAAAACTTGGAGTGTGATGTTATACATTTAAAAAGTCCAAAATATGTTGGATTTCTCAAGATCTTTTTAAACTTACTTAAAGAGAGTACCTTTGTAGTTGTTACCTTTATCATTCTTGGGCACATCTGCCACTGTGTCTAAAGTTCTTTGCTAATAATTCATGCTGCTTAATAGACTATACCATTTTGATATTTATGAGGATTGAAAAATGTCTATATTCTGATATCTGTAAACCCAATATGATTGTTTGTCTTAAAGTAAAGTAAGAATTTTAGGTCTCTCCATTTCCTGGTGTGTTAAGCTAATAAAGTTTATAAGTATTTGATGTAATGATGTTCACTTTTAGGAGTTTGTGCAAGCAGATCTACATTTCATGCTAAATAGGTTATAAAATTTAATTATCAATTAGTTTTTAAGTAGATTTTACTTTTTTGTCTTACTCCAGGTTTCGACCAAATGCTAGGGAACTGTGGAGTTACAATGCTGTAGTTGCGGATTCCAGACTTCCCTCAGCTCCAGACATGCAATCCCGGTGTAGTATTTTGAGTCCAGAACTTGCTCTGCCAACATGTTCCAAAGCTCTAACCACCAGATCTCATGCAGCTTTGCACATTCTAGGTACACATTTATAATTGATAAGTCAAAAGCTTAGATGAAAGAAACACATTACTTAATGTGTAAATGAATTGTAATCTAGCAGCTTTTTTACTTCGGTAGGGTCTTTTTTTTTTTTTTTTTAATCTTTCACTATTGCTTTTAACACTTATGATCAGCCTAACACTTACTAATTTTAATGAAAATAATTATTTTTTGCCATCTTAATGGTGTTAGATGATTTTATAGTTTTGATGGAAATAGCTACTAGAAGTAAGGAGAACAAAATTAGAGAGCTTCCTGTGTAAATACGTAGATGTTGCAGTATAAAGTCAATATGGTTAGGTTAATTTGCAGTCTAAAAAAGATAGGAAAAAATATGCAGTTTTTTGCACCCTTAAATATGCAGTTATTAAATAAATTGAATATTTGTTATTAGAATTTACTTTTTGCAGCTTTGTAAAGCAAGATATTAAGAGTAACATAATTTCTTTTTATAGTCTAAAAAAGCCTACCAAAATGAAAAATAATCCTGTAGTGGTCATGTATAAGTCGGCCACCTGCAACATATGCGGTGCTTCAAAGCATAGCTTTGGAAATGATTTTACATTACTTGCTCAGTGATTGTAGTCAATTGTGTTAGAACAGCATTATTTATGTTTGAGTCAGAATAAGGTCTCTTAAGTAGCCATGTGTAAAATAAGCTTTTTATGAGGGCTCTCAAATCTGCCCATTATTAAGTTGCTACATCAACTCTTCCTGGGTAATATGGGAAGTAAAAGTAAAACAAGTAATTAAAAAATGAGAGTGCTGTTGGCAATTTACTTGCAACTACATTCATGGTTCTTGATTATTCTAAAAAAAGAATATGAAAAAATTGAATGAACTCAATCTTATACAATATTTTTAGATTTGCTAGCACTGGCCCCTAACCTAATCAAAGTGAAAACGATATGCAGTAGTAGCCTCTGTGTGGTTTAAGGATGAAGTAGTTAGGTTGTTTTAATCTTTTTAACTAGTATTAATTTCTATTTCACTGATTGCAATCAACAGTAATAAGTTTTGAGCATTTCTTGGTTTTGCTTTCTTGTAGGTTGTCTTGATACTTTGGCTGCTATGCAGGACTTGAAAATGGGTATAGCAAATACAGAAGAAGAGACTCAAGCAGTAATGAAGGTTTACTCTAAAGAAGACTATAGTATTGTTAACAGATTTGAAAGTATGTACACAATAACATTTTATAACATAAAGCTTGTGAAATAAAAGACTAGGACAGGTTAACTATATGTTTAATTTTTTTTTCTTGTGGTTTTTTTTTTGTTGTTGTTGTTGTTTTTTTTCTTCAGGTCATGGAGGTGGCTGGGGTTATTCAGCCCACTCAGTAGAAGCTATCCGTTTCTGTGCCGATACAGATATTTTGTTAGGTGGTCTTGGTCTTTTTGGAGGGAGGGGTGAATACACTGCTAAAATAAAGGTAAGGTTTGGTTTTTTTTTTTAAACAGTTGTTTTGTCTCATAACTATAGAAATCCCACCTGAAAACATCATCCATTTTATTTCTTGATGAATTAGTGCTTTACTATATATTAAAAGCATTAGTTATACAATTGGAACCAGGCTTCTTAGTGAGAAGTAATGAAATCTAAGCAGGTCAGGTGGAGACCTGCTACCTGAGGTAGAGAACTCTGAATTACTATTTTTAATTGTCAAGTTCTGGCTTGTTCTTACCTTCACTAAATGCTATGCTATCTTATTGGTACCAGGAGCTGATACGGCTGTAGGTAGAATGGTTCTGTGATCTATGTGCACAAAGCTCAGAAAATTTGCAGAAAATTTTGTGTTGTCTGACTAGAAACTCATCCTGTGTCAGGATGCATGGGATACTGCCTCTCAAAAACAAAATACTGCTTTTTTAGTAGCTGGATTTCCTTTGGTACCAGCTGAACTTTTGCTTCTCTCCATTTCTTTGCCATTTCCTTCTCAGACTGATGTCAGCTGGGATTTTTCAGTTGAGAGGAAATTGAAGTGGCATGCTTAATTTGTGTTTATTTGTGCTGTACTAAGAAGGTTAGGGCTGGAGCATATATACTGATTTAAATAACTAAATAAATCTGAATAAATAAATTCATGTAAAGATAGTGTGATTCGTAGAGGGATCTTATTTCTGATAAATGTTGCTGCATTTAATAGGAATTTCAAAAATGCCTTGAAAAATGTTTTAAAGAAAAGAGCTAATAGCTGTATGAGATTTATGTAAAGTCTGTATATAAGAAGCATGTTACTGTTATCATTTATTTGTCATTTAGTGGATTACTGAGTTTTCTGTTTACAGATGATAGGGCTGCAGTTTGTTCTAGGGAAATTAATTGTTGGTGTGTGGTTAGCAGTAATGTGCATAAGACAACTGGAGGTCTGAAGTAAATAATTGTAATTTGTGTTTATTCTAATACAATCACTGAGAATTGCAAATGACTAAGGAAAGCAAAGAAAGTTGGTGAAAAAAGTCACTATACTAATGTTTAAATACTAGAGGTAGTAACCCTGTCAGACCAGTCTTGTATTATTTGTTCAATTTTTTTCTTGTTGTCTAGGATTAGCTTGTGGCCAAGATCCAGTCCTACTACAGTTAATAGCATATTAAAAATAGGGGCTTAAATGAGAAGTCAGGCATGTATTGTGATAACTTCTCAAACTATTCAAGTTGTAGAAGTGATTCTTGACTGAGTAAGAAGCCCATGTTCTAAAAGGTTTTGGTTTTTTTTTTGTCATACCCATGGGCTGTTTATGGCACTATTAACTTAATGATAGTCAATTTACCCCTTTCCAGAGGAGTTGAATGTATCTCCAGTACATGTCACTCTAAAAAACCTGCATCTTTTTTGCCTTTTTTAGATGCTCTGTATTCAGCCTGTCTGCAAGATTTAGGGATTTTCTACACCTAATATCAGAATATATATAGCATAAGGCTGGGAAAACAGTGTAAATTCCTGTTTTTTAATAGTTCACTTCATTACAAAATCATGAGTTCCAGTTGCGAATTTACCTATCAGTGATAGAAAGTAGCAATTGCTTTTGGGAAGGGAAAAAGTTAGTAGTAGACAGTTTACAGAAAAGCAGACAAGAAGTAAGTGGCGTATTATTAGCTTTCTATCAGCTGAGACATATATATATATATATATATATATATATATATTTTTGTTACTCCACCAGTTGTTTGAATTGGGTCCAGATGGAGGAGATCATGAGACTGATGGCGACCTTCTTGCTGAAACAGATGTCTTAGCATATGATTGTGCTGCTAGGTAAGGTGTTCCTTTACTTTTACCTATTTGATTATTCATTTTTCTTCATACACTTTTAAAAATCATTTAAATGGTGGCTGAGGTGATCAATTTTATTAGCACTTGTAGCTCGGAAACTAGAACTTTAACCAACACACTTTTTTTGCTTAATTGTAAGTAGCAAAATGCCAAATACCTCACTGAAATAAAAAGTTGCAACAGCTTTTTTACATATTCATATTAGAAGGATGCAAATGGGTATTTGTATTTAACAACTTATTAAACTTTCTGCAGTATAAAATGATTATAACCAAGTAAGAGGGGTTGGGATGCTTCAGCTTATTTGGAAAGAAGCAGTTATTGCTTTAAAGTTTTTATGCTTATGGAATGGGTTGACTTTTGTTTAGCCTGCATTTACATTCCCAGATATGAAAGAATTTACCACTGAAATAATCTGTAATTAATTCTATCAATTCTTATGAATTAAGGTCTCCTGAATAGACGTTTTAATGCTTTCTTAAATAATCGCAAGCAATATCTGAGAATCTATGCCTAAATTCTTGTCATTTAACAAAAAATTTACATGTAATTTTCTGAAAATGAATTTGAAATTTATAATGAATACGTTACTTACAGTATTTTGTAATAAATTTAATTAGTTTATTGTACATTTTAAGTTAACCTTACCTTTCAAACTGAATTGTACGTTTAATAACTGATTGTGTAAAAATGCAAGACTATGCTAGAGTTAAGAATTTGCAAGTCCTTCTGAATTTAAAAGAAACAAAAAATAAAATTTACTATCTTTTTCAACAGAATATTATTAAATGTCAAATATAAGTAGATACTTAAGATTAAAAACTTCTTGATTTTCAATTTTCTCTTATAAACAGAGTATAATTTGTTAAAGATTAATCTATAAACTAATTCAGATACATCTTTTCTTTAAATTTACTTCCCTTAGAGAGAAATATGCAATGATGTTTGATGAACCAGTACTCCTACAAGCTGGCTGGTGGTATGTAGCCTGGGCAAGAGTGTCAGGACCTAGCAGTGACTGTGGATCTCATGGACAGGCCTCTATTACTACAGATGATGGGTATTTATTTTTTTTTTTCTGTATTTCTTAGTGCAGAAGAGAAGTTAATTAGATCAATCTATGCCCGTGACAGGGGGCAGTAGGCCCCTGGCCCCGTCCCCCTCCCCGGCCCCACAAAATGGGAAGGAAGGCAGGAAAAAAACAGCGGCAGTGATCTATGGAGGAAAACTTATTTTACTGACTGTGATATCGGAATGTAAGATAATACAATATAATTCAATCTAATTGAAATTGAGACTAATAAATCAAATAAGATAGGAGAGAGAAAGTTCCTGAGACCGAGTCAAACCTGAAAAGCTTGGAACGGCTGGGAAAGCACCCTCCAGCCCACTGCCAGACAGTAAGAGACCGTCCTACCCAGAAAGGTCAGATCCCATGACTTCCGTAGTGTACAGAGAGAGGTGCCTTGAATTGGAACATTAACATTTTAACTCCAAGTGCAGTACATGATGTTATGATGCAGAATACTGAAAACCAAAAAACGTTAAACCATGACATCATATTACTTGAATGATTGTTTTCTCTGTTTGTTTTTTCCTCTTCCAGTGTTGTCTTTCAATTTAAAAGTTCCAAGAAATCAAATAATGGTACAGATGTTAATGCAGGGCAAATCCCGCAGTTACTGTACAGGTAATGTTTTGACCTCTATTTAGAACAATTTATCAACATGTTTTTTGAACAGTTGCCTTGTAAAGCATGTTTCATTACATTATTGTGTAAAGTTAAGAGGATAAGTACCTCAAAATTTAGGGGAAACAGTTTCAAAAAAAAGTCCATTAATATAGCAACATCTGTTTATAGTTCTTCTTTAATTTCTGTTTTTTAATATATATTTTTAATTTTTATATATTGTGTTCTGAGATTTTAATTAGGAAACAAATGACTTTAATGAAATCTTGTAGTTCTTTAGAGCCTAATTTCATCTAACATTCCTTCTTTTTTTTTCTAGTTGGAAAGTATTTCATTTAGTAGGATTCATTTTAGAGTGGAATACTGTTAAACAGTTTTTCACATTGCATTACTTTCATGAAACAGAAAAACAAAAATCAGTTACGCTTTACTCTTAGTTACCGTAAATTTATTCTTCTGGTGATGAATATTATATAACTTACATTTTAAAAGCAAGAACTCTTTCACTGTATTAATTTATTTTTCAGATTTCCTCAAATATGATGTGATAGAAATCTAAATGTATATATCCTTATACATTTAAGGTCATAAGACCATAAACATATACAGTTCTCTTGCTGTGTCTTTTTTCCCCATATCCTTTTCAAGGCTCCTTATCAGAGCAGTTGACTTTTCCAAATGAATGCTCTATATCAGTCGATGCCTCTTTTTCCAAAGGAATGTTTCATTTTGACTAGTACACATAAAGCCCTTGCACAAACTATTAGTCAGTTGGTTAATTTCTATGAGAGACAGCTATAACCAAAGACAGGCAGGTTTTGAGCCTTCTGAGGGAAGGACATGGCTGAAGAGTTACATGTGGCATGAGAGGACTGGTGTTGCATTAACATGTGCTGCCTTAATTGTTTTAGTGATTCCAAACAAGATCCTGTACACTTCGGAATTAAAAATAAATTCAATTCAGGGACTCTATAATATCCAGAGAGAAAAAACTTTCTTATTAAAAATGAGAGTTTTTCTAGATGTTTGTACTTCTTTGCTCCCCTCTTTGTTCTTTGTTTTTGAAGAGTCTAAGAGCAGCTGGTGTGAAAACGGACCTCAAAGATATCTCTAGTTCCAACACTCATGTTGTGGGCAGGATTGCCAATCACTAAATCATGCACTAGATCAGACTAGCCCAGGGCCCCATCCAATGTGGCCTTGAATATCTTCGGGAAAGGTGCATCCACAACATCCACAACAACTGGCAGCCTGTGCCAGTGCCTCACCACACTCTCAGTGAAAAATTTCCCGGACACCTAATTTAAACCTTCCCTCTTTTAGTTTAGAACCATATTGCATTGTGCTATCACTATCTATTCACATAAAAAGTTGATTTCCCACCTGAAAAAAAAAATATATTTCACCCTCCCTATAGTACGTAAAGTTTTGTCTCTCTAGATTGCAGTTTGAGCTAAGTTGGAGGGATAAAATATGCATCTACCTTCAGGAGATGTGAACTGATTTTCTCTCCACAAATATTCATAGACAAAGTTTTGAGTTTGATTCTTAGTGCCCGTTATGCATAGATGTCTCAACATAAAAATGAAGATGCAGCCTACACATACTAAAACCTAGCATTCTGTGAGAAATGGCATTTCTGGTTCTAAAAATGTTGTCTGAGGAAGTACAATATATAAGTTCATACATTTCACGTGGTCTTCAAATTGATTCTTAGTTGTCACAGTGTTCCTAGTTGAACAGATAGTTTATTTTTGTTCTAAAAGGGTGAAGGTCTAGAGGAGATTACACTGAAATTGAACATTTCTAGATAATTCTTTTAAACTTCTCTTCCACTATTATTCTACTTTGGCAATACAAGGAACAAAGCTTGGTGCAGAATTCAGGTCAGTTTGCAAATTGTTCTTCCAGGTTACCAACAAGTGATGGCAGTGCATCCAAAGGAAAACAGCAAACTAGTGAACCTGTTCATATTTTAAAGAGATCTTTTGCCAGAACTGTTTCAGTGGTGAGTATTATCAAAAATCCTGTTTCCTGCGTTCATTCATATTTAACAAAACTGAAAGGTGTACATGCAGAAGTAATTTATAATTTTTTTTCTGTCTGCTTATCACAACAGATATGGGTACAGTGATATAAAGAACTTCAGTGTTTTATTTTTGTTCATTTATTGATTTGCTTTTACTTTTTCTGAAGATTTCAGACTTAAAGTTAAGCCTAAACTAAGATAGGTATTGACTGATCTGCAGCGATTCAATGCAGATTAAGCAAGTAAAATTTACTGTAAAATCTGTGTTACAGATGAATACAGTTTATAGTTCTTAAATAATTGAGAGGCATCATCTGCACAGTATTGTAACATATAAATTGACTTATTATGCTAAAGCTATTACTCCTCTGGAGCAAGTCCAGGGGAGGGCCATGAAGATGATCAGAGGGCTGGAGCACCTCCCCTATGAGGACAGTCTGAGAGAGTTGGGGCTCTTCATCCTGGAGGAGAGAAGGCTCTGTGGAGACCTTACAGTGGCCTCCCAGTACCTACAGGAAAGCTAGGGGGAGGGACTCTTTATAAGGGCAGGTAGGAACAGGACAAGGGGAAATGGCTTTAAACTGGAAGAGGGTAGATTTAGACTAGATACTAGGAAGAAATTCTTCACTGTGAGGGTGATGAGACACTGGAACAGGTTGCCCAATGAGGTTTTGAATGCCCCATCCCCAGGGAAGCATTCAAGACTGGGCTAGATGGGACTTTGAGCAACCTGGTCTAGAGGGAGGTGTCCCTACCTCTAGCAGGACGTTGGAACTGGATGATCTCAAAGTCCCTTCCAACCCAAACCATTCTGTGATTACAGTGAAGTATTCTCTGCTTTCTTTGGCTGCTTGTTCTGAAGTAGATTTTATGTCTTGTATGGTAGATGTTTGTAGCCACAAACCTGGATATAGGTAATTTTTGCTTTTCATCTTATTATCATAGAATCATAGAATCACAAGGTTGGAAACGACCTGTAAGATCATCTAGTCCAACCATCTTCTCATTACCACTGCTACCACAAACTAACCCATATCTCATAGCTCCTCCTCAAGGTGCCTCTTGAACACTGCCAGCAACGGCAACTCCACCACCTCTCATGGCAGGCCATTCCAGTGCCTGACCACTCTCTGAGAGAAAAAGTTTTTCCTCATGTCTAACCTAAACCTCCTCTGATACAACTTGTGGCCATTTGCCTGGGTCTTGTTTGTTGCCTGGGAGAAGAGGCCAAACCCCACCTCACCATAACCTCCCTTCAGGAAGTTGTAGACAGCGATAAGGTCTTCCCTGAGCCCCCCCTTATCCAGACTAAACAATCCCAGCTCCCTCAGCCGCTCCTCATAAGGTTTGTGCTCCAGACCCCTCCCCAGTTTCATTGCCCTTCTCTGGACACGCTCCAGGGCCTCGCTGTCTTTCCTGTAGTGAGGGGCCCAAAACTGAACACAATACTCAAGTTGTGGCCTCACCAGTGCTGAGTACAGGGGGATGATCACCTCCCTGCTCGCCACACTATTTCTAATGCAGGCCAGGATGGCATTGGCCCTCTTGGCCACCTGAGCACACTGTCAGCTCATGTTCATTATGCTGCAGAAAGTTCACTTTTTGTTGTTTTCTTTTCTTTTTAATACAAAACCTGTCTTCCTTCCACATCCTTAAAATAGGAATGCTTTGAGTCTTTATTGAGCATTCTTCACTGGAGCTGGACAACACTGGTGCTAGGAGTTGAAGAACTTCGTGGACTGAAAGGATTCCAATATACTGCTACTCTTTTGGATCTAGAAAGGTTGCGCTTTGTGGGTACTTGCTGTCTGAGGTTGCTGAGGGTCTACACCTGTGAAATATATCCAATATCAGGTATTTTTCTTAGTTCACTTGTTTCCTATTTATTAGCAAATAATTATGTGTGGGGCATTGAAAAATTGATCAAAGAATTCTTGTAGAGTGTGCTGTAGGATGAAGTTGCTTGTACAGATATCTTTAGTGGAGGAATTAAGAGGTTTGGAGTCAAAAATGGGATATCTGCAATTAACTGCTTAACAATTGTCCATCACCATATGTTTGCATTGAAACTCAGGTTTATTTCCATTTTTGGTTACAATTGATAGTCGGGATCTTTTAGTCTATTTTGTTTCTTCATTTTTTTGCATTTCTCTGCGTAGTAGCTGCTTTGGTATTGAATACAATTTAAATTTTAAATGTTTTTCATGCCTATAGTTTAGCAGTACATATGTTAAAATGCAGTATGTATTGTGAAAAACTGGAAAATTGGAAGTTTCTAATGTTCCAATTTCTTTGATGTACCTTAACACTCTCTGCTGTTTTGCTTTGTGAAATTAACTTCTTTAAATATAGATTCAGTGTTGCTAAGTTCTAGCTATAATATTTGCTTGTACAATATGCATTTTATATTAAAATGGTTCATTTGCCATACATTAATGCTCTTCTTTTTGTAACCTAGCTACAGCTAAGGCGGTTGTAGAAGAAACCAGTAAACTGGCAGATTGCATTGGAAAAACTAGGACCTTGCTGAGAAAAATTCTGTCTGAAGGAGTTGATCATTGCATGGTCAAGCTGGACAATGATCCCCAAGGATATCTCAGTCAGCCCTTGAGTCTTTTAGAAGCTGTCCTTCAAGAATGCCATAATACCTTTACAGCTTGCTTTCATTCATTCTATCCAACACCATCTCTCCAGTGGGCATGTCTATGTGACTTGCTGAATTGTTTGGACCAGGTATTTTAAAATATCACAAGTGAATATTACAACTTAGATTGCTCTTCTGCTCAAAGAATCTAAGCACAATTTAAATTCATTATTCATTTTGTGTTTATCCTGAATTGCAATTTGAATTCTGCTATGGTTAAAAAAAAGAAAAAAAAGGACGACATTGCAGATTCAGCAAATAGAAACTTACGTCTCCTTTAGCGAAAGGATTTTTTCTCTGGGACAGTGAAGAAAATCTACTGTAGCTATTAGCAGCTGCTTTTTCAGTGTGTAGTCCACACTTAATGATTTCTGTTGCTGCATGTTGCTTAAAAGCATATTTATGACATTTTTTCTACAATTTTATCAGTAATAATTGAATAATTTCTCATTATTAAATTTTGCAACTGTGCTCTCATCCAGCATAGTGGATGAGATACTAACAGTGTTATCCTATGTGCAGCATTTTCTGACTGTCTTGCCAATTACGAACAATCATTCTATGTCTTAGCATTCTGGTTGTTTGTTTGCATAGATTACAATGATATATAAACAGTTTGTTTCTTGGCTTGAAAATCCATTTATTGTATTAAAATTCAAGAGGGAACCAGTTCTTTAACATATTAACCTAATTAAGTTTTGATTAATTATAAGAAGTCTTTGAGGGATCTCTTAATTTCAGAAGTAGTTTTCATGGGTTTGTTATTTTGAAATAAATTGTTTCATACTGGAATAATTAAAATTCTAAATGAAAGTTCTTTAGGGGAAGTTAATGTAAAATTCACAGGATAGCTATAAGTATACAAAATAGTTTATTTAAATAGTTTTTTTAACTACTATAAAACTGAAAAATTCCTTTCAAAATTTGTTTTTCCTCACTGACCTCAAATGCAGCAGTACCTTTCTAATTACTTCTTTTTATGCTTTCAGGATATCCAGGAAGCAAATTTCAAAACCTCCAGTAGTCGGCTTCTTGCTGCTGTTATGTCTGCTCTCTGCCACACATCAGTAAAACTGACCTCTATCTTTCCAATTGCTTATGATGGAGAAGCATTGCTGCGTTCAGTGGTCAAACAAGTCAGCACTGAGAATGACTCTGCTCTGGCCCATCGTTTCCCCCTTTTGGTTTCACATATGGAAAAACTGAGTCAGGTCAGGATATACTTTAAAAATCTCAAAATGTGTTTCCTTTACAACAAAGATAAGTTATGTATATTCAAATTTTGACTAAATAAGGATGAAACTGTATTTGCTTAAGTGCTTCCTCTTTAAAAAAAACTTTTCAGGAACTCTCAGTATTTTAGTGAATTTTTATCTTTTGATCTGAAATACTTCATACATTTTTTTCTTGTTTCAGAAAAAGTGTTTCCTGTTTATTTTTGAATGTTAATCTAGGGGAAATATAGTTCAGAATTGTCTTCTATTGGACAGTCTTTCCTGCAGTGTATAATCGAAGAATATTGTATAATCAAATATTAAGATGTTATAATAATGAAATAAACAAGAGAGTTAAGCAAAGCAAGACAAAGAGAATAGATAGGATGCTTACCCATATCATGGGCTCGCTCAGGAAACTCCAGTGGAGTGGATCTTCAGAAGAGAGATCCTTCCCCCCCAGTAGTTCATCTCTTAAATGGGCTAATCCACTATATCACGACACTTACACAGTTTTCATCATGACTCATGTTGGTATAATTCAAGACAATTTACAATTGGTGAATGCTAATATTCTTTTATGGGCCAGTGCTCAATGTTGTTACTGGAGGCATGTGGTCGTGAGGTACAGGTCTATCTTATGTTCCATCAGTCCCATGTAGGCCATCACCAGGTGTTGCACATGATCTGACTGTAACACTGGAACGCTTTGATGGCATTTTGTTCCTTCCAGTGATCCTGAAGGCTTAAAGACTCAAGGGGAGTAATACAGATGTTTCTAATACAGATGTTTCAGGGGTACCAGGAGGGGAAGGTCTGCTCTCCAGGGCAAGATACAGGCCATATTTCTATCCTGGGTCAACACTTCTGCTTGTACTGGGGCATGTCCCAGCTGCCTGTACTACACCTTCTGGCCAGATGTCTGCAGCTGCATAACTATATCAGGCACCAAAGGAGGTGTCCTGATCTGCCATAGGGACACAATGGGGGGGGGGGTCCCTTTAGCAGTGAAGATTAGAGTGTTGACCACAATATTAGTAGGCCATGTACCTATTACTGGAGGGACTACTGAGCCTCCCACCTCCAACAGTCTCCCCCAAGGTGCAAGTAGGCCACACCACTTGGGTCCACTGCACCTTCCAAGGCCATTTTATTCTATGGGTTCCTGGTTCTAAATTCTCAGGGGCAGGGAGCAGAAGATTATTTTTATTAGCAATCTGGGGTCTTACTTGATTATCAGTGCCTGTAATTTGGATCCTAGGCAGGGTGGCCCATGTTGTCTGCAACATTCTCAGGACACTGGGTCTGCTGTCTTGGGGTCTTTCATTCAGGTCCCACAAGGTTTCAGAGTCATTTTGTCCACCCCTGTAGGGACTGGGAGTCTGTCTTCAGGGCAGCCTTAAGAATACCATCATAACATTCACTGAGGCCTGACCCCATTGGATTATATCACAGGTGGAATTGCCATTCAATGTTATTTTCTCATGCCTGGCTCACCAAGTGTATAATCAAAGAATATTAAGATAGTGTATATTAAGATAGCATATAATCAAGGAAGATTGTATAATCAAATCAGATAATATTAAGATGTTATAATAATGAAATAAACAAGAGAGTTAGGCAAAGCAGGACAAAGAGAATAGATAGGATGCTTACCAAAGAGAATAGATAGGATGCTTACCCATATCATAGGCTTGCTCAGGAAACTCCAGTGGAGTGGATCTTCAGAAGAGAGATCTTTCCCTCCGGTAGTCAGCTCTTAAATGGGTCTAGGAGAGGTGGAGCCAGGCTCCACCCCTTCTGGTAGCACAGGTGAATTGCCTTCACCTGTGCTCCCATGGCTGACTCATTGCTTGCCTCAAGTGATTTATCAGAGGTTCAGGCCATGATTCAGCAGTTCCCATACAAACAGTTTCTCAGCTTTTGCACGTGGTGACAGTAGTGAGTATGCAGATAGATTCAGTGCTTTGAGGAAGAATAAGAGGACACATCTTTGATAAGGAAAAGTCACGTCTCAAAAACTGTAATCTTTAAATGAGTCAGTGAGTGGTTTAGACAAGGATAGTCCAGTTCATATGGTTTTCAACATTATCCTGAACAAAGGATATTGAACGTTTTTTTGCAGTTGTAGTATCTTCTATTTCCAAAAAGATACAGAGGAATATAAAGGGTAAAGATGAAAAAGATCTGGGACTGCTTGATAATAATATTCAATTTAGAAGACAAGAATGATTAAGGTCTTACAAAACTGTGACTAATACATGAAAGGTAAATACTAAATAAAAGTTGAGTCTACTGATAACAAAGCTGTGGAGCAAATAGAGACTTTACCAAAAGGTAAGTTCGAAACAGAGCTGTTTTTCTGAGACCATGTCTCTAACACGTAACATCTCTCTGCAGACCATTTTTGTGCTTAGAATTTTCATGGACGTAGACAGCAGCTGCATAAGTTAATGAAAAAAATATCCATTCCAAACTGTTAAATGCTAAGATAGTATTTTCATCTCAGATACAGCTCTTTCTTAACGTCTAAAGATCAAGCGTTCTGTGTGGCTATCAATGCAGGTTTGCATGATTGTTGACTTCGCTGTGCATACAGTGTTGAGTGTGCATGGGAGATAAAATAGTGAGAAAGACAAACCTTTGTTTCCCATCAGTAGAGCTAGCTTTATTTTTCCTTATTGGGAATGACTTTCATGATTAACTGTTCTGAAAAACAGTGGATATCACTGTTAGGTAGAAGAGATAGTAGGTACCTAAGCTTAGATTTATTTTACATTCTTAGTTCAGGAAGGAAAATCAGGTTTTATTAGCTTCCTGTCACTGGCTTTGTCTTTCTTGTTTGCACAGAAATTCTCTTCACTAACAACAAAGCCGAAAACTTTCTGAGTTTCTTTTTAGACAGTGGAGAAATGATGGTGTGGAGAGCTCAGTAGGAAGCTGTAATCTATTTAATGCTTAAACTCCATATGTCAGGGAGGGCTGTAGGAAAAACTACCTCCTGATAGGACACTTAGGTATTTTTCCTATATAGTAAACAATGTGCATGCCAGTTCATTCTGGAAATTAAGAATATCTAGTATTTTTTTTTAAAGGTGTACGTGCTGTGATAGCCTTGAGAATATTTAGATTTTTTTTTTTTACCCATGTGACATTTGTTTTTCTTGATGTCACTGAATCTTCAATTACCTAATGTTTGTAATATACAAAAAGCAAATTTTAAAAGAATAAACAATATTATATGCCATTTTTGTCTTCATCATGCAGAGTGAAGAAAATGTTTCAGGGATGACAAGCTTTCGGGAAGTGCTGGAAAAGATGTTGGTCATTGTTGTTTTACCAGTCCGGAACAGCCTTAGGCGAGAAAATGAACTTTTCTCTTCACATCTCGTTTCTAATACCTGTGGGTTGCTTGCTAGTATTGTGAGTGAGCTTACAGCATCAGCATTAGGATCTGAGGTAAAGTTTCTTAAGGTCATTCCTAGAAGTCGTCGATTAGTACAGATATATTGTGAAAGTCATACAGACTGTGATAATGGTTCTATCAATGTACATATCTTTCAGAGATATTGGAATTGTTCTCAGTAGCTTTCAGACATGTAAGTTATTTAAAAGCATATATATTCACTGTGTTACTTGAATACTGTTGAAAAATAACTACTTCATTATGGCTGAAAAGTACTGTAACTTTTTTTTTTTTTTTTTACAAAGTGAGTATTTTTCTGTTTTGCATGCACACCCATGCAAGTACACACTCAAAATATATTGATTTAGAGCTCATTGGAGTCAGTGCCACATCTTGGAGTGTTTCTGTACCTCTCATTTTCTCATATGGTCCTCCATGTGTCCTGCCTGCTTTTGAGTGCAGGTCAGAATTTGCTTTTTGGGTTGTGTAACTTTCTCTTGTATAAACTTGATCCTCCTTAATGTTATTGTCCTTTGCATATTCAATATTAAATAATACATTTTTCAAATTCCTGCGTATATGTATTCTTTCACTAGACTGTCTCCAGCTAGTTTGTTTTGTATTGGAAAAGTGAGAATGGTAATGAGTCTAAATTTTTAAAATCCAATTATGCTTATGTATGAAGCTATCATATTGTTAAATGATAGGAATTTATTCAGTTTTATTAAACTCACATCCCAGTTTATGTACTATCAGCAATTTTTTTTTTTTCCCCACAGAATGTACATAACCTTTGATAGCATTGGTGAAATATGTTTTTATTATTATGTAAGATCTGTTTCTTTACTTTCTTGGTCTTGACCTTATCTAAGGCAGAAATATGCAACTCTTCTTCTTGGAGCATGGCTAAATTTTATCTTTTTGATGATTCATATTATATATGTTTAATTATGTGAAAAATTTAGGAATAAGATTTCTAGTTATCTCTCGCTATTTCATAATTACCAGAAAATATATTACTTTTTTAGATAATATTAAAAAGAAGCTGATATGTTGCATCTTTTATGTCTTTATGTATGAGTTGGCTTAAAATTTACCCAGTTGAAAATCTTAAATAAATAAAGTGAATTTAAATTTATTTATTTTTTAAAGTTGACTTGTATTTAGCAGTTAACTTTTCCTGCTTTTATTTAATTATCTACAGGTTGATGGACTGAACTCTCTTCATTCTGTCAAATCCACTCCAAACAGATTCACTAAAACAAGTCAGGGAAGAAGCTGGAATACTGGGAATGGATCTCCTGATGCAATATGTTTCTCTGTGGACAAAGCTGGTGTCGTTGTAGTAGGATTTTCTGTTTATGGTGGAGGGGGAATTCATGAATATGAGCTGGAAGTATTAGTTGATGATGTAAGTACTACATTTGAAAAGAAAAACTGAAGAAAATATTTTTCCATAATATATTCCACAATGAAATATTGTAACATGCTTATACAGCGTAAGCTACCAGTGCAGCTGTAAGGTTCTTTGCTTAGGTTGTGATAGTGATTTTTGAGGTGTTTCAAGCTACATACAACATCCAGTAGGTTCCTTAAGTCAATTATGACCTTGAAATCTTAATTACAGATAATGTTTGTATTAGGCTTTTCACTTCTAAATGTAAGTTAGAAACAGGTATCTCTCCATATACTGCTAAGGAAAATAAGAAAAAAAAGTACTCCAATTTAAAACATTTTACACCAATAATTAAAAAAAATAAAAGAATAGCCTACCAGTGTGGTCAGATTGAAGACATCTTTTGTGCTTTTAAAGTACTCACCTGTAACATACATACTTTGTATTCTTTTGATGAAGACACACTTCTGTTCTTTTAAACTCAGTTGTTCATTTTAAGTGACTCTTCCAATCTGTTTCGAAGGACAAGCATACATTGCTATGAAAAATTTTGTCTGCTCAGTAATTTCCTTGTTAACTGAAAGGCTTCACTGTTGACTCTAAACAATTCTCTTTTTTGTTTTATTTATAATTATTTGTGTAACAAATTTTACAAGAAAGCATTATATATTTGCATATTTGAAGACACATATTTGCATACGTGCTATGTGTTTATAATGTAAACATATTAAAATGACATTCTTTCTTTGATTCAGAGTGATCACACTGGAGATTCAACTCATTCTCATAGATGGACATCATTAGAGTTGGTTAAAGGAACTTACACCACAGATGATTCTCCCAGTGACATAGCTGAAATTAGACTTGACAAAGTTGTGCCACTGAAGGTAAATAAAAGAAGTACATGTCTTTAGGTTTCTTGTGGAAGAACTCTCATGACTTGCAGAAAACAAAAACTAGAATGTTCAGTGTAATTTTTTTTTTTTTACACATTTACAATTGACCTTGATATCTTTGCTTTATGAATTGTCAGTTTTGCACTGAAAAGTGCAAATTATAGAAGCAAAAAGAAATTCGAACTTAACTTTTAAAATGGTGTAAACCAGTTTATAATTCCTGAGCAATTACACATCTTGAATGTACAGCTTTCTTGTGTGTAGTTTGGTACCTTGACACTTTGCAAGCAATTAGAAGGAACCATAGAATAGTTTGGGTTGGAAGATCATCTAATTCCGATTCCTCTTTCATGAGCAGCAATACCTTCCACTAGAATAGATTAGTCAAAGCCCCATCTGACCCAGCCTTTGAACACTTCCAGGGATGAGACATTCACAGCTTCTCTGGGGATCCTGTTCCAGTGCCTCACTACCCTCACAGCAAAGAATTTCTTCTTTAGAGGGTAGATTTAGAGTAGATCTTTTAGTTTAAAGCCATTACCCCTGTTATTACATTCCTTCACAGAGTTCTTCCTCATCTTTGCTGGAGGCTGCCTTTAGGTACTGGAAAGCTGCTGTAAGGTCTTCCCAGAGCCTTCTCTTCTCCAGGCTGAACAACTTCAGCTCAATCAGCATGTTTTCATGAGAGAGTCCTCTGGACTAGCTCCAACAGATCCAACAGGCCTCATGAAAGCAGAGGGGGAGAATGACTTGGGTTGGAATCATCTCCCTTGACTTGCTGGCCTCATTTCTTTTGTTGCAGCCTAAGAAGTGGTTGGCTTTCTGGGCTGCAAACACACAATGCTGGCTCACGTTGTTTACATTATCCAGCACCCCAAAGTCCTTTTCCTCTGCACTGCTCTCAATCCATTCTCTGCCCAACCTGTATTTGTGCTTGGGATTACTCTGACCCATGTGCATGACCTTGCACCTGGACTTGTTGAACTTCATATGGTTCACGCATGGCAAAGTCTCAAGCCTGTCGAGGTTCCTCTGTAAGGCATCCCATCCTTCCAATGTGTTGACAGCACCATGCAGCTTGATATTGCTCACAGACTTGCTGAGAGTGCACTCAATCCCGCTGCCTACATTACCAACAAAGATGTTAAGTAATCCTGGTCCCAGTACCAAAGTAATACTTAAGTTTTGTTTCGCAGCTTGAGAGCATGAAGTAACTTCGACTTCTGTTTAGTATTTTTTTTGATAGTTTCTAATGCAAAATAATAACTATTACAGAATCATAGAATCATAGAATGGCCTGGACTGAAAAGGATCACAATGATCATCTAGTTTCAACCCCCCTGCTACCTGCAGGGTCGCCAACCACTAAACCAGGCTGCCCAGAGCCACATCCAGCCTGGCCTTGAATGCCTCCAGGGATGGGGCATCCACAACGCTCTTGGGCAACCTGTTCCAGTGTGTCGCCACCCTCTTTGTGAAAAACTTCCTCCTAATATCTAACCTAAACCTCCCCTGTCTCAGTTTAAGACCATTCCCCCTTGTCCCATCACAATCCACCCTCATAAACAGCCGTTCCCCCTCCTGTTTATATGCTCCCTTGAACTATTGGAAGGCCACAATGAGATCTCCCCAGAGCCTTCTCTTCTCCAAGCTAAACAAGCCCAGTTCCGTCAACCATTTCTCATAGGAGAGGTGCATCAGCCCTCTGATTATCTTAGTCGCCCTCCTCTGGACCCACTCCAAGAGCTGCACGTCCTTCCTGGGATTGCCCCGACCCAAGAGCACCATGCACTTGGTCTTACTGAACCTCATTAGCTTTTCATGGGCCATTTTCTCCAGCCTGTTCAGGTCCCATGGGGCCAGATGATATCCTTCCTAGGGTTCTGAAAGAGATGGCTGATGTGGCTGCCAAGCCGTTCTCCATCATGTTTGAAAAATCATGGCTGTCTGGTGAATTCCTTGGTGACTGGAAAATGGGAAACATTACTCTAATTTTTAAGAAAGGGAGAAAGAAAGACCCAGAGAACTACAGGATAATAAAACTCTCATAAAACTGTGAAGCCTAACTTATGTACTTGTTTTATATTGGTTATTATTTTTGCCTCTCCTTTTTAAGGAAAATGTGAAATATGCAGTTCGTTTAAGGAATTACGGAAGCCGAACTGCCAATGGAGATGGAGGAATGACCACAGTTCAGTGTTCTGATGGTGTAACATTTACCTTTAGTACGTGCAGTCTGAGCAGTAATGGCACAAACCAAACACGGGGACAAATTCCACAGATTCTGTATTACAGGTTTGTGTGTTATCATGATCTATTTCTAAGAAAAGTTAATGAGAACGGTCATGCTGCTATAGAATTTTTTTTTAAAGAGATATAACAGAGATAAACACATCTGGAGTGTGTTTGTGTGTTAATTCTCTAGCAGAATTAACGTGTTCTTTCAGTGTAATTTCAGTCTTTGGATTTAACATTTTTCCGATTAGGACAGAAGTGTGTTGGAAAGATTCATTGAAAATATTCAGTTGCATCCAGTGTCAGCGGCTTATAAATATAAATTAAAAAGCTGTGAGACTGACAGCAAAATTACAGTTCTAGGAGACAGTGAAAAAAGACACCTTTCTGTAGGAGTGTTTTATTGAAGTCATAGAGAAGTTTCTCTGCTGTACGTTTCATTTGGTTTTATTTTGAGCTATTCCATGTAAAGTGAAGTCATTGCAGAGCTGCTAGTTCTGGAATCTTAATGTTCTGTAATGCTGTTTGGAAGATCAAAACTTTCTGAACATAAGAAATTCAGTAGAATGGGAAATTTACCTGTTGACTGAGTGATTTCAGTTGTCTATGCAAAAACTGAATCACTATCATCTTAAAGACTTGAACTGGTTTATAGTCATGATTGGGCTGCTTTGAAAGTATAAATCAAAATAGTCATTTCATATATTTAAAGACTATATATATTTTATATATAGTCTTAGGAAAGTTATGATTTATTAGTAGAAGCTAATTTGACATAGAGTAGATTTTAAAGAGAAAACTATTTGTTGAGGATAAGTCTTATACTGCATTTCAGAATCAAAATTAATCTTTAGGATGGGGAGTGAGAATCTTTTTCACAGTTATAGCACAGAAATATTAATTGAAAGAGTTTTACTGGGTTCTGTAAAGTGTTTAGGAATACATTTCTAAGATTTGAAAGACATCCAGTCAAAGCAGACATTTCAGAAACATGCTTTTATTTACTGTCTGACAAAAAAAAAAATATTTTGCAGTATTTGCAAAGGGCAAATACTGTGGTGTTGCCTCCAAGATATCCTCAGTGGTTGACTTGTGTTGTTTCTTTTATTATTTTATCGTAAATTAATTGTTTTAATTATTTTGTGCCAAAAATAAGTGAGCCGTGTTTGAGGTAATTTTCTATTTTATGAACTTACTTTTAATCTGCTATCCAGGAGTGAGTATGACGGAGATCTGCAATCACAGCTTTTGAATAAAGCTAATGAAGAAGACAAAAATTGTAGCAGGGCTCTTTCTGTTGTGAGTGCTGTTGTACGAGCAGCCAAAGACCTGTTGCACAGGGCTCTTGCTGTAGATGGTAAGATTTTTGATAATTGACTTCCAAAATTGAGTTTTCGAATCTTCTTTCTTTGTTAGAGGGATTTGAGAGTAGAAAATCTGTGACAAAGCAGTTGTGGTATTTCTCTTCTGTCTTCAAAGATTATTTTTCTAAAATGTCACAGCTGTACATATTGAACTGGGGATAATGAACTGGGAATAAATTTCTAAGTTTTTGAGTTGCACTTGAGCTGTCACAGGCATATCCTTCATATAAACTTGTTCATCACTTTAGAAAACATATTAAAGCTAGTAAGATTCTGCATTGCCAAAACATACGCTTTAATGGGTCACTTCCAAATTTTATTGCATGTTTTGCACACTGATGGTAGCAGGAAAACTGATAGATGTAATGCATTTATAAGCACTTAAACATCTGTTTTTGAGAAATTGAGCCATTAGTCTTAAAATTTAATGCTTTTAAGCTGTATCAGAGGAATCCATAGTATTGAGTACTGTTACAGAAATTGATGGGGCATGTTTTTCACTAGATTTTATAGCATAAAAAATATTAACACAGTTATACAAAATGGCAAAGAATTAATAAAATTATGTAATAAGACAAGGAAATTTTTTAGTACAGAACTGTATGTAATGACATGCTTATTTCAGGTGAACTTTGCACATTTATAATTTGATTTTGAATTTTGGTGCCTAGATAATGAAAGTAGCTTATAGTAAAAACTAATGTAGAAGCTGGAAGATTAGTAAGAAGCAAACAAGAAAAATAAGATGTGCTTTCAACCATGATGCAATTATTATAAAGAATATTACTTGTGTTGTAATTATCTTTGTTTAGCTGAAGACATTCCAGAACTACTCAGCTCTTCCAGTCTGTTCTCAATGCTGCTTCCCCTCATAATAGCCTACATAGGACCAGTTGCAGCAGCAATCCCCAAGGTATGCTCCTCAATAGAAATTACTGAAAAAAAGTTAAGAACGTTATGTAAGAAAAAGGTTTACTCTGAAAAATCTTTACATGATGTTTTTTTTAATGATTTTATGAATTTGTATTTTATGTTTGGCCACTTGACTCATCATGAAATTTTGAGGATACAGGAATTTTAAAAATATGTCATTCTTTAACTTCGACTTTTTTTAAATTTATGTTGAAGTCATCATAAAAAACAACAACAAAAACAAAAAAACACAAACCTTAAGAAAGTAGATTAAAAAAATACAGCTTTGACAGTAGGAAAAGACAAAGTTAGAAGGATCTAGATTTATTACTTATTGTTGAATATTGATGGAATAAACTTTTTAAATATTATATACATTAAGATTTTACAATGAATATCCAAAGCAGTGGTAGCTATTTATTAAATGAAGTTTGTTTCTATCAAATTTACAGATGGGAAGACATAACCTATGAATAAAAATACTTTTCATGCTTTTAAGCAGAGCATGCTTAAATGTGTCTGAAAATTTTGAAAACTGTCATTGAATTTGCAAATGTCACTAATCCCTAGCTACTAGACATTATTATCTTGTATTCTTTTTTGTGAACTGTAAGCTCCATTCTAACTTCTCTTGAAAGGGAGAGGAAAGAGGACCTACTACTTAAAATCAAACATTCATTTATTTAAAATTTATTTGAAATTTATTTGAAATTCAAATTACCTCATTAGTATGATCAACTATAGTTTGCAACAAGTGTTTTGCTTCAGAAGCAAATTTGAAAATTTCATAAAGATTACTGAGAACAATGCAGTGTTTATCAATACATGCATTAAAAATGTTGAATATTGGAAAAATAACAGTTTTGTTGGAAAATAAACCATGACTTGAGTATGACTTTTAGACAGTGCTTCTTTTCTGTCAAATAATAATTGTTCATTCATGTTAAAACTTTCCAGTGCTGGAGAAGGTGTTTCAATGAACATATCTCACAGGTGCAAATGCAGATTCTTATTCTGTTTTTTTATAAGTCTATTATTGGAGATTAACCAAATGGTTTTTCTGCAAGGATTGTGTAGATGTAAAGTTGGAAAATGTGTCAGAATGAATTGTGATAGTGATTTACTGAGAATATCAAAAACAGCCATTTTGCAATGGTTGCAAGAAACGCAAGTTTGTGGGTTTTTTTCACCCAGTCGTAAGTAATGATTTAGTGTATTTGGCATTATGTTACAGGTTGCTGTAGAGGTCTTTGGCCTAGTACAGCAATTACTTCCTTCTGTGGCAGTTCTGAATCAGAAATATGCTCCTCCAGCTTTTAACCCCAATCAGTCTACAGACAGCACCACAGGAAACCAGCCAGAGCAAGGGCTTTCAGCTTGTACTACCTCTAATCACTATGCTGTTGTGGAAAGTGAACATCCCTATAAACCTGCCTGTGTTACACACTATAAGGTAAACACTAGATCTTAAATTTAAATTTTTTATTTCTTAAATGTTTTTTTACATCATTTTCATTTTATCAGAATGCTGGATGAGAATTTGTACTAATATAGGAAACTGTTTTGTATGTATTATGAATGTACTGTTTTCTGAAGAAAGTTCTCTTTCTTTACTAAGTATAAAGGGACCATGTAAATTTAACCTTCGATTCAGGTTTCTAACTGAAAGCACCTAAATTTGCTCATTCTTAGATTTTCCTTCTGTCATGTACAGTTTATTTGCTCTAGTTGTATAGACTGTAGAATTTGGAATTCTTTATCTAACAGATATTATCTAATCATGTCTCAGACATTCTTACCTAACACTGAAGCTGCCACCTGCTTTGTGGAAGTGGTTAGCATCAGTTCTGGTCAAATTCATATGTATCTGTAACATAGGGATCCTTACACTGCTATTTTGGGCTGCCATTTAAATTCTTCACAATTTAGATTCACTTGAACTATGGTTTCCCTTGGTCTCTGATGTTCTCTTGTATTGAGTCACTGTAAGTGGAATTCAGTCTGCCTTACATAGGTGACTTGATTAAACTAGATTTTCAGAATGTCAGTTTCTGAATGATTTTATTCGTCTGAGTAAAGGGCAGAGGCTTAAATTACCTGTCTGAAATATAAATCCTGTGTTTTGCTTCCAGAACTAGTGAGTTCTTAGTAGTGATTTCAAAACAGTAAATCCAAGAATCCAAGATAACTACAGTTATCTGGCCTTCCTGAAGTGATTATTCTTATTATTGCTCTGAAAGTTTATAGAGCCTATCTGAAGCTGGTAGTAACTAGCTATTACTACTTTTATTGTAACTGTATGCTGTCATAATGCAGACTATATTCATAAAATACTTCAGCTGCTGTTTGCAGATTTAGGCAAAGCAGACACTGAATGTGTCTTTTAAGGTTTGCATTTTAAAAGGTATTTGAGAAGATTCTTCAACACAGAAACAAACACAGATGGTATCCTAAGCATAAATACTTAATCTGGACATTAGTTAAAACACATGATCATAGTTCAGTGTAAAGCATTTCAGGTGTATCTGAATTTCAAAAATAAATTATGTTAATGTAAAGCGTGCTAAAACTATGCAAAATTACACAATTGAATCACTTTCATAGCCTGAAGCATTAAAAACAAAAGGCAAAAGAAATCCCAAAACATAATAGTAGTGTTTTGTTTTGCTTTTCTTTAAAGGTAAAACAAAAAAATCCCACAAAACATGCATGTAATTAGGCTTTTCTCCACTATTTTGTTTTAGGTAACCTTTCCTGAATGTGTCAGATGGATAACAATAGAATTTGACACTCAGTGTGGCACTGCTCAATCAGAGGATGTTCTTCGTTTACTAATTCCTGTCAGAATTGCACAGAGTCTGGGATTTGGACCAAAACATGCTTCTGTTCATGAAAATCTTAATTCATGGATAGAACTCAAAAAATTCTCGGGATCTTCAGGATGGCCTACAATGGTATTAGTATTGCCAGGTAGTAAATATAATTTACAATAATTTTTATTAATGTTCATTCTCAGTGAGATTGTGGATGCCCCCTCTCTGGAAGCATTCAAGGCTGGGCTGGATGGGGCTTTGAACAACCTGGTCTAGAGGGAGGTGTCCCTGCCTATGGCGGTGGGGTTGGGAATAGATGATCTTAAAGGTCCCTTCCAATCCAAAACATTCTATGATTGTTAAAATAATTAACTATAAGTTTGACTTTTCAACAAAATCATTCTAGAAAACAAAGTTGATGAAGTGTCTCCATCCAAGATGGCAAGAGATTGTTATGAGCCATCAACTATGTATCTGTGGACTATGTTTATATTAGGTTTCTTTTTTGAAGTGTTCATCTGCATGTTATTTTTTTTCATTTTACATATTACTTATAGAGTCTGCATTTCACTTATGTTCATGTAACAGATATATTCCAAAAGAGAAGAAATATTAGAAGTTCCTTTTAATTTATTTTTTGTGTTATTTTACTTTCTGTAAGGAAATGAAGCTCTGTTTTCTCTGGAGACTGCATCAGACTATGTGAAAGATGAAAAAGCTTGTTTTTATGGTTTCAAATGTTATGCAATTGGATATGAATTTAGTCCAGGATCTGATGAGGTAAGAAAAGACTGGAAATGCACTTTTGACTAAATAGTACTGCAAAATATTTTTCAATTATTTGCATACAATTTTTAAATTTGCGTTGTTGTAATTCTTTAATTGGAATATGTTGACATGGCTTTTTTTGTGTGGGGGATTTTTAATAACTGTGATTTTCTTCAAATACATAGCATTATGATTTTGTACATTACATCAATAAGAAATTTTGTAAAATTCTGAAACTTCTTTGTCTAGGTGAGTCACTAAATACAATATGGACATCATAGGAGTTATCTACCTGAAGTAGCAGTGCTCACATCACACGCTTTCTGTACAACAGTTAAGACTGCAAATATATTCTGTAACAGAAAAGCAAATTCTACAGTTTTTAAGCTCCCTTGCATCTCAGGACTGAAGCTTCCAGAAAAGTTGTATGACAGCAATGTCTGTTCTTGCAATTTATTTTTAGAGCTTGGTCTTTGTTCACTTTACAGGTTCTGTGTAATCCATGAATATGTTAAAAGAGTTTATCTTTATAGAAAAGAGTGATGCTCCATTTATGAAATAAGAGCTTAACTTTAATTAGTGGAACTTGCATTAAGTAATTGAACGTACAATGTAAATTTCTGTTCGTTTGAAAGATTTGTGATTACAACTTTCTGAGACATTACCAGCAGTAGAAAAGTGTGTATTGTGGTGGCTGGTATGTTTTCCATAGTTTAAAAGAGCAGGGTATCCATAAGCTGCAGTTCGAGTCAGAGTGATACATTTTGTCTCATCAATTCTGACTTTCCAAAGAACAAGCTACAACCATTATATCATATATTAAAAGTCATTCCTTGTTAGGGAAGTCACTAGAAAAATTGAAAGATGCCAGTGAATGTCATTGTCAAGGAAACGGGTTTATTTAGAATTATTAAACTTTGTTGAAATCTAGGATTTCACAAAAATTGTCTTAGGTATGTGCATTGCTGGTTAGAAAGAAAGGCTTTTTTTCTGTTTATTTATTAAATCTACTAAAGCTACACCTGCATTCTGCATATATGTCAGTGGTTTTAGAAATACTATCAGTGTTTTTGTAGGGAACTGTTGGGTAGATTGACCCAAATTTCACATATTTACTTGCTTACTATTTGAAAACAATTTGAGACTTAAATATGCAGTCTATTAAGGGTTCAGTTTTAAACACATATAGGAGATTTTTCAGTCTGCTTGCAAGGCAGATCTGAATTATTGACTTCAAATGCTCCTTTGAAAAGTTTTTTGACCTGTTTTATATATTGACAGTTTCTGATAAGTCTACCTAGAAAATCCATCAGATGGAGATTGTCCATCTTCATTGTTTGGTTGGTTTGGTTTGGTTGTTTTTCTCCTTCATGGAAGGAATTTGTCACAGGCTTCTTGAAAATAATGGACTATCTACATATTTAAGTCTGTAAGGGAAAATGTGAAAACATTTTTCTAATGCAACTAGAAAGAGGGAAATGGAAAATGGTATTAACTTTAAGACAGGAAACATGAGCATTTTTGGTATAACGTATGGAACAATTTGAGTACATTTGTACAATTTAGAAGGGGAATTGCTTTGTAATCTGAATATTTATCAGTAGATTTTTTTTATTTGGGATTCCCTTTCTGTTTAGCATCAGACAATTACAATTAATCATGTTCTTACCAGGCTACCAATAGTTCAGTAGCAATTGCCAATGCTCTTACCTAGTTGAAATGGTTCTAAAAACATTGGTACTGGGTCCCATGTTGTACTAAGATATCGAGCCCAATTGTAAGACAAGAAAAATATCAGAGAGAAATTCAGAAATGGAACATACAAATAATATTTATTAGGATAAAGTAGAATCAAGGAAACCCATCTCTTGTGATATTTTCTGAAACACTATTTTTGTTTAAAAATCTGTTTAAATTTTAAGGGTATTATTCAGCTGGAAAAAGAATTGGCCAATTTAGGAGGGTCATGCGCAGCAGCTTTGATGAAGAAAGATCTAGCACTTCCTATTGGTAAGTCTGGCTCTAAGAACTGACTTCATTGTTGCTTCAAGTTTTATGAATAAATGCTCTCTGTAAGTCCACATATTGCTTTTAGTTAAGGATGATCATATACAATTGATTCTAAAACTGAATTAATCAACCAAGATTTTTTTAAAAAAGATGTTGTTTTCTGCTTAAGCTGTTATGGAGAGAATGGTTAAATCTAAACCAACTCACCCCATTCACAGGTGTAGTGTATCAGTGTACGAGCTATGTCCTACAGTTCTCTTGTGGTACTTCACAAATGTGCAGGTATCATATTTGTATTTCCCTTTCACTATTTTTTTTCTCCCTGCACTTCACACCTTTCTGAAAGAGCAACATCTGCAGCATTAAATTGTAAAATTTGAAATTATTTGTTTAAAATTGAGAATGGCTATTGTATTTGCAGACCTTGCAGCCTACAGTATCACTGCTATATTTTTTGCAGTTATAAGAATATCACATACTTCTACGGCAGATGCAGCAAACAGAAATTTACGATAATCCAAATGCAGTTTAAAATACAAGGATAAATAAGGTTTTATGAAAATGAATGAATATGGATGGAAATTGAGTTAGAATGTTCTAATGATACAACCATATTATGTATAATAGTACTTAACCCAATTAACATTAATGTATAGAATAAACAGTTTCAAAATCTGTAATGAGATGTCTTTTGGCTCATTTTAATTTAGGAGTGCAAATAAGAGCTCAGATATTGTTAAGCAGCCTGGCAGAGAAAAATATTAATGAGCAGGAAGATATTATTTGGTGTGTAGTTAGAACCACAAAACCTAATTTGATTTATTTTTTTTTTCAACCTGATACTTTGCTTGTGTATTTGAATGTGCAAATTTCTTACTTTGTTTTAGATAAGCACCTCAACTGCACTGGTAAATCTGTATTTCTCTCTCAAAAGTACAGGCAATTCTATAGTTTATTAAAAAGAGTGCCCTCTTCTGTTTTCCTCCAAGCAGCTGCATTATCTTTACTTTTGTTGATTTCCCTAGTACACATAGGTACATTTATTGTGCTGTTCTCTTCTTCTATAAACCAAAGAGGCTGAACATGAAATGCTTCTAATATCACTTCCCAGTTTTTTTAATACTTCATTCTTATTTCAAAATAAAAATTTTTGTTTTTGCTTGTTTCTAATTGTGGTTGCTTAAAAGTATCAAATATAGATGTTGCGTAGATTGTTCTTCCTGAAAGCATAGAAATCAAAATTGAAATAGAACATGTAGCCACATCAGTTCTGCAGATTTAGCCGACTTATGAAGGGAATTGTGTGTATGCTGCAGCAGAGGAAGGACAGGTGCAGATGTAGGATGGTTTTCTGATTACTGAAGTAAATAATGTAACACTATAAATGATATATCTCAGCATTTACATAACACCAGCTCAAGGACTTCCATCAAGTCTGTTAGTATGGGCTGACAGTACTGCAAAACTAATGACAAATAAGTGTGTAGAGTTTCTCTACAAGACCACTGGACTTTACAAGTAAACAGAACTGATAAGTTATAGACAGGAGTGGTTTGTCTTTTTTCATGGAAATTACTGTGCAGATTTTTAAAGATGATTTTTAGTTTTCTGTAATTTTACTTGGAAAAGTTTGAAGTGGCTCAGAATACATTCTGCAGGAAAAGAGTTAAAATGTGATTTTCTAAAGCAACATTTAACTGCCTTGATATCTTGATAACTGCTTTTTTGTAAGTAATGCATCTTCTACATTTTGCTGTCAGTGATGTCTTGAAAAATAATGCATATTATATATTACTGCCATTGCTCATTTGCATAGCAGTATGATTTTAAGAAAAACATGTAATCATGTAAAAAACTGTATTGTAGTGCATACGAGAAGAAATAACTTTGTATTTTAATTTTCATATTTCATTTAAAAATTTCTACATTTTTACCTTTGTTTCATGTGCGAGTTTATAGAGTTTGAAGAAATTAATTGAAGGAAAAGATTCACTCCAGAAGGCACTTAACTTAAAATGCCTATACTTTGGCAGTTAGAATTCAACTGAGTCTAAGCTGGTAGCTCTATCCTATTTAGAGATAATGTAGACATTGTCGTGGTTCGTGTCATCCTAGGAAGAGTATCTGAAAAAAAAAAAAAAGAAATTAATCACTGAAAAGAGGTGCCTGTTTCTCTTCTGTTTGTTATAAAAATGTCTTGTAATACCTATATATAAGCTCATTATCTCATGCTACACTGCATAAAAGTAGGTGAAGTAAATCCTGCTTCATTTCCCCGATAATACTTAGGCCTCTGAATCCAAATTAGTGCTATTAAAGCCTGACAAAATTAAAGATTGAGAACCTTCACGAATATCATGACAGAATTTTTAAAAAGAAGCAGAAAACACATGGTTGAAAATTCTCAAAAAATACATTTTCGAGAGATGCAAAGGGCATCGTGGGAGTAAGAACAAAGGAAAATAAAAATATGTCCAGAAAATGTATACCAAGTAACATAGACAAGATGACTGAAGTGACTTCTAATCAGAGTTAAAAGTGTTACTGGCATCCTTATAGACTCTTCCATCTTTAGTATTATTTACATGACTGCATTATGTTGTAAAGACTTTACTGAGAGGGGATGTCCTTCACGAAAAGGTATCTTGTCTTTTTATTAATTATTGTTGTGGGTATTTTCTGAATACAGTTGGCCAGATACGTGTTTAAATATTAATCTATAACAATTAAAAAAATTCATCATTATGAGTATACCCAAATATTGAATCACCATGTTCACGAGGTAATATTTCCTCCTTGCAAGTTCTTCAAGACTTAAATTTAACAGATTGTCGTCTCTTTCCAAGAGAGATCTGGTCCATGATTGAGATCTAACCTAAGCAGCAATAAGGAATTGATCAATGTGTTACTGAATTATTAAACATTATTAGTTAATTGTTTGAAATTCTCTAGATGTGATCTATGAGAGCAGAGTTTCTATATATCTTCATTTCTTAAAAATTTAAAAATATCTTAGGTCTTGATTCATTTCTTTTCTATTTCCTTACTAATAGAATTGCCTGACATGTTTTTGAGAAAGACTAGAAATATGGTGACTTTACCTGTTTGACTTTTCTGTTAAGACTATGTTTGGCAATTCTGATCACTATGGAATCAGATTTTTGAGTGGCATATGTAAGAAAGAAATACCATGTGATAGAATATAATTTATTTTAATGCTCCAGGTGTATTCATAATTTACCAAATTGTGCAGTTTATCAGGTTTTTAAATACTTTTATTAGGGTAAGTTCTTACAGGGGAGCAGCTGATGCATAGTTTTGAGTACTGCTTCCTGGCAATCAGCTTGACCTCCTAAAATCTTTTTCTAGAAGCATCTAGTTGCATCCAAAGATTTGCCATACATACTGTCTTGGAGATGAGATTATAATTACCAATTTTTAGTTTTGATTTTTTTATGTGTAATGTATATTGCTTATTTGCTTGTACACTGAACTACACTGTATTGCATGTTTACTAAGCTTATAGAAGATAATAATCTTTAAACAGCTGTTTAAACGATATTACACATCTTCCTGCAAACTTAAATTTCATAGCATAAACTAGATAGAATTTAATTTCAGATTATTTAATATGTAGATAAATGTCAGTATTATTGTTATAAAAAATATGTATTTATATTTTTACAGCAGGTAATGAATTTGAAGAAGACCTTGAGATTCTTGAGGAGGCTGCTTTACAGGTATACTGTTCCTTTTTAGTCTTAGAGTAAATCTGCCTAGATAAAATGCATAAAATATCATATAGGAAATAAGACCACCTATATATTTCAAAAATAGATGTGTGTTAGGTTTTGTGGTTTAATAAATTTTAAATGTTACCAAAATAAACCTTTCACATGTCTTTTTAATGGCAGAAATAAAGTTACTTGAACGGTAATATTTATGAAGTCTCAAATAATATGACTTGTTATTCTGGAATGATGATGTGTTTTAGAGGTCGTGATAGCAGTTGCTGCTCATCAGTAGCTCCTTATTTTTGATCCTAGCTGGTGATGAACAGTAAAAAAGTTTTCATATTCTTTCTCTCCTAATCATTTTCAAGGCAACTATACTGAAATTTACTTGTTAGTGTACTTGCTGGAAAAACATTCCAGTGATACAGAATGACACTGTACTATAGGCCTTAGAATAGCAAACATGAAGTGTTGAGAAGGATGTTCTTGAAAGGAATATTTCTTAACAGCAATCTGTTCTTGGATTCACAGTATTTTAATTCAAAAAGTGAACTAGGAATATACATCCAAGTAAAGTATACATCCAAAATGCATTTTCACTTGCTGTCCAATGCTCTGATATTTTATGCATCTTCTCACCTTCTTCCCCTTCTTGCAAAGAAGGGATTTCGTTTACTTTATCTAACCCAAAAGTATTTAAGATATGTCTTACCGTAAGCTATTATCTCTAGCCTTTTATTTTCTTTGGAAAATTCTAATTGGTCACATTTGCAAAAGGGTTTTCTTCATTCTTCTTCTGGCCATAACTCAACTGGTAAGGATACTTTTAGCATGAAAGTTCATATTGCCATGATCTTTCTTGCAGAAATTCTTCCTCAGCTCAAGCTCATTTAATCTCTTTTGACATAAGTTACTGACTTAATGTTTTCTAGATTGAACAGACAATACTTTTGACACCATTTATTAGTGTTGTCTAGATTGAGTGGGTAAAACCAGTGCTAGGAACTGACTTCTTCATTTATTTATTTATTTATTTTTAAAACTTTCATCAAAGTAGTTTATCCATTTAGCTTCTCCTTGAATGGTTTTTAATCCCTCAAATGTCTGTGCCAATAGTGTTAAGTTATGGAAAAGCCTCTACTTGCAAGATACTAAAAGACACTCTTTTATCTCTCTACCCTTTCACTCCCACTTCAATTCCTGCAAAAAAAAAAAAAAAAAAAAAAAAAAGGTGTGCAAATCTCATTCTGGAATTCTTGGAAAAGGGTTGGCACTGTCTCACTCACCAACAATACTGGAAGCTCTTGAAGGAAGTCTTCCACTGCAAGTACAAAGCAATGAGCAGTCTTTTCTGGAGGATTTCATTGCTTGTGTACCAGGATCAAGTGGTGGACGACTTGCCAGGTAACAGTTTGTGCTGCTGTAATGAATAAACCCAAGTTGTAATGACTTCTGCAGCAAATTAGAAATTTTCTATTTGTGTGTTAAATTTTAAACAAATATGCAGTGTTCTTTGTGTGTATACCAACAACTATGTAGCTTTAATTATTATGCCAAATATTCAATAAAGGTATTTGTAATGTTTTTATTCATACATAGGGTAAAATACATACATTTCATAGCTGGTTGTCATATTTATACAGAACAAGAATTTATTTTTTGAGAGGCTACAAGAGATTTTAATATGTTTGTCTTTGCTGTAGATGGCTTCAGCCAGATTCGTATGCGGATCCTCAAAAGACATCACTGATTTTGAATAAGGATGATATTCGTTGTGGTTGGCCAACTGTTATTACAGTACAAACAAAAGACCAGTATGGGGATGTTGTTCATGTTCCTAATATGAAGGTAATTATTGAAATTTTGGTTGTTCTTAAACTTCATCATAACTTTGTTTAATATTTATTGGAGATACTCCACAAAATACTCTTACACACAGCAGAAACTGGTACTCTTAAATTCAGTGAAATCAGACTTTTTTTTAACATTCAAATCCACAAAATTATCAAATTCTGTATTACATGAATACCATGTCATGTAACGTAAATCTTGGTTGTTATAAGGTATATATGTATAATAGTGGAAATACCCAGTTGTAGACCAAGTTGGTATTGTATAGAGTGACAAGAATCCACATTTTATTTACAAGCCAGTAGAGAGTATTATAAAATGAATAAATGTGATGGAAAAATGCATCATAAGCACATTGAACTGTTTTTTAGTCACACTAACATAGAACAGAACTTCCCCCTCTCAAATATTTTGTAGTTCCTTTAGTTTTTGAAAATAATAATAATAAAAAATCTGACATTCTTGCTTCATCCTCTTTAGTTAATCACAGTTGGTTTTTTTCTGTTACTGAATTAGTAGATGTTTTCACAATGGCCACAGAAACGATAAAATAAACTCTACCAGTCTTTGGATTAGAACCGATAGGATATGCATAGAAGTTGGCAATTATATTTGAGATAATGAAGCATGTAAAGAAAACAAATTGAACACAAGATTTTATTCACCTAATTTCAATAAATTAGCTTACTACTATGTTTTAAAACTCACTACGTTTTGACAGTACTTTTGAAGTCGTGATTTTGTCAAACCTAGAAGTAAATTACCTTAAGAAAGGTAAAGTCCCTTTTATAAGAACTCTCAAATTTAGCCTTTGTGTACGATACATTATTTTTCAGTGAAGTGTAAACTCATTAACAAATACTGACTTACAAGTATCAGCTTAGTAAGAAGCACAAACATGATTCACGTGTGTAGTTACTAACTTTAATTTTTGACAGAGGTATTAGAAAAATTCTAGTGATTCTTCTGTAAATCAAGAAAATGATTTATGAAAATATGCACATCAAAATAGTTACTGTATTTGTTACTTGATTGCTATTTTTGTACACAAATGTAATATAAAATAGCAGAAATTTTAACCATTCCTTTGGACTCATTCAGTGTTCAATAAACTGATGTAACTTCCAGTAAATTAGGTCAAATTTTGATAAGTAGCATAAGAAATCTGCAGCAATTAAATACACTTTATTGCAGATCTAGGGTGAATAATGCATGAAATTTACTCTCCAGATAGTCTCTTTCTCCCTAGAAAACTGAACTCAGCTGACTCTTTTTTACCTGCACTAGTAGAAGTCTGTGGTCTGACCTGTGGTAAAGAAAGTCAGGAAAAATATGAGTTGAAGGGCACAGTTAAATGTCCTGCACTGATATAGGACAGCAGCAGAGCTAGCCAAGATCCGATTTAACTTTCACTGATCCAGATCTAGCAGGCCATGATGATTCTCTCTGAAACCTGTGCAAGTATGGCATTTGTAGCATTTTATGTCGTGGGAAAACTTAGCTAATATATCAGAATATACTCTACTACTTAGGAAGTACTGTGCAACTCTCATAAGTAATACTAGACTTTACCAATTATGTACGCAGTTACTAGGTGCTTCTCTCCTGTATGTTTACATACTCAGATTTTCCATTTAGATGTTGTTCTTGGCTTTGCAAAAGTGTAGCTGCATACTTTTTTGACATAGCAGGATTTGTAGTCAGTGCTTTAAGAACTCTGTCACTGGGCTTTTATCAGATCTGTAAGATTGTGTGGGTACTTTTTTTTCCCTCTAATTCATCTCCTAAATTCCATATCTGATTGCAGGTAGAAGTCAAAGCTATTCCTGTTTCTCAGAAAAAAACATCTTTGCAACAAGAGCAAGTTAAAAAGGTTCAACGGATACCAGGGAGTCCTGCTGCTGCTGCTTCCCCTAGCACTGATATGACTTTTGGAGGTCTTCCTTCACCAAAGCTTGATTCTTCATATGAGCCAATGATAGTAAAAGAAGCTCGATATATTGCTATTACAATGATGAAGGTAAATTACTGTTAATTTAATGAGATAGCTGGAAAATCCAGTATTCAAAGTGGGTAAAAGTATTCAAAGAGTTAACTCAGCAACCATTGCATCTGACAAAACTCTTGATGAGTTCTGTCAGCTTTCATGTTGTTTTTTCAGTACAGTCATTGCACAGGGAATCATGAAAGAAGAACAAGGTGTTTGTTTTTTTTTTTTTCTACTGGGAAGCAAACAGAGCTACCAGTTCAATACAAAGGGAATTTCTTCATTTTGAGTAGAAAGGAGGAGAGTCCAGAATTCCATTGGTAAATCCACTGGACTACTTTGCAGTTTTTGACCTGCAACATAATTGCTTTCTTACTTTCACATGAAGTGGTAAGTATAGAGACATACTCTGACTCCTCTTGACAAGCAACTAACATTGTGCTCACTGCCTACTGGGATAAGCTGCAGAAAGCATTGAGAAAGTTCTTAGTCATGAACAGATAGAGCAAAAAGCTCCAGAATCTCAGGGATTTCTTCATATTGGTGGGCAGAGCCCAGATTATGTCAGATGAGGCAACGGTTTGCACCGTTTGAACTGTCTCCAATTTCATCTGCTGGGAAAACAGTGAAATCTAACCTTTATAACTTGTAGCTTTTATATGGCATGCTTTCTGAATGGCATACAAATGTTTCACAACTGTTCTAAGGAATGTTATCTAAATTTCACTTGATTGAATTAATTATCTGGTAATGTTCTCTGAAATTCTTACCCTGCAGACTCAGAACATACTCTGTATTTTGCTTTTCAGTGGTTACTCAAAAATCTCCTATATTTATTTATTCATTCATCCATTTATTTATTTAGATTAGTGGTCTGCTGGCTTTCTAGTCTTAGAATAGATCATAGAAATCATAGAAGCCTTAGAGTTGGAAAGGACATCTGGGGACCATCTAGTCCAACTTCCCTGCAGTGAATAGGGACACCACATCTAGATTAGGCTGCCCAGGGCCTTATTCAGCCTCTCCTTGATAAAGTCTCCAGAGTCGGGGCAATAATCTCATTACTAGATAACCTGTTCCAGTGCCTCACCACCCTCACAACATATTGTCACACTCTTGAGAGGTTTTGGAGAAGTCAAAGTCACTCTTCTTATTGTTGCACAGAGGAAGGATATGGGATAATGAACACTGTTTGTAAAAAGGAAAATATTGGTTACATATTAGGAAGGAGAAAAAAAATACGCAATGAGAGTTCTCAAACATTGAAACACTCTTCTTGGACGGGTGGTGAAATCTCTGCCTCTTGAGGTACTCAAAACTCAACTGTTTATGCACTTGAACAAGATGAACTAATCCGAAAGTTAGAATTACTGTGAGGATTGCTCAGTTTTGTGCAGAAGGTGAACTCAATTTGCATACAGAGGTCTCTTCAAATATAAATTATTATATAAATATATGATATTCCCTCTGTGTATATCATGTGAAAGCAATATTGCGATATTATGACATCACAGACTTAGACTGCCTTAAATAGTTGTAGTGCTGTATCCCTTAGATATTGTAAGGGTTCAACAACAAACATGAGATCAAACTTAATAGAAATTTAGAGGTAAATTAAAAATAATTTAATAGCTTTTCATTCACTTAGAGTAGAAGAGCTTCAAAGACATAACTGTAAACAAAGCTTTTGCTAGCAATGTGTATTTTTGTTAACAAAAATGTAAATATAATTGTTTCATTTGTATATACGTTATATACATGTTTGTTTCTCTCGCCATGATATGCAATTTATTTCCGCTTCTCTGTTCAGTGCTTCTGGCAAGTGTAAATTTAGATTTTTTTGTTTGCTGAGAAAATACTCTGCTTTCTTTTATTCAGCATAATAATATAATTGGTTACTGTTGATTTCACATTCATCTAATTTCATTTGTTTGTAGGCATATGAAAATTATTCTTTTGAAGAACTGCGCTTTGCTTCACCAACACCAAAGAGGTAAGCATTAAAGAATTACTTTATACTAGAGACTAAAATTAAGAGGTCCTGTCTCTTTTCTTTACACATAGGCTTGCAAGTCTTTACTGCTGAGTTGAATTTATCATACTTTCATAAATTTAGAGACTTTTAAAAATCTTATCTAGTATTTTTATCTACTCTCTGAATATGGTCTTATATTTTCTGTTAAAAAAAAAATGCTGTAGAGGGTTATGGCTTCAAAATAAATAATATTAGCTTATTACATTGAACAGGTAGGTAGGTCATCTGAAAGAAAAAAAAAGCATAGTTTCCAAACTAAGTATTACAGTTGTTTTTAAGACGGCAGTAATTGTTTGATGATTTTGTTTTGTTAATGCCTAGACCCAGTGAAAACATGCTGATCAGAGTCAATAATGATGGTACATACTGTGCAAACTGGACTCCCGGAGCTGTTGGTCTCTATACTATTCATGTTACTATAGATGGCATTGAAATAGGTATGTAATTTTCCCTAACCTTAAGAAAAAAATAATTGTATATCCAATTTGAATACCAAAAAAACCATGTTTTGGTGCTCATATGATTTAATATAAAGTTTGTAACAAAAGCAAGTAACCAAGTTTTGATTCAAACCCTGATGTTGAAATCTTCATTTCTCAAAAGAATAAAAGACCATAGCTGTTCTCTTATTGGAATAAGGACATATTATTTCTCAAGGTTATATCCATCTATCAGTAAGTTCTGTTTCTTTACATGTATTTTTCTTTGTGATCTGAGAATTTTACTCTCTTGAGGTATTTTCCAGCACTTTGTGGTTTTGTAAGTATCGATAACTAAAGATGCTGACTTATTTAGATATATATATATATATTGACCTTTTATGTAGGCCTTTTCTTTTTGTGCAGCTTGGTTTCTAAGGCTACTATATGCTTCTCAAATTTTATAATTATCATCTGAAGCAAGGCAGCATGCATAAGCATTGCCTCTCCAGGAGCTTTTACTTGGCACGCCTCAAACACTTAACTCTATCTTCATCGATCCTTGAAAATATCTTTAGGATACAAAATTACATAATAGTGCTGTGGACGCAATCTGTGACAGATACCTGAAAAGAACATAAAGTTCTTTGTCTGTGAATTTTCACATGACAGTGTAAATGTTGAGAAGCAAATACATCGTTAAATACCTGCAAGTGCCATTTGTGAAACACCTGAGTGGTTCTTTTGCATGCTCTGTAGTTACTGTTTGACTGATATTTCCTCTATTTATTTATTTATTTGATATTTCCTCTATTTATTTATTTATTTATTTATTTATTTATTTATCTGTAACTTAGTTTTTGTTTGTTTATAGATGCCGGGCTAGAAGTAAAAGTAAAAGATCCTCCAAAGGGAATGATACCGCCGGGAACCCAACTTATTAAACCAAAGGCAGAGCCTCAGCCAAACAAGGTTTGGAGAACTAAATAAAAACCCCCCAGTATAGTTGTATATGGGTGGCATTTTATTGTTGTTTAATACGTATGGTAGTGGAGGACATAAGCCTATTTGAAATCACCTTAATGTGCTGAAGAGAATGAAATGAATATACTGAGAAAAAATGAAAGTTGCTCATTCCATTTCCTTTGTGTATATCCATTGGTAAAACTGTTAGAAACAATACAGAGGGTGCTCTTCTCTTGGTTTGTCAAACAAATATTGTGCAACTATTATGAAAACTACAGACTGCATTTTGGACTAACATTAGTTCTTTTTATTTGATACTGTGTTAAGATACAGGATGTAAAAAGGGTTTTACAAAGATTGTTTTCTGCTAAGGTTCTTTTGTTAGTCAACATAAAAATTGTAAATTAATTTCTTTGTTATTGTCTCCTTTTATCAGAATGTCTTTTTAAAAAGATATTATCCTTTCTGTAGCATTTGACTTTACCATTCCACCTTATTGTTCTACTCCAAAGAACTAAACTAGACACAAAGAACAGAGGAAAGCTTAAAGATGGTGTTGTGCTGCTGGGAAAATGCCAGTTAAGGGAAATATCCTCTACTTCCTCTTTGATGCTCAGAAAGATTTCAAGCAAGACACTTGAATAAACTTTTATTGAAAGATACAAAATACTGAAATGACATGAATTTACCCTTCCTTGTCTTACTAGAAGAGCAAAAGTGGGTTCTTCTCCTCTGCTTAGAAATATTTAATTACAAAAAGCATCCTTCATTGATCTCTAGTGCATCTTGATTTTTTCCAGCTTTCTGAATATTCTAATGACAGTACTTTTTGTCATACAGCTCCGCTCTGTAAATGCATCATTTAGTGTCCGCTTTGGCCACTAAAGAGATTATTTTTCCTGCACTGCCACCTTAAAATAAAACTAATATAGTTAATTTTATTTTCCACAAAATGTTTTATTCTTCATTGCTTTTTTCAAAAGGTACTTCTAGGCTAATTCCCTTCTCATCCTTAGGAATAGCTCCTCATGAGTTTCTGGTAATTTCATAGAATCATCGAATCGTAAGGTTGGAAATGACCTATAAGATCATCTAGTCCAACCATCTTCTCAGTACCACTGCTACCACAAACTAACCCATATCTCATAGCTCCTCATTCAGGCACCTCTTGAACACTGCCAGCAATGGCGACTCCACCACCTCCCACGGCAGGCCATTCCAGTGCCTGACCACTCTCTGAGAGAAAAAGTTTTTCCTCATGTCTAACCTAAACCTCCTCTGATACAACTTGTGGCCATTTCCCCGGGTCCTGTTTGTTGCCTGGGAGAAGAGGCCAAACCCCTCTTCACCACAACCTCCTTTCAGGAAGTTGTAGAGTGCAATGAGGTCTTCCCTGAGCCTCCTTTTATCCAGACTAAACAAGCCCAGTTCCCTCAGCCGCTCCTCATAAGACTTGTGCTCCAGACCCCTCACCAGTTCTGTTGCCCTTATCTGGACATGCTCCAGGGCCTCACTGTCTTTCCTGTAGTGAGGGGCCCAAAACTGAACACAATACTCGAGTTGTGGCCTCACCAGTGCTGAGTACAGGGGGATGATCACCTCCCTGCTCCTGCTGGCCACACCATTTCTAATGCAGGCCAGGTTGCCATTGGCCCTCCTGGCCACCTGGGCACACTGTTGGCTCATGTTCAGACAAGCAACAACCAACACCCCTCAGGTCCCTTTCAGCCTATAGCGCTGCATGGGGTTGTTGTGGCCGAAGTGCAGAACCTGACACTTGGCCCTGTTGAACCTCATCCCATTCAGCTCAGCCCAGCGATCCAGCTTGTCTAGATCCCTCTGAAGGGCCTCCCTACCGTCAGGCAGATTGAGGCCACCTTCCACCTTGGTGTCATCTGCAAACTTACTGAGGGTACACTCAATCCCTTCATCTAGGTCATCAATAAAGATATTAAACAAGATGGGCCCCAGTACCGACCCCTGGGGGACACCACTCGTAATGGGTTGCCAGCTGGACTTAACTCCATTAACCACCACCCTTTGGGCACGGCCCTCTAGCCAGTTCCTTACCCAAAGAAGGGTATACCTGTCCAGATCATGAGCAGCCAGTTTCCCCAGAAGAATACTGTGAGAGACCGTGTCAAAGGCTTTGCTGACGTCTACAGACTACATCAACAGCCCTTCCCTTATCTACCAGTCTGGTCACCCAGTTGTAGAAGGAGATGAGGTTGGTCAAGCACGACCTGTCTTTCATGAACCTGTGCTGGCTGGGCCTGATCCCCTGGACACCACGCACGTGCCGTGCAATCTCACCCAAGATGATTTGCTCCATTACTTTCTCTGGTACCGAGGTCAGGCTGACAGGCCTATAGTTCCCCGGATCCGCTTTTCTTGAAGATGGGAATTACATCAGCAAGCCTCCAATCCTCTGGAACCTCTCCAATTAACCAGGAGCGCTGATAGATGGCCATGAGCAGCTCAGCAATCACCCCCGCCAGGTCCCTCAACACCCAAGGGTGTAGGCCATCCGGTCCCATGGACTTATGACAGTCCAGATGGAGAAGGAGCTCTCTGACTGTCTCCACCTGAATCGCTGAGGGTATATTCTGAGTAGTGTCCCAGACTTCCAGATCAGGGTGTAAAGTGCCCTGAGGATAACTGGTCTGGCTATTAAAGGCAGATGTAAAGAAGGCATCGAGGACCTCAGCCTTCTCCTTGTCCTCAGTGGCCACATTCCCTGCTGCATCAAGTAGAGGATGACAATTATCCTTGGTTCTTCTTTTGCCATTGATATATTTATAAAAGGATTTTTTATTCTCTTTTACTGCAGTGGCCAATCTGAGTTCCAGTTGGGCTTTTGCCTTCCTAACGTCCTCCCTGCATACCTTAGCTACTTCCTTGTAATCTCCCCAAGTAGCCTGCTCCTTCTTCCAGAGGACGTAGACTCTCTTTTTCTCCCTGAGTCTCAACAGTAGTTCCCGGTTCATCCACAGTGGTCATCTACCCCTATGGCTCACCTTACGGCACTCAGGGACAGCCTGTTCTTGCACCTTTAAGATTTCCATCTTGAGGAACATCCAGGCTTCCTGGACCCCTTTACCCTTGAGAAGTGACTCCCAAGGGACCCATGCTACAAACGCCCTGAACAGATCCAAGTCTGCCCTCTGGAAGTTCAGGAAAGCAGTTTTGCTGGTCACTCTTTTGACATCTCCAAGAATAGAGAATTCTATAATTCCATGGTCGCTCTGCCCAAGACGGTCCCTAATCTTTACTTCTCCCACCAGTGCTTCTCTGTTAGTGAAGACCAGGTCTAGCAGGACACCACCCCTGGTAGGCTCTCCTACCAGCTGCATAAGGAAGCTATCTTCCATGCAGTCTAGAAACCTCCTGCACTGCTTCCTCTGCACTGTATTATATTTTCAACATATATCAGAGAAGTCAAAGTCTCCCATGAGAACAAGTGCTGGCGATCGCATGACTTCCAGAAGCTGCTCATAGAATGCCTCATCCAACTCTTCATCCTGATTAGGTGGTGTATAACAGACCCCCCACCAAGATGTCGCCCCTACAGCCTTCCCCCTGATCCTTACCCATAGACACTCAACTCCGTCATTCCCAACCTGAAGCTCTTCAACATCAAAACAGTCTTTAATATGAAGGGCCACACCACCATCCTTCTTCCCTCGTCTAACCCTTCTGAAGAGCTGGTAGCCACCTATCACAGCACTCCAATCATGGGAGTGGTCCCACCATGTTTCGGTAATAGCAACAAGGTCATAATTCACCTGACTCACAACCGCTTCCAACTCTTCCTGCTTGTTGCTCATGCTGCATGCATTGGTGTAGATGCACTTCAGTCGAGTCATCTGCCTCAAGATCGTTCCCTGGGCTCATCTCCTAGGAGGACTGTTTTGTCCCCTTCCCCCTTTGTAGCTAGTTTAAAGATCTTTCAATAAGCCCTGCTAGCTCCTGCTAGCCCCCTCTGAGATAGGTGAGTTCCACGGACAGACAACATGCCAGGAGCTGAGTAAACTGCCGATGATCAAAGAACCCAAAGTTTCTGGCTTGACACCAGCCTCTGAGCCAATTATTCATTGCTTGTGCTTTCCGATCACATTCAGTGTCCCTTATTGCTCCTGAAGGTATAGAGCAGAAGATCACTTGAGCTCCCGCTCCTTGAACTAAATGTCCTAAACCCCTGAAATCTTTTTTCATAGTTCGTAGGCTTGTCTGAGCAATTTCGTCACTGCCCACCTGAACTGCGAGTAATAGAAAGTAGTCAGATAACCTAACCAGCTTGAGGAGTTTCCTGGTTATGTCCCTGACCCGAGCCCCAGGAAGGCAGCACACTTCCCGATGGCCCAGGTCAGGTCTGCTTATGGGGCCCTCCGTTCCTCTGAGAAAGGAGTCACCCACCACGATTGTTTTTTCATTATTTATTATCTTAGTTGATCATTACCTTAATTAAAACTTCTTGTTGGGTGAGGTTCGTCTCACAGGACTGTATGGTATTTCCACCCAAGCCATATGCTATTTACAGTCCTCCTTTCTTTTCAGTTATTACAGTGGCATTTGAGATGACATATATATATATATATATATATGTAATATATATAATAGCTACATTTCTCCAAGTAACCGTAGTCATGACAGTTAAAAACAAAGAAACAGAAAGTTAAGCCACTGATGTTAAAAGGCAGTAGTCCATGTTTACTCATCTCTCTGCATTAGTATTCTTTGTTCTTGTCCAATTTGCAGCCTCTTTGAAAGAGGAGCTGTCTTTCTGCCCTGAGTCTGTTCAGTCTTTGTCCATCCTAGGATTCACTGGTGTTGCAGAAGCATGTTAGATTTTTCAGTCTTTAAATTTTATATTCTTTTTCTTCTGCATCATAATTGTGTAGTAAACCAGGGTGGAATATCTCTCTGTATATGAACAGTAGTATTACAAATAATTCAGAAATATAATTATTGCGCTGTGCTCCATACTTCTGAATACAAGAATGCAGATTAAATATGTATATCAGAAATGTTCCAATATACTGAATTCCATTTCACTGAGACAGTTGGGTTACTTATACACAAAAAGCTTCCTTATTTTTTTTCCCAGGCCTAGATTTCAGATAATTGTAATCAGACAGCGGTATCGGTATATTCTCGGTAGTAATCTGTTCTCAGAGAGAAACAACAAAGTATCTTCATTAAAACAGTGGAGAATTCCACTTTTGAAACCAGCCCTAATTAAATCTCAAGTGTAAAATGTACACCATACTACAAATTTGTACTGATTTCTTCTTTCTTTGTTAATTGAAGTAAGATGAGAATCTGGCTTTCCTGTCCATCAAAACTAGTAAAGGATGTTATTGTAGTGATCTATGTTCAGTCTGGATTGTACGAACAGTAAGTAAGTCTCCTTATAGGCTGTGAAATTTAGATTAATTGATTTGTAGAAAATCCCATTCTACATACTCATCCTATCACCTGTCACCAGTGAGAAGAGACCAACCCTGCTATCACTGCAGTCACCTTTCAGGTATTGGAAAAGAGCAATAACGTCTCCCCTCAGCCTCCTCTTTCCCAGACTAAATAGCCCCAGTTCCTTCAGTCTCTCCTTGTAGGGCATATTCTCTAAGCCCTTCACAAGCCTTGTTGCCCTTCTTTGGACCTGCTCCAACACCTCAATGTCCTTTCTGTACTGAGGTGCCCAAAACTGAACACAGTACTCGAGTTGAGGCCTCACCAGTGCTGAGTACAGGGGCAGGATGATTCCCCTAGTCCTGCTCACCACACCATTCCTAATACAAGCCCACTTAGGTCATGCTCTGTGGAAGAAGTGTCTTGGGCAGTGTTTCACTAGTAACTTACTGAACTGTTATACTGTAGGGAAATATTCCAAGCAGAGAGGTGCTGTATCAGAAACAAGACTCATACAATTAATGTGGTTGTTCTTGTACAAAATAAGCATAAGATAACTTTTCTGTTTTTGCTATGTTGCCTGTCCACGGATGTGATCTCTGTGCTTGAAGTTAATTTGAATTTTCCTATTAAGTAGCAACTCTTTCAAGGGCAAAAATGCTCTTTCTGGGCCTGTTTGTGTCCAAAACTTGTGTGTGAATTTTCCTTCTTCTAAATAAAAACTTTTAATCAAAGCTCTAGCTAGCCCATCATATAATTTTCTGACGATACATTTAGGGGTAATAGTGTAAAAATTAGGTTTCCCTAGTTTGCAAGGCTTTGTTTATAGGCTTCTCTATGTTGAGAATGCTATAAGCAGTATTCTATTTTTACAAGGAATAGAATAGCATAATCTACTTTAATTTGATTGAAAGTGACCCCTACAGAGATCTTCAAGTCCAATGCCTGACCCCTTCAGAGCTAACCAGAAATTAAAGCATATTACTAAGGGCATTGTCCAAATGCCTCTTGAACACTGATAGGTGTGAGAAAATCAACCATTTCTCCAGGAAGCCTGTTCCAGTGTTCGACCATCCTCACATTAAAGTTTTACCTAATGATACCTCCCCTGGCACAGCTCTCTGCTGTTCACGCATGTCATGTCAACAGTTGCCAGTGAGATGAGACCTACACGTATCTCTGTGCTTCCCCTCCTCAGGAAGTTTAGAGAGCAATGAGGTGACCACTCAGCCTCTTTTTCTCTAAACTATGCAAAAACATTTATATTATTTTTGTTTAAAAAATAAATAGCGATAATAACAATAACTCTTATAGTATATACAATTTCTTAAATAATTTCTTTAGAGCAAAAAAAGCAATTTTTGCACTTAAATATTACCTTTCTTTACTTTTTTTTTTTTTCTGGGTTGATTCTTTCCTTACCGTTATGTGCTTTATGCTAATATTAAGATAGAGTTTGTACTTCAGTTAATAAGCTTCTGTTTCATAATGTTGAGTTTGAAAATAACCTTCAAAGGAAGATTTTGTACAATAAAAGACACATATATGCATTTCTTAAGCCATCTTTTTGCTTTCTGATTTTAAGTAGTTTGTTCTTCTTTGGGCGAATTACCTGATATTATGCTTGAAAGCCATTAAAAAAAAAAAAAAAAAAAAAAAAAAAGAGTAAATATTTTGTGGGTTGTAGTAAATCAAACTAATAACATAGTGTCTGATCTAACTTTCATGTGAATAAGAAAGAAATTATTGAAAAACTGCTTCAGAAATAAGTAGAAATGTTTGCTTCATTGCTGTTTATAAAAAGCAATTTAAGCTATTTACTAAGGCAAGTATCCATATGTTTGCCAAAAGATTAACCAATGTTATGGTAGCGTCAAATAAGAGCAGGTAATCTTGGGTTGGTCAGTTACTGGAAACAATGTATTTGTTAAGACCAAAGCCTGCCCTTTGGAACTTATGTGAATGCATAAATTGTAGGTGAGCAGTGAAAAGAATCAGAAGCTTGTACTTACCATTGTCTGATGTAACAAATCTTTCACTGATTGAGTCAACTTGTTTCTTGACCTTTTTTCAAAAAGTTTTGTTTTGTTATAGTTTGAAAAAGAAAAAAAAAAAGTGAAATCATGCACAGCAGCCATGGGAAACTAGCAACAAACTGTAACTCTGCCATCTTGTTTCTAGCATTTCAGAATCTGTTAAACCTATTTCTTTTTACTCTGAGAGCTCTGTTCCAATTTTTTCTTCCTTACTGTCTTCCATTGCTTCTCTTAGGTTCGCAAATTTGTGGCCAAGGACAGTGCAGGGCTTCGTATCCGTAGCCACCCTTCCCTTCAGAGTGAGCAAATAGGCATAGTGAAAGTCAATGGATCCATCACTTTCATTGACGAGGTAATTAATAAGAAATTTCTATTGAAAATTGGGCTAAGATGTAAAGTTAATCCATGCAAATAATGTTGTTGTTTTTCATGTCTAGATGTTGACAGGTACAACTTGAGTACATGAGAGTATAAATTGCAAAAATCTAAATATTTACCAATTTAATTTTTTCAAACTGTCATTTTCTTCTTATTTACTTACTTGAAAATCTGTTTAACAGTCATTGTGATACCAGGAAACAAAATTCCTGGAGTTCATCTCCCAGTAATATCTAAGTATTTAGTTGTTCATGACCTACTATTTCAGCTCTACATAAAAATTCAAAGATATAGGTATAATTTTCATTATATTCTTCACTTACACTTTCACAAGATCAGTAGTGTATTAGACTACTCTGCATGTATAACTTCCTGTGTAACTTCATATGCAAGGAATATTTTTGCAATTTACTAAGTTAATTCATCAGTAAAAAAGTGGAAAGTGGGGAACAGTAAGCTTATAAAGGCTTGGCTTTCTTTGCTCTTTTCTCTCAAAGCAAATCTTATTGTTGCATTATCTGATTTTAAATTTATCTTTTCACCTTGCCTTCTGAAAATACGTGACTCACATTACTTTGAAATTCAGATTTGCTCAATATTCCTATCTGCCTCTTCTTATACTCTGTCAATGCAGTGAAGATAATTACTTCCTTGCTATTACTGTTTGTCTAATATCTGTTAATCCTTACTAGCCACAGAATGGTTAGAATGGTTACAGGAGGGCATGGCTCGTTTTTGTTGCTTGTTTCCCATAGATCCACAATGATGATGGTGTTTGGCTGAGGCTGAATGATGAGACAATAAAGAAGTATGTTCCTAACATGAATGGTTATACTGAAGCCTGGTGTCTCTCTTTTAACCAGCATCTTGGCAAGAGCCTTCTGGTACCTGTTGACGTAAGTAAAAGGTGCCTTTGAAAAATATCCAAAGTACACTCTATCCTCATTACAAGACTTTCTTTAATTAAGGCTGCAAATGAGTCCTGAGGTAAAAGAATATTTTTAATTACTAAAGACTGTCTTATATGTGTTTCCATTTTTGAGGGCTGTTGTGTAATGAGGGTGGAGTGTAGAAATATGCAAGAAATATGTAAGAACTCTTACCCTGAAGGATATGCAAAAGTGAAAAGACTGCTACAGTAGTCTTAAAATGTGTAATCGTTAGATTATGCGCTAGGTGTTTCCAATGCAACACTTCATTGTCCATAAAGTGTCCCAATAATGATTTCTGAAGAGGCTTCCAGCCTGCAGTTAATGCTGTTGTTCAATTTTATTAAAAAAATGTCACATTCCTTCATCTTTGTTATTTTTCATTGATATTTTTCATAAATTTTGTTTGAATCCTTGAATTATAGATTATTAGTTAATCAAAGAATCAGAACACCAAGGCTCACTAAAAAAAGTAGAATTTATAATAAAAGCAAGCAAAGCATAATTTATCTGGGTAACTATAATAGTGAACACAATTGCTACAGTTCAAAGATGGTTACAACTTTTCTTGCAACAAGATATTGTTTTTAAAAAATACATATGTAAGCAAAACCAATGTTGTTTCTCATCAAAACTGCTGAAAGTACAGGTCTTCTGGATCACCTGTGATTGTGCATTCTTCAAAGGGAGCAGTAATTTGATTTCTTCAGAGATGTGAGAACCAGTTCTAATTGCTAATGCAGCTATTTAGATTGAATTTGCCTTCTTATATGAGTGAGTTGCTGTTTGCAGCTTAGGACAGTTAGCAAATACTCGACCAGTTTAAAAACTTGCAGCCAGTATTTTCACCGTTTGTTTTCCTGTCATATAGGAACTGACATATCCTCAGTTCCAATGAAACTGGACTGCTTGCAAGTAGCTAAATCTGGTAGTTCATAAATCCTCAGTGGCTACAGTCCATGTTCTGACAACATTACATGATGTGACTAGATCTTCCTGCTCACCTTCTTGTCTAGAATTTATTTGTTGACATCTTTTTATTTGGAGAGTGTATTCAATTGCATCTTTATTTTGGGAACTACTTTAATACTGCATTTGGTAAGCAAATTATTTCTGTACTCAGCCATCAGTCTCTTGAACAAGTGACAACAGTCATTTATCTAGCTTGTTATAAAATATATGAACGCATGGAAAAAATAAGTTTTGTTTAAAATCTTCCTTGAATTTTGAATTTAGTTTTCTATTATCAATTTCTCTAGTACACTTGTCAGACGTTAGTGTTTTTTCATACAGCAGTTCACCCATAAAAGTGAATTCACCCATGACAAACTAATCAGCTTCAGTAAATCTATAAGTCTGGATGCACATTATATATTTTTCAGATTTTTTTTCTATTACCAATACTTTTAATTTATTTGCTATGGGGAATGTTATTGAGCTCAGTAGTCATGGAAGTGGCTAGCTTCCTAGCTTCCTAACTTACTAACTTACTAGTTTGTCAGTTTCCAATAGTTTCAGTACACATGCATTTCTAGAGGAAAATTTAGCTCTCAGACATACTTAAAAGAAATGGCTCTCTTAGCAGATAGTATATAACCCCAGAATACCCAGTTCTGCTAACATCAAATTTTGTTTAAATAAGTAGACCAGATGCAATGAAATGTGAAAAATAGCACATTGTAGAGTTTACTGTGTGAATGCTTCTTTAAAGTCCAGATAGAATATTGTACATCTTTTTTTTCTTATTAAAGAGTTCTGCAAAATAGTTTTGATACCATTTGAACTCTGAAGATCTGATAGATATTACTAATTTTCTTTCAACTACCCAGTTCTATTACATCCTCAATAGCAAAAGGTGCTTTTGTGGCTTCTGATCAGTAAAGGAGCACAGTGGTGAACAAAAATTACAGAGAAGTAACTACTACTTTAAGATGACCATTATATTAATAAATGTTTTGAACTACTTAGGAATGGAAGGTTTATTTGCATCTCTCTCATTTTTATTATTATTACTATTTTTTTGAAGGACAAAGCATATCCTGAAATGATTTACTTTCATTATGACCATATTTAATGAAAATTTGTTTCATAATCATAAAAAGAAAGGAAGTCTATGTTTTTTTCTTTTGTAACAATCACAAAACAAACATCAAGGTTCCATGGCTTTTAAATATCTTAGACTTTTTAGTGCATGCTAGTATATCAGTAGGCAGTGCACCATTTGATGAAATTTTGTAAACTTTTTTAAGCTCCTGATTTTTGTAAATCAGTTTTAAACTCTTTCCTGCCAAATCTTGATCGAGTAAAGTGATACTGCTTTCTCATTAGAAAGTCTTAAAATAAAGTCTCTTGAGGTAATCAGTGAGATGAGAATACTCAAAATTAGGTGTTTGTTGTTTGCCTTTTTTCTACATCCATCTGTATTTTTCAGTTCTCAAATCTGCTAAATGCAGTCTTGTAGAGTTGAATGACCCATGTGGCAAAAGATGCATTAAGAAATGTTAGAAGTTCTGTTTATGAAAATGTGAAATAATTTCTGTCTACCCATCCTTTTCCATTTAATTGGATAACTGAATAGCATTATGAACAGGACGTAGGAAAAAATAAAAATAAATATCAGTAATATATACAGTTTCTAAAATCTGGAGCAGATTTAACAGTATTGGCTCCAGAAGAGGAAAACACTTCAAGCCTTATGTGCCAAAAAATACATATGGAAAATCAAGTGGCTGAATTAGACATGATATTTCGTGTTCAAATAAATCCCACATTGTTTTTACTAAACTTAATTTTTATTCAACTCGTGTGTAGTTTGCTACTCTAATTATGGCACTATGTTAATTTAAACATTTAAATTTTTTGTAATGCTAAGTCAGGTGTGTAAAATTTCTCAGTGCATCCTGTAAAATATATTTAAGATTTTTTTTAAAGAAAGCTGTAATTGTTCCATTTCGTCACTGTATTAATTCAACAGTGAACAAAGGAAAAATATTTTTTCTGCAGTGTTAATTTCCTCTTCTTTGCATATATATTGTATTTGCTTTTTTTTTTAATAGACATTAACTGTTTATCTTAAGATAAAACAAGTACTGCGTATCTTAGATCTTCTCAGTACACTGTATATTGTGATCAAAGATATTATATTTAAAGATTAATGATCATGGGAAAGTAGAGATTCTATCTTAGTTTTGGCCTTCTTAAGAAAAGTTTGGTAGTCTGATCTTTTCCTATATTTGCTCTTCTCCTTTCATGAGGAGCAACTATATAGACATTGATCTCAAATTGCACATCTAACCCACCATCATAAACTGTGATTTTGGATTGGCTTCTTAAGGTCCTGGTACTTACTTTTCCTTCTGTTGTGTCAGAATCAGTTAACTGTTCTTTCTGCATTCATGAAAATAGAGCATAAAGCAATGCAAACTAATGAAAAACAGTTTTATTTTATGGGAAGTCAGAAAGTAATATTTTGGTTAAACTCTGAAATTTTAAAAAGATATATATTGTACTCTGAATATTTTTGTTACTTCATTTTAAATGTCAAATATATAATTATAGGGAATTCTTTACCCTGCTGCTCAATTTTACTGTTACATTCCCCAACCACTATAGACTAACAGAACTGAGAAACTGTGTTTTTTTCCACTGATTATTGTAGTTAAAGAGAGAACCAAAATCAGTATGTAGGTTATCTTGTGTGATTGCAGAGCCTCCACGATTGCAGTGCCTCCATGTTTCTATGAAAACACTGAAGGACATTCACAACAGATTTCTACCATCATTTTAGGCATGATGGGAGTCAATTGGAGAGTGAGGGTATGCTGGATAAAATGTCTAGATGATTATTTAAGATAAGACAGCTTTGAAAAATAGCACTGAGATTTTAAATGTTTTAACATCTGCTAATTTTCAGTGGTGAAGTAATTTATACTCAACTTTATGATTCCTGAAATGTAAACTTTATTACAAAAAAAGGTATGAAGTTTTTCCGGGAATGATTCCTGAAATGATTTTTAATTTTTGGAAGGGAAGGATAAAATAAACTGAGATCTACCAATTATAGCTTAAGAACTAAATGTAAAATATTGCATGTAGTAGTTTCTTCTGAATTAAAAGTTATTTCTCAACTACATACCACATATATTGATTATGACATGCTAAAAGCCAGGAAGCCAGAAAGCTCAAATGATCTGACTTCACCTTCAGTGTGTTGATGAGCCAGCACAGTCCCAGTTCACTGCTCTTGGTTTCTTCTGTGTGTTTTTCACATATAGCTTTATAGCGTCAACAGAGATTATTGAAATGATACTTCGTTATCCTGGGTATGGATTATCCATATTTGTTTGAACAGTAGAAGTCCATCACAAACTATGAAACATACTGCAAAGTAAAATCATCAGTCTGTTAAGCTACATTAGATGTCTATGAAACAAACTATCATTAGGCAAATAGAGCCTTTCATAATTGTCGTAGATTTATGTCAAATTGATAAGCCTCTACTCTGATCTTCCTGTCTAACACCTTCCCTGCCTCCCTTGATTCCCCAAAGCACCTTTTACTTGTGTACCACTTCCAATGTCAGGAGGAGGTAATACTTTCTAATGGAATTATTGTGTTTGATAATTTCTCCATCTTTGTCAGTTATAAATTATTGTTTTTATTAAAAAATGATGTAAAGATTATTTTTGCAAACAGCACGTAGCTAGATATCTTATGATAGAAGTAAATTTACTTATTTTTGACAGGTTGGTATTTTCAATGAATATGGATAAAGCATGCAAAATGTATTTTGTACTTGCCCATTTCTGCCTACAGTGATTAATTTCCTTTTCTTTAATTACTGTTAAATTTTAATATGAATGCTGTCCAGGGATTTTAGTTGGTTCCCCTGAAAAGGTGGAGATAGGAAATAAGGTTTTAATAAATCAGTTCATACAGATTAAATGGTGGCTTTATGGTGGCTAACTGGTTTCTGCCATACAGATTCTTAATACTACTGCCTATGTACTATTAATTCTTTCATTCCATAGGAACAGTGACAATTTCTTTGAAATGTGTAGAAACAGCTTTATGGACATTTTTATGGAGGAAAGATGTCTGCATTTAGTGTTTTCTAATGGCTAATAAATGCTGTTCTAGCTGTTCTGTGTGGGCAAAAAATACACAGTGCAACAGTGCATGTTTCTATAATATGGTCCGTTGCTTATAAACTTAGTGAACTCTCTCTGGTATCTCCATTTGATGATTTTCCATTATAAACTAGTAAATCTACTGTATATCTTATAAAACAAATGAAATCTTAGTGATTGTTCTCCTTAAAACACTCTGAAATTTTTGCTTTCAGTACAGAGTCCAATTTTTATCTGCCTGCTAGCAAAATCTTTTGTACAAATGAGTTGAGTTTCTCTCCGAAAGAGTGATCTTAGCTGTTGTGCATCTGAGTTCTGAATTGGTGACAAAAGTCCATGTGCAGTAGTCCTGATATAATCGAAATTCTTTCAGAACAGCAGACTGTCTTGTTATAAAACTGTGGTTTGTGATGGAACAAACTACTGTTTCATCATAACAGAAGTGTGGGATCTATCTGTGCACAGTCTCAAGCTTCATAAGAAATGTCTGGCTCTTAGTTACAGTAAATGGCATGACACACTCCATCCATTTAGAGCTTTTGACATACCAAATGGTTTTTGTTCAATAGATAATTTGCCAAGGGGGCAATGGATTCAGGTGACTTAATCAGAAAAACAAAGCTTTCCCTTTTGAGAAGTATTCTACCAGTAAAATTACTTGTGCAGAAAGTTTGCATTACAGTGCTTCTAACTTCTTCCTCCGATGTTTCTTTGTTCCCATTTTCTTCTTGATATATGTCTTTTTTTTAAAACTTTGTTGCTCAGAATGTCTTTAATGCTAGCCAAGGAGTAAGGGATTTGGACTTTTTTTCATGGACTTCCAAAGCTTTACCCCCTAAGGTGAGTTAAGTGACAGGAACAGTCACGTTGAATCTTTTTTTTTTTTTTTTTGCCTCATAAATCAAGTTTACATTAAATATTCCTTGAAGTCTGTTTTTACCATGAATTATTTTTACAGCAAATGGAAGGTTGACTTAGAATGCTGTGTCTGTATCTCTTCTTTTACAGTGGTAAAATAAAAATACTAGAGTAGATAGCTGAGTTGAGCTGAGTTGTCAGTGATTTATAAGTTGCATTCTTTTCTAGTAACAAACAAAATTAGAAATCCAGAGAGATGGGCTAGTAACATAATAAAAGGCATTCGTTCTCATCTTGATGTTATTAAAGTGTATGCTTTAAGTTGCAGTATCAAATAAGTTTACATTCATATGCGCAAGACTGCAAAAATTTAATACATAAACCATTTTTAATCTTAAAATTATGTACTTGTAGGAATGCATTACATTACATGCAGTTAAGCAGTTTAAACTATCTACTTATGTGCTTGTCTAAATCTCTATACAGCCTATCACTATACAGTAGGGATTTTGAGATCAGTGTTGTTTTCATATTAAACTTTCATATGAACCTTGTAAAGAAAATGACACTCAAAGTGCCTACTGGTTTAGAGATATAAATATGTGTTATTCACTGGATTTTCTTCCTCAGAATAGCAGTTTTTTACTGTTACATCAATGTCTAGAGAGTTTTAAAACTATCTTTAGATAGCATGCATTTTTTGTTTGTTTGTTTTCTCTTTGGACCAACTTCAACTTGAAAGCTCATTTTCTATAAAGGTTTCTTGGAAAAGCTCATGAATAACTCACTCTGAACATAATTCACAGACTCTAATACAAAAAATCTGAAAATATGTTAGAGATTACAGGAAATAATGTAAAATTAAAAAAAAAAAAAAAAAACCTAAGAAATAAGTAGAATTTCAGTTTAAAACTGATTTTTAGAAGTATTCTACACAGCAGGAAGTGTAACAGGAGATTGTGGAGGCAGAAAGTATTAGCACATTCAGAAGAAATTAAATTTTTAGGAATCAGATTCATAAACAGACAATAAATGAAATAGGATTATGCCCTCTAACATCCATATTAAAAAGTTTTTATGTATGTTGCTCCCAAAGTAATGCCTCCTATTTATTTCCATAGAAACTAGAACAGATACGAAAAGCACAACATGACTTGGTACAGCAAATTCTCAGCTACAAAATAACCTCACTAGCTGGGCACTCTCCATTTGGTGATGTGACAGCCATTCAGAACGTGTCTTGTCTTTCATATCGCTGCTGCCATTGCCGAAATGCACTACCCGCTGCCTCACTGTGGTCACATCTACTATTTGGTCTACATAAGCATTCAGCAAAGCATCAATGAACAAATTGGCAGGAAGCTTCCGCCTCTACTATCATACCACCAACATCAGCTTCTGATGTCATGGGCCATCATAATAAAATAGGAGACATTACTTTTAGAGCAGCCTTTAGAAATGCTGGTATATAAGTGATGGCCCACTGGTAATGGCTTGCATGCTACTTTTGAATAGCATTTTTTGTTACCATGACTGAAGACATATGGACTAAGTGAACCACTGGCTTCCTCCATTAGGGCTTTATTTAGGTTTATAACTTTCAGATCTTATTTTCAAATATATGACTTGTATTGTAAGTATAATTTGTTCCTGTTTCTTGCTTCCTTTCTTCTGATGTTACCCTAATCCTTCAGATTTTCCAGTATAATAGTATAGTAGACCTCTTAGGCATTTAATTTATCTATGACTGACTGAAAATCTGTATTTCTACTATTTTTAGTAACTATCAGTTTTTATAAATAGGAAACAAAGTATTTTCTCAGTTTGAATTTGAGTGGATTTTTATCTATAATTGGTACTAGGTGAAATAAATTGCAAGCCTTTTCATTGACTGAGTAAAAATAATAAATATGCACTACTTTTTATAAGAATCTATGAAGTTTCTATTATTCTTTGTCTTCAATTTATCTTCAATCTAAATTAGCAATGTGTTATAATACTAACATCAAAAAAGAAGCTTATCATTTGGAAAGAGATTCTATTTAATGTCCTTTTATATAACTAATGGTTTTTTGCTGTATTGTTTCACAAATACAGCAGGAGGAATGAATGTATATCCTAGTAAATGTCAGTATGAAGCAAGTTTTAGTTAAAGTGGTAGGATAAATATTTATAGTGCCTAATTCCCTTTTAAATAACTTATGTGCATTTAAGCTACTTCTGTTTCAGGAGTAACAGGGTGACTTTTCAGTTGATGATTTACTAGTAGTTCAGTTTATTATTGCATTCTAAAATTAGCAATGTAACTGGTATCTCTTCTCGGTTTGGAATTTAATTATTTCATTCTCGAAATAAGTATTTCTTATGTGAAGAGTTGAAAAGTGTTAGTGATGGATTTTATTCTGTTCTGTTTTTTGTTTTTCAATTTCTCAGGAGTCTAGGCCTAGTACTGGTGATTTTTTCAAAGACCTAAATTCACACTGCCCGCAGGAAGCAGTGATGCAAGAACAAGATATGTCATTACTTCGAGGTGGTCCCGGAGTGTACAAGGTAGTGAAGACTGGCCCATCAGGTCACAACATCAGAAGCTGTCCTAACCTTAGAGGTATCCCAATTGGAATGTTAGTTCTGGGAAACAAAGTCAAAGCAGTGGGCGAGGTATGGATCCTTGTAGCTTCAGTTCATGTCTTCATAGATACCAATATATAACTAGTAAACTCAACAAAAGAATCTGCTCCTGTACAGGTTTGCTTTTCCAATCTTTATGACAAATACTACCTTCTGAACTTGGTTTACATTTTAAATACTAATGTAATTCTGATTTTTGTCTTTGATGTGTGTTCATTGAAATAATGTTAAAGTTGTAAAGTGGTTTCATATGCTTTCTTGTATATTTGTTGCGCTGTTCCTTACAAAATGATGTTTCTGTTTTATGTTTTTGTCATATGCTTTGAAAGAATTTTGTTTCACTGAAAAACAAAATTTTTTCTAGGACCTAACCAATTAACAAGTTTCTCTGCTACTGTTTTGACTCATTTGTTCAGTTTCAAAACTATTGTTACTGTTCACGGTTTTCCAGTTGTGATGTTTTATGCTTAAGAAGGGCTTAAGGATGAAGTGTGTCATGCTATTTCCTAAACACAGTGTCAGGAACAAAATTAGTACTTACGCAAATGTTTCATATATAACTCACTCTTACTATTCTGTTGTTGCAGCCACTTGTAAGAAGGCATACCTTGAATATATCCTTCAAGTACTTAGGCTTGTTTGAATGTTCTAAAGTCGTGGCGTTGGTATTGCTTTTTCCAAACATAAGCAGGTTTAATATTATTGGAAATATTCCTAACTGTAAATGTGCCATGAATGGTTTTGGTTCTTCAATCTGCCTCAGCCTGTGGCCTTAATTTAAGAAACTTTTAAAAAGCTTTTGTTATACTACAAAGATTGGAATGCACGTACTTTTCAGATTCTGAATTAAGTTGCTGAATTGTACTACTGAATAATCTGCAAAGTCAGTATGTTGTGCTTTTTTATGTGTACAACAGGTGACTAATTCAGAAGGTACATGGGTGCAAATGGATAAGAACAGCATGGTAGAGTTCTGTGAAAGTGATGAAGGCGAGGCGTGGTCGTTAGCTAGAGACAGAGGTGGAAACCAGTACCTCCGACACGAAGATGGCAAGTTGTTTTGTTTTCTAATTAACTTAGAAAAAAAATTACAAGAAATCTAAATAGGACAAATAAATAAAGAAGAAACTGAGTTTTAAAAAGGTGTAAAAATATTTTTTTTTCCTTTGAATTACTTTGTTGCTAAATTTCAAAGTTTACAAGCATTCTTCATCTGTTTTTTTTTTAAATAACAGGGAAGGTATTCTCCCGTATTTTCTTCTGTACCAGTTTTGGGTCATAATTCTATCCTTCTTTTTAGCTATAGGGATGATTTTCAAATAAGTACCAGTGTACTTCTTCCAGATTTTCATCTTTTTTTGTGTCTGTATGAGAAGAAGAGCAGAAAGAATTGTTTATGTCCTTTTTGGTTTTAATTCTGCTACATTGTATCCCATTAAAAAACCATTACAGATTTTTTTTAGACACTGAATTTTAAATTAACATCACATTTCTAATTATTAGCAGTGAATGATTTTTCTTAAAATGCAGAATTTCTGTCCTGATAAATTCATGTTCAGACTGGGTAAGAACTAGAAATAATGAAAGAAAACATAAGCAAAAGGTTAGTACCCAAAGTTCGCTATTGCATATTTGTAATTTTATTTTGATCATGCTTCTTATTGATCATCCTCCAAGCATTACTGCTCTTTATTACTTATCTAAAACATTTTTTTTACCTCAGATGCTTTCTGTGAAAACTTTGCATCCTGAAATTGTTAATTCCTTAATAGACCCATCTAACCCATCTGACTGAGTTCTCAGGTCAAGATCATGGCCTACCTATTGTTCCCTCAAAAGATGAAACAGGAGTGATCTGACATTATTTGCACTTCAGGACAAGATCATCTAGACCAACCTCACTCATGGTGAAAAATCAGCTAGAACAAGTTGCTGCTCAGGCCATTGTCTAGTAAAAGTCAAAATATTTAAAACAGTTCCAACCTGTCTGGGTAACCTGTTTCAGTATTTACCCACCTTCACAGTGGAAAAAAAAAATCATAATACAGTTTCACACACTGCAACATTTGTTGTCCCTTGTCCTGTCACTGTAAGCCTTCCAAAAAAATCAAGCTTCATCTTCTCTGACTCTTCCAGTTACGTAATTGAGGGGAGCAGTAAGATCTTTCCTCAGCTTTTGCTTTTCAAGAATAAACAAGCCTAGATCTCTCAACCTCTCCGCAGACGTGTGCTCTGTACTGCCCAGACTGTCTAGGTGGCTTCTGCTGAATTCATTTTAGTCTGTATTTGAATGGGGAGCCTGAAATTAATGTCAACGGTTTATGGGCTAGTTCGGCCCAGTTCCGTGACTAGTGGGGCGGAGGGATCCGCAGATCCGCGCTTCCGGAAAAAGGGAACAGAGGACCCCAAAATAATTAAAAACAGCGGCAACAATCTGAGGAGAAACAAACTAATTTACTAAATATACTACCAGAATGCAAGATAACACACTGTAATACAATACAATTAAATTTGAAGCTAATAAATCAAATATAATGAGAGAATGTCCGAAAGGTGGGTAGGCCTCACCACAACGCGGAGAGCTGAGGTGAGATGCGCAGTCCAGTTGAGCAGCAGGGAGAAAAGGGAGGAGAGCCGACAAAAAAGCAGGCAAAAGAAGAGCGCGTCAGGTGACCTTGCCAGGAGTTGTATCTCGAGACTCTCTGTGACCGCAAAGTCCCCTGGGGAATGTAGTTGTTGTTCTCTTCCAGGCAGGTACCCAGAGCTTGAGCACTAACAGTTAAACTCCCACTGCCCCACATGATGTTATGATGTGGAATACCGAAAACCAAAAATCACAAAACCATGACAAATTAAATACTTCTGTCTAGTGCCTCTTACTTTTCAAATTTCTAGTAAAAATTAATATGAATCTTCATTAGCATGATATCATTAAATATTTCTCACTGAGAATACTTGTTCTTCCATGAATTGTAGAAGTTTGGTGTAATTCCCTATGATTCTGATTTGTTTCAGCTCGCTTAGGAGTTAGTTTCTTTAAGCTAAATTCAAAAATGAATTTAACAGCTGTTGTCCAAAGAATAAATAAATAATCAAATGGTGTGATATTACTGAAAGTGAGTTCTCAAGCCTATTCCTGAGTGCCACATGACAGCAAAAGCTGCAACAATTCAGTCAAATGTAAAACCAGTCTGAATGATATTAACTTCTCAATCTTTCATTTTTAGAGCTTCAGCTCTAGGGAAGAAAGATATCCTTTTCTTTCTGAGAAGAATTGAGTAAAATGAAATCTCCTTTGTGACTCATCTTTCCAGTGTAAAATCTGAGAAGATCTAATTCTGAAGTGATATGGGTTGGTTTTTTTTGCAGAGCAAGTTCTTCTAGATCAGAACGTTCAGACTCCTCCTCCAAGTCCATTTTCAATGCAAGCTTTCAGTAAGGGGACAAGCTGTAGTAATGGACAAGGGTTTGATTACGGCCTTGGAAATAACAAAGGTATGGTTTTTTCACTCACATTTTTAAAAATGATAATTATTTTAATTTTGCTTATGTTTTTGTCACTCATTTAATACTCTTCTAGTCACCATCAGATGTTCTCCAAAAGAAGAAATCAGTAGCACAGTGAATTGTAAGGTGTTTTTTCTTTACTTCAAATTCACTCAGTCTAAGTACTCTGAATAAAAGCATCATCAAATGCTTGAAAGTTATAGACAGGTGAGGCTTTCTGTAATCACTGAATCATAGAATGGCCTGGGTTGAAAAGGACCATAATGATAATCTAGTTTCAACCTCCCTGGTATCTGCAGGGTCGCCAACTACTGGACCAGGCTGCCCAGAGGCACATCCAGCCTGGCCTTGTATGCCTTCAGGGATGGGGCACCCACAACCTCCTTGGGCAACCTGTTCCAGTGCATCACCACCCTCTGGGTGAAAAACTTCCTCTGAAATGCCAGGCACAACACTATAATGTAGAAAAGAAAAATAAACATTTGCAAAACAAGATATGAAAGGTATTGTATTTAGAAAAAGAAGTTTTGAAAAGATCTGAAACATTCTTAAACACTTCTAACCTGTCTTAAAATGTGAAGTGCTTTTGATTGGATGACAGACTACCATTTGAGATTTATGTTGTAAAACTGAAGTTACTCAGACTCAGAGATACCAGTTACAAATACTGGGAAGTAAATAACATCTTACTCATTTTACTGACATAAAATAGTAGTTTCTCTTAAGTATGATTTATTTCATTGATGAGTTGTAAACATGCATAAGCCATCACAGTACACTCGAATTGCGTGCCTTCTGTTCGTTCATTAATTAAATCAAGAATATTTAATAATTATGGAAGGCACTTTTGCTGAGGCTGATGTCCTCAACAAATATTACTGAAGCACACAGCTCTGTCATTATACTCTGACATCTCTGTCTTCTGTCAGTGCCAGTGAGAATGTAGGCCTTAGGTGTGCAGTGTGATTTTAATACCAGAACATATTATAAGTGGTCTCTAAATTAAAAAAATAAATAAATCTTGAATTGAAACTTGTTTTAAAGGAGGACATATATATATATATATGATAGCCACAGTTTTACCATTACATACCATTATACAAGTAGCTTTTATTATTCAGATAGAAAGGTTAAAATATGGTCAAGTATATTCAGGAGAAACAACATTAAAGAGCGTTTGAGTAATTTCTTGTTGGAACCACAAGCATTAATTAGAACTCTTCCTCTTCTATTACCTGATTAACAGGATCTGAAATTATCAAGTAACTTGCAAGTTGTGCAGTTATCACTGTAGCTCCAAGAGTCATTTAGTCACCATCTTATATCAGGGTGTTTCATCATAGCATCAAGTTCCTTAAAAAGCTGTAAATCTACTGACAAAGTTTACTCAAGAGCAGTGAAATGTATTAGCATGTAGACATAGAAAAGTAATGAATTAGTGTTTCCTTCACTGTTTTTTCAGTTACAGGCAAAATGATCAAAACACATAAATACTTGCAGAAATCGCATAACAGTGTTGTTTGGCTGCTTTCTTTGTAAAGGTCAGCTGTGGGAATACAAGAAAAACTGTTCAGAGCAGAAGCTGTGGAGCAAGATAAACAGCAGTCAGCTAAATTTCTTTATTCTTTCGTGTATTGTAACTGCTTCTGAATTCTTGGAAAAAAAACAGCAAAAAATTGTTGGCAACTATGTTTGAAAGAGTAATGATATTTCCTTACACCTCCAAAAAAGAAATAGAATTAACGTATCATTATTTTATGTACTGCCAGCTTGCATTCAAAATCTAAGAAGCTTTGAGTTTTGTGGAAGAGAAAGAACTGAAGACACAAGCACTATGTATTAGGAAAAATTTCAAGTGAAGCAGTTCCATTGGAGATGCTTGTTTGTCAAAAGAACTTTCTGTAAGGATGCACTAGTTTAAATGCAGATTTAGTCACATGCATTGTTTGAATGTGAAGATACCTAGTATTAGGTCTGTGTTTACAGTATTGCAAGTATGCAGCTCTTCTTAGAGGTTCTTCTCTTTAAAACAAGTAATTGTCTTAGGACTGTTCCTTTAGAATTCTTCTAATGCAAACTGGAACGATTCTAACAAAAAAGTTCTTTAACTTTTCATATAACATCACATTTTGGAGCATTTTATCACTCTTATAATCCAGATATTTCATGGCTTAATAGACACTTAAGCAATTGCCAATCTGTGTCCAGAGAAAGATATTAACTAAAATAATATTTTATTAATTTCTAAAAATAGGCAGGTAACAGGAATCCCATTTTCTTCTGAATCAGGGAATGTTAGAAGAAAACATCTTCCTTGTTTATATTTAAAATATATTTGGTATCAACTACGCTTTGAAGTGCAGAAAATCACTTGATAGTTTTGTAAACCTGCATTAGGAGGTATAGGGCAATTCTAGAAAAGAACTACTACTACTGGCTACTGGGCTTTGCATACTTCTGTAAAAATCACTTCTCAGTCCTCTTCTGCCAAACAGGAAAAAGTAATCAGTGGCAAAACTGATGATAATGTTAGACTGTGAAACTGATTATTCTTCAAATATCCCCTCTGCACCAATGCCAAGAAAATATTAGGAAAGAAAGACTGAAAGGAATAATTTCATGATGATTCTGGAATGTGCACCCTGGACAATTGTTTTTTCTGTATAGCGTATATTAGGTATTCAAGGTCAAAAAATTAATCAATTGATATATATAGAGAGAGAAATATATATATAATATATAATAAATATATATATATGTTATATATATATATTTAATAATTAATGATAGGCAAAAATTTAAATACCCTTTTGGGACCTCGGAGTCAAGTTCTGTTTCACTTACATAGATAACTGGAATGATAGATAACCTGAGAATTTCATACAAGAATGTCAAAGGATAAGACATTTGCTTATGTGATTCTGCTTTATATACTGTTTGGAGATTTAGGCTACCATATCTCGGGAAAAATATTTCTCCATACTGTCAACACCCAGGTGGTAGAGGAAATGTAGCTATTGAAACAAATCTGTGTTGAACAAAATAGATTGATCTTATCACCAGAATTCTTCAGAATTGTAAAGATTTAATGAGTTAGTGGTATTGATGGTTTTAATAACAGATAATGAAGGAGTAGCTTTGTAATTGTTTGAAATGCAGTGCTAGAGTACATGGAACAATTGGGTGACTGGGATAAACAACCTGATAGATAAACACATAGTACATGAAAATATGCACTGCTCTGTGTTCTGAAAGGGCTTCTTAATTTTGGTGCTGAGACTGGATCAACTCTGGCTTACTTTTTGTAGTATGACTGTTAGATCAGTAAGCCCCAGTGATACACTGGGTATAAAGACAGAATACAGGAATAGTTCTTTTGGTTTTGGTAGTTAACTTGATGATCTGCCTCTACACTGTCATTTCTGCTTTGTGTTCCCAGCTGTTACATGTAATGCAGTGTCCAGCTACTTGGGCTGCCTTTACATTAAGGCAGCACTAAGTCAGCAGAGTTTGCTCACTGATTTTGTAAATTTCTTTTTAAAAAAATTAAAATTTGGAAATACTGTGCATACATTCAACTGAAGATGCACAAAGCATACTGTGAACAAAACCAGCACAAGAATTTTTACATGTATGGCAGGGTATATAAACTGCACACATACAGTTGCAAGATCCAGGTGGGTCCTGTATTGTAGTGTTGGTTCTTTCTCTGATAGTTAACATAAGTTGACATGTAGAAGAGAAAAAATACTATGCAGCCCTTAACCTGGAATTATTATTTTTTCATAGTTTTTTGTTTTTTGTTTTTTGTTTTAAATAGAGAATAATAGTGCTTTGCCAAATGTGTCACTCTCATCTGGGTCATTTTGGTAGGAAAGATTTCTGCTCAAGTACTGATTCTAGTATTTTTTTGTTATACTACTTTCAAAATAGTGGAATAAACTTGATGCCAGTAGGTGATTATTTAAATGGACTTCCAGCTGTTTCCTGGTATTTCTGTGGTTTCTTTTTTGAAACCAAAATATCAAGAAAATAATTGCAATATTTATTATTGAAGTTCTTAGGGTAATGTATGTTTCCATTTACCCATAAGTCTTTCTCTAAATCTATGAAAAAGCAATTGATTGTCACTTAAAACCGTTTGATAGTTCTGTATTAGTTGCTGTATTAGAATTTCTAGAATGTTTTTAAAATGATCTGAATTTGTAGAGTGAAGTGATGCTGTTAGGATTTGGTTGGTGATCATTCAAATCTGAGATGCTCTCATACTTGTGGTGTCTCTGAGCTGATGTGACTCTACCTCAAGTTACAACATGGTGTGATAAACTCTGCCTTCTTATTGTAGGCTTCATATATTTCTAACACTTATATGTGGCTCTTCTGAAAATTGACATTTAGAAATTAAAAATATGCTTTTAACATGCTAGTTTTTTGAAGGCCTTCATTTGCCCCACAATGAATATCTGTAGTTCTTCAGAAAATTACTGTTGGTTACTAAATTTTATTTATTTTTAAAAAATGATTTTCAATCTGATCTTGAAAAACATGACAAAATACTTTTGAAGATATTTGCAAAAAATGAGCAAATATTTACCAAAACCTAGGCATAGAAATACACTTACCGAAGTCTAAATACTTGTTATCCTTCCCCTCTCATCAGTTTTTCTAATCTTTATCTGCATGTTCTGTTGCATGTGTGTATTATTGTAAATGCTAGGGATGCTGTTTTTCTCTTGGCTGCTATTCTGTTTTTGGTTTACTATTTTTGTTTCGGTTTTTTTTTGTTTTTTTTTAGCAAGTGAATATAAATTTCTATTTTGAAATGTTTTAAGTAACTGGAGTAGAGTTTCCATGATTTTTTAAAAACCCTGCTTGTAATTTGAAGTAAATTTATTGCCATGCATGGGATGAGGTTTTTGTATTTAGCTACAACCAGAACTGTATGTGGCTAAATAAGAGCTTTCTCTATTATCACCATTTAAACATTAATTGAGCACCATTGTACTCCGCTGTTCAGAGAATGACAAGTAACAGGTTGTAGTTTTGACTGTTTTGCCTACTACAGGTGACCAACTGAGTGCCATACTGAATTCCATTCAGTCACGGCCAAATCTCCCAGCTCCTTCCATCTTTGATCAAGCTGCAAAACCTCCCTCTTCCCTAGTCCACAGTCCATTTGTGTTCGGACAGCCCCTTTCCTTCCAGCAGCCTCAGCCACAGCTTCAGAGTAAGTTTGTCAGCCTTACCTGCCTCATCAGTCCATTTCTGCAGCTTTTACATTGCTGTCCCCCGTTGCTTGCTAGCTTCTAATCATCCCTCAGCACGCCTTTCTACTTTTATTTTGTTGAGTTACTTTTTCATCATTCAGACACATGTGAGCTAATGCTCCTAAAAAAAGTATACTTGATCAACTTTAGTTTTGATATTGACAATATTTTGCTTTTGTACGTGTCCTGCAGCATAGATAACATTCATGAAAGTGCATTTCCAATATTGTATGAAACTCTGGGTTTATAATGAAACTAAACACCTTCTATGGTACAAAATGTTGATAAATCTCTTAACATAAGAAATTGACTGCAGTAAATTAATAGTTATTCAGTTTTCTTCTTAAATTTCTGATTTTGTCATCACAAAATGATGTATCTGGAAAGTTGGAACTTTCCAGAAGTTATCAGTCCAGAAGAACTCATAAAGACTTAGCAGTCTTGTGTTGAGTGCTTATAAGGTTGGTAGGGACATGCAAATTTGCATCTAGATGTGAATGGCAGTTGATCTGATTACTGGCAGGAGAATTTTTGTTCAGTGAAAATTGAAAGTTTACCATTCATTGTGAGTAGCAGATACAACAGTAAATTCTTGCTTATGTACAGAACAAGTCTAGCATGCTGGTCTTGTCTTACCTGTAGAAGTATCCGTTAGAAGTGCCACAGTTCTTTTCTGTGGGACATGTCAGTCAGTTCAGTTTGTCTCACACAGCCCTAATGTGTGCCGGTTCAGCCAATGCTAAGTATTGGTAAGTATTTAGTGGAGTGCAGCAAGTGAGAATTAGATTTAAATATCTAGTTCACTTCTGCATGGGCTATTGCCTCATTCTGACAATGACATTGTGTGCTTATACTAGGCTGTCAATGTTTTACGGGCTGGGTCAGCCTGTTTCCGTGACTAGCGGGGCGGAAGGATTTTGCAAAATCCGTGCCTCCGGAAAAGGGAAGCAGGGGACCCCAAAATAATTAAAAACAGTGGCAATGATCTGAGGAGGAAGAAACTAATTTATTAAATATGGTATCGGAATGCAAGATAACATACTATAATATAATATAATTAGAATTAAAGCTAATAAATCACATATAATGAGGGAGAGTATCCGAAAGAAGGATAGACCTCACCATAACTGAGGTGAGATGCACAGTCCGGTTGAGCAGCAGGAGGAGAGCCTAATGAAGAAAGAGACATGAGGTGACCTTGCTGGGTTATATCTCCTCTCTGACCACAAAGCCCCCTGGGGTATGTAGTTCCTCTCTTCCAGACAGGTACCCAGAACTGGAGCATTGACACTTTAACTCCCAGTGCACTACATAATGTTATGATGTGGAATACCGATAACCAAAAATCATAAAACCATGACATGGGCTTAAACCAACATTCTGAAAACATGTTCCAAAACCTAGTTAGATGAAGCAAGTGATTGCCAGTAATGTCAAAATAGCATCACTGGGAATTTGACAATTGTATATTCTTTTCCTTCACTTTTGTTTTTATTTTGTTGTCCAGAGTAGTAAAGTCAGAGTTTCTTATTCAACATTCAATCAAAAATTTCCCTACTGGTCTTATTTCAAACTTTTATCATTTAGTATTTATGTATGAAAAGAAAAGCTGTCTATTTTTTTTTATATGCTGCTCAATAAGCTTTTTTTAATTAAATTACTATCCATGTATTGTTTAAAACAAGATCCAGGATTCAGAATTAGGACCTTTTTTCCAAGGGGAATGCTGGTCTAATAAATAAAATAAAAATACAAAAATAAAATAATCTTAAGTTTTCTGTCTGATTTGATAGCTTAGTACAGTATTTCAACCAGTTAGGTTATTAGCGCTTGCAGCAGTATAAACTAAACCGGAACTCAAACAGAACTAGTGTACTATGTTGCCATAACTGTGATGTGATACAAGGACCTTCTTCCTAACAAGTTGTCATTTACTTTGTGATATCACATAAATAATGTAAATTATATGTGCGAAGGAGGGAAATATTAAAGTTTTTATTTCCAGTACGAAAAATCTAGAAGCATATGAGACGAAAACAGTTTTGAGTTAGAACTTCCTTATTCTTCTGAAAATCTGGTAATCCTCCTTTTACCGCTTGACATAAAGGTAGAACATTATCTGTGAAGGCTGTAGGACTGTGTTCATGTTCATTGAATAGTCAAGGAAATTATCAGGGATCTTTGAAAATTAAATACTATTTCTAGAAACCATATGTATTAGAAAGTAATGAATTAGCAGTGTACATCTATTAGACTAGCAAAGCATAACTGCAATAAAAATATTTAAACAGGAAAGTTCTATTAATATCTGATTTTGCTGTGCTTTTTAATGTGTTTGATATGTGCAACTCTGAGCTATAACTGAGCTGTAAGAGAATCCCTTTTAACAATTTATTATTTCCAAAGCATTTTATAACTTCCTGTTTCTAAACAAGTAATTAGAAGTTAAATCCCTTAAAGAGCATATCCCAAGGCTCCATATCATGACAACTATAGTTTTATGTAATTACAATTTTAAATGATGTCCTTTGTTCATAAGTGCTTACTACAATAAATTTAGATCTAAAAATTAAAGCAAATGTTTGTTACTTGTTCTATTAAAAGGATTGGTGATACTTTAACAGTTGAAAGTAGTTGTCCCCCATTGTAGATTCCCATGGCTACAGACATGGCAACATGGAAACACTTCTTCTGATTTAACAATCTGAGAAACTAGCTTAGGCTACCACTTACATTTTCTGCTGCCTGTCTATTTGAAGAGGTTTTATATTGAAGCATGATTTTGAGGGGAATTAAGATCATGTTGAATGTCCCATAAATGTATTTCCTAAGTAGTGTATCAGAGTATGGAGAAAAACTTTAATCTGATCATGATGCATACTCTGCCAGAGATTTTCTTCAGAAAAAAAACAGTTAGCTATTCTTTCTGAGGAATGCTTTCTGTTCTTGGGTTTTATTTTCTTTTGTTTTCCAAATTGACTTGAGGAAGAGGGGATGGGCTTCTCACAACTTTTTTTCTTCAGATACAGCATCTGGTTATTTTTTGCAGAAATACTATAGTGCTTTTGGACAACTACTTCTTCAGATATTATGCTTGAAGTATTTTTTTTTTAACAGAAAGAGCATGAGTTTTCCTTGATTATTTCAACAAAGCAGTCTGTAACTACTCATGCCTGAATTTGCTTGCTGCTAAGACTGTAAGATCATCAATAACAGATTTGCTCAGGACTACAGCTTCCAACAGCTGCCAGATTTATTACTCATTACTTGATTAATTTGTCTCCGCATTTTGTTGATTTTGTCCAATTTCTGCTTGGATTCTGAGTGTATCAAATCCTGGAGAGTCAAGCAGGGTCTTGTTTCTCAGCCTTCGGCAGTCTGTGCTGGTCATAGAAACCCTGTCGCACTGTTCAACACCAGTTAGTAAAATTTAAGAACTGGCTGTTGAATTCTCAATCCAGGGAGGAAGCTTGTAGTCACAGAAGTTAGAACTTTCTGCTGTTATCTTCACATCTGAGTTGTTATTACAAATGAGGAACAGATTTATAGACTGGAGATGTGTTAAACCCTTTTTTTTGATTCATCTATCACAATTCTAACTCTTCCACTATAGCAAGGCAACTTGCCTTGAGTAGTTTGCTCAGCACAGCTGTTGTTTCCTGACTCACCTCAGTCCAGGCAGAAGCTGCAGTGCTGAGTTGCTGTTCAACGCATTCATGGTGTTAGACTGCCTCATTGCCAGTACATGCTGCAGAACTGCAAATCAGTATATGATCAGCCCCTACCATGCATATGTTCTTCAGTACTGTGTTAGCATTTTCTTCTTGGTTTTCTTCCTTTTCTTCCTAGGTGCTTATTACAAAACATATGAAACCTCTGGCTTTGACAGTGCTTCTGTCAGCCACTTATAAACAGTGGAAGCTGCACAAAAGATTTGCACACATACAGAGTGCGTAACCCTTTTTAGGAGCATTTTAGTAAAACGAAGGGAGAGAGTAGTTTTAACCAATCACTCTGCTTTCTTCTATGTCATACTGAAATGTCATAGAAAGCAGACTGAGAGTATTGGCTAACTTTTTTTTTTCTGATGCCAAACTTTTTTCTTGTTGACAAACTATTATTCCTCAAAGAAGTTAAACTGTTTCATACTTTAGGCTTCAAAGATTTAGTGTTGTAAGAAACACACTTATTTTTTTGTGGTGCTGAGCAATTTAAATTCAAAACCACCTCTGGGGGACTGGTAACATAGTTTGGAGGACATGTATAAATTGTGTCGAGGTTTATTTTAGAAATAATTTTGACTCATTGTCTTCAAAAATTAGGAAATTACAGATTCGCTATTATAAAATTATAGGTTAATTTTATATAGTTCTCTAGTACAGGAAGGCTTATTTCAATTAAAATATTTAAGCAGTTCCAGTGTTTGTTATTGAAACCCTACCTTTGGGCAGTAAACATAAAAAATTTTTCTTTGCAATGAACAGTAATATTTTTATAAAGATACTACATTTTAGCAGTTGCTTCTGTTCATTCTTTCATTTTCCTACTAAATTTATCTAGTAGTTCTCTGCCTTTTTAATATGTAATATTCGGATGTTTGTTGACTTCTGTGTATTCTTTTACTTATCAAGAAATGGAATCCATGTCCAACTGTCAGTACAGCTTTGGCATTTTTCAAAATATGAAAAAACATAAGAGGCATCCAATGCTTAGGCAAAACTGCAGAAGGTAGGTCAGTGCTTTCCTTCATCATCATGCAAAAAGGCTGGAAAGGAGTGGCATTTCAGAAGAAATTTTAGCTTATCTTCACAATCCAGACACACTTTAGCAGTGTTTTTAAGTCTGTTTCAGACTTAAAAAATAATAAAAATTAACATGGACCAGTTGGCAGTATGTCATGCCTGCTGGTTTGGCTTATCAGTTTTTCCTCAGAAGGAGTAGACATCGGACATCCTGCCATGAGCTGCCTCTTATGTTTCCACACTGTGTAGCTTTTCAGGCTGGAACTATTTCTAAGTTGAAGGAGAGAGTGTGACTAGAGAAGAGGCTGTCATGTTCAGTTGTGACTGGACAGGTCTTGTTTACCTGTATTTGAAGCCTTCGTAGTCTGAAGGTGATTGAAGAACAGGAATCCTGTCCTTGTCACTGACCAGACATACTGGATGGATATAGATTGAATAGAATCACAGAATCATAGAATCACTCAAGTTGGAGAAGACCTTAAAGATCGAGTCCAACCACGACCTAACCATACTGCCCTAACTCTAACAGCCCTCTGCAAAATTATGTTCCTGAGCACCATATCCAAACAGTTTTTAAACACATCCAGGAAACATTGTTTTCCTAGACAGCAAGGAGACTGTGTGGGAAACACATTGTCTTTGACCCAATCTCCTTGAAATGACTGAGTGCTGATATAGTACTCAACATAAACTAGATTACAGAGTTGTAATGTAAATATTCTCAGATGTAGAATGAAAGAATGAAATGAAAATCTGCATACATTAAATTGGATTTAGTAAAGATTTAATTATTCGCAGAATGGGAAGCTGATAAACAAAATTGTCATTTTTAGGCTTGTTTTTTACAAAAGTGTTCGTTTAATGCTATGTTGCATTCTTAATGTATTTTCCTGCATTTTAACTTTATAAATGTGCAAAATGTCTGATGTCCTCCTACTCAAAAGCTATATAGTTGGTATTGCATCTTTACAAAGCTTTTGTAGGTATCAAAGTAAGTAATGCTATTCTTAAACTTGTGACAGTACTAGAATGAGAATATATGGATTCTTTTATGATTTTAAAGAATTAAATTCTTACCTCAAGCACAAGTGAACATCTTCTCATTATAGAATCTGTGGATGTATAGTTTGTTATTCAAGGTAGAGATTTTAATGTATTTGTGTACAGCTTTGTAAATTCAGTACCTGACAAAAACCAAACCAACCAACCAACAAAACAAAAAAACAACAAAAAAACCCAACAACAACTAAGCGATGTAGGAACAGAAATCTCTTATTTTCAATGCACTTTTCTTCCATTTGTACAAAAGTGTATTTCTAAAGCCAAGTATCTTCTAGTGTACAAAATCTTTTTAAAATCATTGATACAACAGGAAATGGACTTTTTTTTCCTGAAGAAATAAAAATTGAAATTAGAATTAAAAACAGTGTTATAGGAAAGTAAAGTCATAGACTTCAAATTAGAAGTTCCTGCTGTTATCTCACTCTATCATGGATTATACCAGAGTTTAACTTCTTTTTTTTCCTTAATCCTTAAAGCAAAATTATTTATAAAGGTTGATACAAATTTGTTTTCATATCTATACTGTTTGATAGAAACTTCTACTGATAATTAGGTCTTCTGATGGTATTACAAAACTGCAGTTCACATTACAAGTAAAGATTTTTGTAACATTTCATTACTGAGGTGAATTCAGATTTGAAAACAAATAGCTATAATTGGTTTAATATATTTTTCATCATTCTTCCAATGAGTAGTGAAACTTCAAAACAGAAAAGTCCGGATCTTCTGTAATTTTATCAAAAGAATGTTACAAACGGTCATCTAAAGAAGATATTGCAGTTTTAAATAACTAATCTCTGAATTTACAGATTAAAATTTCGCATTTAAAAGCAGATTTCTGTTCAAAATTAGGTACTGCTGGTTTCATAATAAACGATATATCTGATTGACTAGCCATAGTGCATTTTAGATCCCATAAACTATTACCTTAGTATTTTATTTTTTGAAGTTTGCATTAGGGAAAGCTTTTTAAAGTAACTGTTTCTCATTTAAAACTAATGTAGGAGTCTTGATAAATTCAAGAATATTTAAAAGAGGAGATGCATTATCACTTTAAATGCTTGTTTTTATATCTGCAATTTTTTCCATTGAATCTGTGCTGCTTCTGTGCAACTGTTTTCCACTGTAGACACTCCATCCTGCTGCCTTGCTTCTCGTGAGCGTATTTACAAAACTAGTGATGTAGCTGGGCCTGCCTCTGCTATTTCATCTCTCTCTCACAAACTGAAGGGTGGGTATGCATGCAAACATGGCTAGGTTATTCAGATTTTGCATTCAAAGTGTTGCGGTTTTTTTTCTCCTTCCATTCATTTTCATTTCATTCCCTTAATACAATTTATTCAAGTTTGTTTTGTGTTAGGAGTTTATTTGATATGGCCATTCAATATTGTCTTACTGAGCGGCACTGATTTCAGGGTATGCATTTTAGCTATCAAATTTTGTAAATGGGTAACTGTTAATCGAATATAACACTATCTGCTCTCATATGCAAATATAGAAGGCAAATGAAATGTAGAAGGGGAAAAAACTAATCTTTTTTTGTTCTTTGTTTACAGATAAATCAGATATGTAATTATGCAGTTTTTCATGTGGGGCATTTTTTTGTGCTGATACTCTAGAATGCTAATTAGGATTATTTACATACACGTATGCAAAGTGAAACCTTCCTTAAAAAAATATTTTTCATTGCTAAAAGCTATTGCTAAGCTATGCTTTTCAAAAACATTTTTGTTCTAGATGCTTTCCTACTTTTTTAACTGGTAATGCATATACTTGGAATGTGATACATTGCAGAATGGTTTGCCATGTTCTGTGCCCTCTAAGAAGACATGTGTTTTCCGTTCCCTTTTTTCTTTTATGAGGAGTTCTATAAGAAGTTATTCAAATAATACTACCTATTTTTTTCTCATAGGGCAAACTTTGAATTAATATTTTTGTTTGCTTATTTTGGGGAGAAGTATGTGTAAAGTAATTTCATTTCTGAATTCATTTATCACAAAGCAGAAATCTTAAAAATTGTTCATCAGTAGAACTGGTGAATAGCAAAACTGGCTTGAGAAAATGGTTGAACTGCTATTTAATAAACACATTTTTTTTTTCTTCTAGCAAGAGCAGTCATTTTATAAAACATGATGTACCATGCTATTTTTGCCCCATTTCTTTCCCCCCATGTCAAAACAAACATGCAGATAAGAAAACAACCAAAAAGCTCCTGAGAAAAAAAGGTTAAAGACACTTAAGACACTCAAGAGCAATAATGAAAATGTTTGAAATGTTCTGCTTACGTTTGGCATGTTGTCCTCGAATATAGACAAAATATTTCTTTTTTACTCTGGAGAAGTATAAACTCCTGTTGTATCCGGTGTCCTGGGAAGAAAGGAAAGCACCCTAACTCTCAAGTTTATTAAATATTTTAATATAAATATTCTTAACTTTTTCGTGTTGCTGTTTGTTTTATTATAAGCCACTTAATCATGGAGAAAACAAAAAATGTTTTCTGAGGAGACATCTTGGTTTCTAGTCTTTATTTATTTATTGTGAGATTTAATGGTATTAATAAAAAAAAAAAAAAGAAACAGGTCATCCCATGCTTTTGTATATTTTCTAGCATGCAGATAAGGCTTCATGCTACAAAACTAGAAGAATTCAGAATTTTGTATTGCAAAAGGAACTAAACACAAATTTCCCACCTTCCAAGTAAATATTGAAGGTACTAAATAAAAGATGACTACCTGTCATTTCTGTTCCCATTAGAAATCATGGTTCAAATTAGCAAACATTTTTTGATTGATTTAAATTTTTTGACAAATTATTTTTTCCGCCAGAATATGCTTGGGTCGGGGAAAATAGCATTTTAATTCTAGTAAAAAAATAAATAAATAAATAAAAATCCACAGTGCAGTGACCTACTTTTACAAGCTTTACAAGGATAACTACTTCTTTTCTAAGTAATGAAAACATATTCAAATTGGAAGGACTGTGTCAAGACTCTGAGGTGTATTGCTTTCTGGAGAGAGTTGTATATTATTATAATTTGATGAGTGTTGCATTATTACCACTAATGTAAACATTTCTCAACTTAATTTAAAAAATAGAGTTATATAAGAGTGACAGAGTTTGTACTCATAAAACGATTTGAAGTATAATGTTTGATGAGCTAGTTACATACGTGTACTAGTTTGGCATGTAATACATGTATAAAGTCAATGCACTTGAGAACAATAAATTACTGCATCAAGCTAAAGGTGGCTGATGGTTTGGCTTAGGAGTAATAGAAGAAGGTTATTATGAGTAGATTATGTTCTAGGAGAAAAATGTTGATAGCATGTGATCTTAAAAATCAAGATAGATTATTGTGAATTGTTTTAAGCTTGTTTGTAAGCCTTTTACCCAATTATTTGCCTTATAATTGTATTTACTTCCTATGTTTCCTGACTTTTGAGAATGAAGAAAAGTAAATCTGGTCATACTAGTGGTCTTTCTGCTAGTCTCTTGTTGCAATCAGTCTGACACACAGAAATAGTAAAGAAATAAACCCTTGGTTTCTGTTGCAACTGAGGTAAATTTTGTTAACACCTAGCTTTGTTAATTCCTTAGTTAATTGTAGCTAAGGAAGTAAATATGGTTCCTTTATTTGTGTTTTGAGAAACTAGTGAACTATGCCTTTAGATACCACTATAATGTGTTTTTCTGTAAATATTTCCTACCCAATGTTTGGTAATGTACATTCGTACATCTTTTCGGGAGAAGAAATGTACCAATATTTAGATTTGCATGCATTACATTAACAGAAGCATGCTTTTGAATTTTATTGTGCATTCAGGTCTTTAATTCTTGTTTTGTGCTGTTAAACATGTCACTGTTAAATATAACAATTTAATTACAAAATATGCTAAACAGGTGACCGAGTGAATTTCACAGGAGCTGCTAGACCTATTTCTCCAGCGGGAAAATCAGACATGTCATCAAAACACAGATCTGACAGCAGGTCACCGAAGCTTGACGTGCGAATGAATAGAGCTGCTGCTGACCAGAAGAAACCTAGGAATACTGACGGCCTAACAGCCAGTGAATCTCTGCTGCTGAAATCAGATGCTGCAAAGTTGCGGTCAGATCCTCACAGCAGATCTTTGTCTCCAAATCATAATACTTTGCAAACACTAAAAACTGATGGAAGAACTACAACTGGTCTGAGAGCTGAATCTCCGGGGCCAGGAACTCGGTCATCTTCTCCAAAGACAAAGACACTTACAGCAGTTAGATCTGGTGCTAGTTCTCCACGATCCTCATCACCCCATGATAAAACGGTACCTCAGAAAGCTTCATCTCCTGTAAAAACAAAGCTTGATCCTCCTCGAGAACGATCCAAATCAGATTCTTACACATTAGATCCAGACACTCTTCGCAAAAAGAAAGTACCGCTAACAGAATCATTAAGGGGGAGATCAACTTCACCCAAACCAAAAATTATTACAAAGGACATGACACCTACAGAAACTGAAAATAGAGCTCCATCCCCTCATGTCGTCCAAGAAAACCTTCACAGTGAGGTTGTTGAAGTGTGTACTTCAAGTACTCTAAAGACTAACAGCATTACAGATAGCACTTGTGAAGACAACACAGAATTCAGAAGTCTGGACGACAGTTCTAGTAAAGTTCATTTCAGCATAGGGAAAGCACCTCTGAAAGATGAGCAAGACATGAGAGCATCTCCAAAAGTGAGCCGTAAATGTGCTGGTAGGCATACAAGACCCAAAAAGGAGAAATCCAATTTTCTTTTTAAAGGAGATGGCTCCAAGTCTATAGAGCCAGCCAAGCAAGCAATGTCACCTTCTGTTGCAGAATGTGCTAGAGCTGTGTTCGCTGCTTTTCTTTGGCATGAAGGAATAGTTCATGATGCTATGGCTTGTTCATCTTTTTTGAAGTTTAATCCAGAGCTGTCCAAAGAGCATGCACCAATACGAAGCAGTCTCAGTCAACAACCTGTAGAGGAAAAAGAAACCAAGTTGAAAAATAGGCATTCATTGGAAATATCCTCTGCTCTTAACATGTTCAACATTGCTCCCCATGGACCAGATATATCTAAAATGGGCAGCATCAACAAAAACAAGGTCCTTTCAATGTTAAAAGAACCACCTTTGCATGAAAAGTGTGAGGATGGAAAAATTGAAACTACCTCCTTTGAAACATCTAGTCATCACACTATGAAATCCAAGTCTCCTCTTCCATTAACACTGCAGCACTTGGTAGCTTTCTGGGAAGATATTTCTTTAGCAACTATTAAAGCAGCTTCCCAAAATATGATTTTTCCAAGTCCTGGTTCTTGTGCAGTGTTAAAGAAGAAGGAAAATGACAAAGATAACAAGAAAACCAAGAAAGAGAAAAAGAAAAAAGAGAAGGTTGAGGCTAGACCAAGGGGAAATCTTTTTGGTGAGATGGCCCAATTAGCTGTAGGAGGACCTGAAAAAGACACAATCTGTGAGTTGTGTGGAGAATCACATCCATATCCAGTGACTTATCACATGAGACAAGCTCATCCAGGTAAGATTCAGTATTTTGCTTCCTGTGTCTGCCTGCAAAATACATCATACACATACATTTTTGTATTAGTTGCTGCTATGGAAATAAGTCAGGCTGCCTTGTTTTAACTGTTTTAACACAGTTTACCACACATGCTAAATTTAAACTCAAAAGTTCTTAAGGATGTAGGCTCTCAAACATAAAGAAAATTTTTGAAATAAAGACAAATCAGCAATCAGACATTACAATACTACTTCAGAAATGTGATGCTTGTTACACTCTAGGACTCCAAACAGTGCTGAAAAAAGGGAGAAAAAGTGTAAGTTATGGTTAATTAACATGTCTATGTTGCCAAAAGTTTTCTCTTCTACTACTGATGATCTGCTGTGTCATCTCTTGGTATCAGTGAATTTTGATTTAAAATCTATATTTTAAAAAGAAAAAAATGTGTAGTTAGTATCTAGATTTGTGAGCCTTAATCAGAAGGCAGCTTGTAAAATACAAAACAGCTATATTTTGTCTCTACACATTACTTGAGTCTGTTCAGGAGTTTAATTCGGGAATCATTAAGAAAATAATTTTTAGCTAGACATTAACTACTGTTTGCTAGTCAACTGAGTCTAAAAAATACTTGTGATATAGCCAGTAATAAGTAGCCTTGTCAGAGACAAAATTATTTGTTTCCTAGATTGTACACCAAGCTAAATGATTTTACCTGTTAGTGAAATTCAGGCTGGTGTTGTATGCGTTATTTCTAGTACTGTATGGTAAACTAAGGAGCCTTGATCTTCAGCACAAATCAGTTCTCTCGATTTTTCTGAGAACCAATAATCATCAAAGGAATACACTTTATTCCCTTTTAAGCTTTGTTAGATATGTTGTAGGTCTTCAATTTTAAACTGTAGATATGCTGGCTAACATGTAATACTGACTTTACCATCACTAAGCTGTCTAAGTTGAAAACTGTTGATGCACTGGGCATGTTAATAATAAAAACATGAAAACAGAAGTATTTGGATTCTTCAGATACCACTGGGATACATGAATGTGCACTGTAATTTTTTAAATCTGTTAACAGGAGAGGCAAGCACCTTCCTTCCCCACCTACATCCCTGTTTTGCAGATAGGAAAAAAAATCTTTATTTTGAAATAACTTTTTTTTTTTTTTTTTTAACTGTATGTAGGTTGTGGTCGTTATGCTGGTGGCCAAGGTTATAATAGCATAGGACACTTCTGTGGAGGATGGGCTGGTAATTGTGGTGATGGTGGTATTGGAGGAAGCACTTGGTATTTGGTATGTGATCGATGCAGAGAAAAATACCTCCGTGAAAAGCAAGCAGCAGCAAGAGAGAAGGTATTTTTATCTGTTTATCTTATGTTTTTCTCTCTGTAGTAATGCATTCACAGTTTGAAAGTAGACTTTGAAAAATTTGGAATTTCAGAATCATGGAAGGTTTTGAAATACCAATTCACAATAATGTTACATGAGATCATACCCAGGTCTTTATGTGATGACATAACCAGGCTTTGTGTGATCTAGAGTAATGGAATACTAGCATAAAAGGCATTCATCTAATATTGCTCTTGCCATATCCAGTTTCAAATTTTTGCTTAAAATATGCAAATATGTGGAGGTTTTTTTTAAAGATGAGCAGAACAGTTTTAGTTTAAATGAATTAAACTAAATGTATTAAAACTTTTTGCACACAAAATTCATTGTGAAGCAAACATGATAACTTACAGCTTTTTATGAAAAGTTAAAAGTACTATTTTAGAAGAGCATCATTTTATAACAGGAAGAATCAAGCAGCTTACCTACGTGATATTGATAGCTTTTCTTGTGATGAAGAACAATTTAAATACACCTTTTTTTCTTTTCATTAATTTATATAGATTAAACAATCTAGGAGAAAACCAATGCAAGTTAAGACTCCTCGTGCCTTGCCAACTATGGAAGCTCACCAAGTGATTAAAGCTAACGCACTATATTTGCTGTCACTGAGCAGTGCTGCTGAGCCTAGTATCCTCTGCTATCACCCTGCAAAAGCATTCCAATCTCAACTTCCCAGTCTAAAAGAAGGAATTTCTGAAGATTTTCCCATTAAAATGCCATGTCTGTATCTACAGACTTTAGCAAGGTATTAAAGAAAGTTTATAAATACTGATTATAATATTCATTTATCTAGAGTATTATTTCCTCTATTATTTCCTTTTAACTCTACCTTAGTGTCTCATGTCTACCATGGATTTCCCAATCCCCGTGTTGGTTACTGTTTAACTCATCAGTTGAAAACACCACTATATTTTGCCCTAAGGTGGAAATTGCAACTAGGTTGTATTCATTAGGTGAATAGTAAATGAATCGTGTTAGCTGTCTACGTGTATTTGCAAGGAAGTATTTTGTACATTTATTTCTGTAACTCATAATCCTAACTTAGGAAACCTTATTTGATGTAGGCATCATCATGAAAACTTTGCTGGGTACCAGGATGACAACCTCTTCCAAGATGAAATGAGGTACCTGCGCTCAACTTCTGTACCTGCACCATACATCTCAGTTACTCCTGATGCGAGCCCTAATGTCTTTGAAGAACCAGAGAGTAACATGAAGTCTATGCCCCCCAGGTACTTCTCAGTACTACATACAAATGTTAATGCATTAGCAGAACACCAAGTTTAATTTTTTAAATTTTTTAAATTTTTTTAAATGAAGATAATGGAAAACATTGTCATAATAAAGTAGCTAAAGTATCAGGTCAGCCCAGATCAGTCTCTTGAAATAGCAGAAAAAAAACCCAAAACACAAGAAACTGTTCTTAAAGTGTCTTCAGTAAATGATAGCGTATCTGATGTATTTTCAAACACTGGTAATGCAAGTTTGCAAATCTTATTTAAAAACTTTAAGAGTGTTGCAGATCAGTTGCTTCTCTTTAGAAAGGTCTTGATTTCACAGCCAAACTATGCTAAAACAAACAAAATAAAAACAAATCGTACATTCAGAAATTGATGAAGGACTCTTCACCAAGGACTCTTGGTGAAAGACTCTTCACTAAAAATCCTTAGTGTACCTTAAGAAAATTTATCCCTTGTCCTTATTTCAGGCCTGCTTATTTTTCTCATAGAGGCAAATGCAGTTTTCCCACAATCGCCAGAACTGCAAAACTGAAGACGTTATTTGAAAAGCAGTGGTCCAAGAAACATAGCTGAAAATTTAGCACTTTTCCCCTGTATTTCCATTCCGTGATACAACTGATTGATTGTAGTGTGGATGAACTACCCTTTTAAGAAGTAGTAGCTCTTCAAGATTTCATTTTGAAGGGAGGTTTGACAAAGGGGAATTTCATTACTTTGCATTTTCAAAGCAAAATTTGGTGTTTCTTTCTGTAGAAAGTTAAAAAGTGTCTGAAGAAATGGCAGTTTAATGCTATCCAGGATCAAGAGTGCTAGGTGGTTTTTACCAGGTTAAGCCAAGTCTTTATTTTGTCAAATTTTCTATAATCCAATTCAAACAATTACAGATTTTTTTTCTGTTTTGCCCAGGGTAAAAAAGACTCTTACTTAATAATAGTCCTAAATCAACATAGATGGTTGAGATTTTCATACAGTGATGTAACAAAGGGAAAATTTGCTTTTGATCTGTTTTTTTATGTGTTTCAATTTCTTATTTTATACTGATAGAAAAAGTAGTTTATTGGAATACTACAATCTGCAATATAGTCTTTTCAGAAATAGAACTTTTCTAAAAAAACTCCTTAAGAGTGCATCGTATTGGTATATTCCTTTATTAAAACTGTGGACACCATGGTTTCCTGAGGCCTATAGGGCCAGCATAAGCTGGGAGTTCTTCTGCAGACTGTAAGAAGTCCACTGAAGGTAAGGAGTAAAACATGTCAAAGACATAGCCGTAGCAAATGAAAATTGACTTTAAGGCTAGAGATGTTGGAAACATTTCCTTTAATATTCTAAATTTCAATTGGCTTGCATAATAAAAATTCACTTCATAGGTGCTTTTACATGCATTCTCAGTACAATTTTGCCTGAAAGTTCAATTCAGGCATCATCAGAATGTTTGTGTTCTCTCTGAAAAATACCTAAATTCTTTGAACTTATGATTTACATTATTATATTTTTTATGAAGTCTTCTCATGGTTTTTCATCATATATAATTCTAACGTGTTTTTTCTTTTCCAGGGTATAAACAGTTTTTAGGTACATCAAACAAACTTTCATGCTGCGGTAGCATTGTCATTATTGAATGCATGTTCCTTTATTTAATATTTATGCATAACTTAGGAACACTGTACATATTTACTAATGAATCTTTAACTTCTCTGATTTCTTTGTAGTTTGGAAACCAGTCCAATAACAGATACAGACCTTGCGAAGCGCACAGTTTTTCAAAGGTCATATTCAGTTGTTGCATCAGAATATGACAAACAGCACTCCATTTTGCCAGCACGTGTAAAGGCAATCCCCAGGAGACGAGTTAACAGTGGAGATGCAGGTAAAAGTGCAGACATTGGAAAAGGAAAAAAAAAATTTTGAGGATGTCGCATTGGACTTACCGTTATTCTTGGAAACTGTGGACAATTCTGTATTTAAATATATATATATATATAAATATATATAAATATATATAAATATATATATATATATATAAATGGCTTTTATTTCTCTTTAACAAACAACCAATATTTAATTAATAATCTGCACACAATTAGTCTCAGAACATATCAGGGATTACTACAGTTCTGAAATTTGTGGTTCATGTTCTGTGCTAGTTAAAAGCTAATGTGGTTGTTTCTTGGTGGTGTTGTCTGCTTATTTTCTCAGTTGAAGCATCATTTTTCCATGCTGTTTTTTTTAATACGTTTTTTTCTGATAGAAAAAAATGAATAAAAGTTTATCAATTCTGAAATTTCTCTGCTGCTTTTTATTTTTACTGTGGCTGTAAAATAAAAATGCACAAGCAATCTAATGTATGCATATTTTTTTGTTTTTGAATAGAAGTGGGGTCCTCTCTTCTGAGACATCCATCTCCTGAACTTTCTCGGTTAATCTCCGCCCACAGCTCTCTTTCCAAAGGAGAGAGAAACTTCCAGTGGCCGGTGTTGGCATTTGTAATCCAGCATCATGATCTGGAAGGACTTGAAATAGCAATGAAACAAGCCTTACGGAAATCTGCTTGCCGAGTATTTGCCATGGAGGTATTAATGTACTAATGGATCTTTTGTGATGACAATAGGACATATGTAATTTCTGTCTCAGTGTTTTTCTTGTGGCTTTTTATTTATAATTTTCATACAGGTATAAAAGCAAGAAAAAAACATTTTAAAAATTGTCTTTTATGAATGTATTATGAACTCTAGAAGTTAAGAATACAAAAATATTACCCAAATATCTTCTTCAATAGTATGTTTGTTGTCTGGAAATAGATTCCTTAAGTTATTGAGCAATGCCTTACGTGGAGGCCTCTGCATAATTATTTAACTGTTCAAAAGCATCAGTGTATCTCTTTACATGAAGTGTTTTTAACCTAGTTTACGTACTTAATTGGTAATTCCCTGTGTGTGTTTTGTTTTAGGCTTTTAACTGGCTTCTTTGTAATGTCATTCAAACAACTTCTCTTCATGATATTTTATGGCATTTTGTGGCTTCCCTGACTCCTGCACCTGTAGAACCTGAAGAGGAAGAGGATGAAGAAAATAAATCAAATAAAGAAAATGCAGAACAAGTATGTGAGGTTGAGAAATAAATTCAGTATCTCCCTTGATTTTTGATAATAACTTAGAAATGATTTTAGTATATGTGAAAAGGATCCTTACCCCTTCTCTATGAAACAGAACTTTAACTACAGAATTTAAATTTTTAGTATAAACTGTACTTGACCTCTTTTAATAGTCCCAGTTGAATTACTTTTTCCTCTAAAAGTATCAGATTTTGTGTGATTATGAATTCCTGTCTTTTAATGCATTAGTTTTATGATTATTCTTAGGAGTGAGGAAAAAAAATAAAAAAAAACAAATAAGTCATTAGCACAGTGCTAATCTAGTACCAGAAAACCCCACACCCCGCAACCTACTGTTTGCTTTAACTTTTTTTTGTATGAAAGTCTGTTAACAAAATACAAATTGCTTCGCATTTAAGGAGAAAGACACAAGAGTGTGTGAACATCCTCTATCTGATATAGTGATTGCTGGGGAAGCAGCTCACCCATTACCCCACACTTTTCATCGTCTACTCCAAACAATCTCTGATCTTATGATGTCTCTACCCAGTGGTAGTGCGTTACAGCAAATGGCCTTAAGGTAAGCACAAAATAAAAAAATTCTTAGGAGACTGAAAACATCTTAAATGTTATAGGTGAACAGATTTTGCAGTATAGATTCAAAGTTGAAAACATCTTTATATTTCCTGTAGGAAAGTGAGCGTGCATTTCCTTATGTGTAGGAAGATATATGTAAAATATATATGTATTTGTTTGTATGTGTACTGGTATAAAAGATTTTTAGAGAAAATATATTTCCTCTAAAGTTCTGTATTGCCTACTATTTTAAAATAGGTTTTCTATTGAGTAATATGGTACTATCTGCATGTGTAGTATACTTTTTGCTCAAAAATCTGTCACCTGAATAGTCTCCATAAGCTTTTCCTGTGTCTTGATGCTGAAGTTGCAAATTGAATAATAATGATTCTATTTTAAGTTTATTCCTGTTTTCTGTAAAAAGTAGGAACAAACCATCCTGCAAATACTTGAAGTTAAAGGTTTTTTCAATACATTTTGAGAAGCAAAAATGTAATTAATAGCATTCTTTGCTGGTGGGTTGTATCTTTTAATCAGTATTCAAAGTATCAAAATCTGCTAAATGTGTTTCCAGGTGTTGGAGTCTCAAATTCAAACAATCTGACCATCAGTTCCTGCACCAGAGCAATGTTTTCCATCATATCAACAATATTTTGTCTAAATCTGACGATGGAGATAGTGAAGAAAGTTTTAGTATCAGTATACAGTCAGGTTTTGAAGTCATGAGTCAGGTCAGTATTATGCCTCTCTCTCAAAAGCAGAGATCAACCATGAACAGCATGTAGTTCCTGTAACGATTCTGATGGAATAAAAATATCTTTCATTGCAATGTCATATTTGTTTGAGTAAATCTCTAGAATCCTGCTGATGATACTCAGGTTTTCATTATTTAACTTCAGAGGTTCAGATTCTGTCCCTTAATCTATGTTATTCATTTAGCTAATTCATTTAGTTCATTGAGTTCACTTTTTAAGTGCTAAATAGTTCCAGTTCTTAACTTGCTCACGTCTTTTTTCCTTCTACTTTTCTGAGGAGCCACAAATTAATACCTCTAATGAATAGCTCTAAAGTGTTTTCTTCTGCTCATTAATACATTTTCACATTTACCAATGGGTATCTGTTAGCCACTGGTATTTCCTTTGGTTTAAAGGCCTGAATAATTTGAACTGACTTCTTTAATTCAAAGAACATGTCTCCTAACCAGAGAGAAAAAGTGTAAGATTTTTAAGGTATAAATAGTGCCTGCATTTGGGCTTAGTTAGGGTGGTGAGGTGCTGGAATAAGTTGCCCAGAGAGGTTGTGAATGCCCAATCTCTGGAGGCATTCAAAGCCAGGCTGGATGGGATACTGGGCAGCCTTGTCTGGTGGGTGGCAACAATGCCTGTGGCAGGGGTTGGAACTAAATGATCTTTAAGGTCTTCTCCAGCCGAAGCCATTCCATGATTCCATGATTGGTTTAATAAATTTAAAATATTTTTTGTTTGCTTTCACAGGAACTGTGTATAGTGGTTTGTCTAAAAGACCTAACAAGCATTGTTGACATTAAAACATCAAGCCGACCTGCCATGATTGGTAGTTTAACAGATGGATCTACAGAAACATTCTGGGAGTCAGGAGATGAAGATAAAAACAAAACCAAAAACATCACAATTAACTGTGTAAAAGGAATCAATGCACGCTATGTGTGTGTTCATGTAGACAATTCCAGAGATCTTGGGGTAAGAGAAAAAAGAAATTTAAAATGAAAAACAAAAATGCATAATCAGCTACATATAATTAATCTTTCAAGAAACACCATGTTGTCCATCCAGTTGATTGTGTTACTTTAATTCAGAAGTTCACATTTTAAAATAAATTTTCTTTTTCCTGTGGTTCTGAAAGCAGTACCTGATATAATGAAATTGATGATGAAATGTGTAATTTACATGAACCTGAGAAATTTAATTCTTAATGGCCTGTTCAATTTCACATGCATTTTCTTGCATCTGATTATTTCATAAGATTATTTCCCTGCTCATCATTTCTGTAGAATCACTCAAATAATGAGCTTTCATAAGATACAGACTATTTTGTAGACTTGCTAGATTCTCACAAAGTACAATTGTCCACTGTGTCCTACATCAAAATTCCTACCTTTTTGTCTCCATTTGTGTTTTGTAAAGTAATAATACTTCATAAAACACAGAATTGTTACCTGTAGGGAAATTACAGCATACTTAAGTAACTTAATATACCAATTTGGTATGCCAGTAGGCCTTAACATCTCAGAACTGTATCACTGTGATAGTAAAGACCTTTTAAGTTATTAAATTTGTTTTTATAGGTCTGGGCAGTATTCCTGCAAATATATATTTATTTCAGATAGAACTTTTAATACAAATACATATAGTGAGCTATATTTTGGAATTCTTTGTCCTTGGTCTTGATCACTCTTAATTTATTTTTTTTTATAATGAAACAACTTGTATGTACTCTCTTAATGGGGAAGAAATAGAACGCTCTTTAGTTTAAGTGTTTTATTTTTTCCTTGTCTGTTGTAGAACAAAGTGACTTCAATGACCTTTCTAACTGGTAAGGCAGTAGAAGATCTCTGCAGAATAAAGCAGGTAACCATTTTAACTGTTGACATTGGAAAATTTGGAAAAATTGCAGGGTTGTTTTTTTTTTGTTTTTCTTATTTGTTTGTTTGTTTGTTTGACACAAAGCTTCTGAGCAAATATTCTCTATTTCTTATGGCAGATAAATTGTTTTGCAAATATCACATTTAATGTTCTTAGAAAATATTGTTGTTGAATAGTGTTGTTTTCTTAGAAAATACTGTTATTAATAACAGAGTTCAGTTTTCATATATACTGAATATTGGTCAAACTTTTACTCATGAACATTACTTGCTGGAACAGAAAAGGTGATTTTAAAATGTTCCTTGAATTTTTTCATTACCACAGCAGAAAGGATAAGAGATTGTGTAGAATGTTTTTGAAATAGACAATTTAGCTTGTGTTTTATAAGGTCCAACAAACTGTTTGGCTAATTTTAGGCATATATGTATCTAAATATGCCTGAAATAATTGCATAGTATACACCGTTAGATACTCAGACACTCAGCTGCTTTGTGTTGTATTGTCATTAGCTTTTGTCTGCTACATGGAATCATTTTTCATTAGAGGAGGGCAGCTTAAGGCTGAGCATAAGTAGTGTAGCATAGTGTCCTATGAAGAGAAGAAAAAAAAAATTATTTACCTTCCACACAAGCTATCTAATGTATACTGATAGCACCTATTTTCCCATCATTTTTAGTTCTCAAGTATCTTATTGACCTCCGTCCAGAGTTTATGATTCAGAACAGTATTCAGACAGGGCACTGAGTGCACCCTCAGTAAGTTTGCAGATGACACCAAGCTGGCTGGAAGTGTCAATCTGCCTGGGGGTAGCAAGGCCCTACAGAGGGATCTGGACAGGCTGGATAGCTGGGCTGAAGCCAATGGGATGAAGTTCAACAAGGCCTAATACCAGGTCCTGCACTTTGGCCACAACAACCCCAGGCAACGCTACAGGCTTGGGGTGGATTGGCTGGAAGACTGTGTAGAGGAAATGGACCTGGGGGTATTGATTGATGCTCAGCTGAACATGAGCCAGCGGTGTGCCTGGGTAGCCAAGAAGGCCAATGGCATCTTGAATTGCATCAGGAATGGTGTTGCCAGCAGGAACAGGGAAACGATTATCCCCCTGTACTCAGCACTGGTGAGACCACACCTCGAGTACTGTGTCCAGTTTTGGGCCCCTCACTGCAAGAAAGACATTGAGGCCCTGGAGCAGGTTCAAAGAAGGGCAGCAAAGCTGGTGAGGGGTCTGGAGCAGAGGCCTTATGAGGAATGGCTGAAGGAACTGTGGTTTTTCAGTCTGGAGAAGAGGAGGCTCAGGAGAGACCTTATTGCTCTCTGTAAGTACCTGAAGGGAGGTTGTAGGGAGCTGGGGGTAGGCCTCTTCTCTCCTGTCACTGGTGATAGGACTAGAGGGAATGGCTTCAAGCTGTGCCAGGGGAGATTCAGGCTGGACGTTAGGAAATACTACTTCTCTGAAAGAGTGGTCAGGCACTGGAATGGGCTGCCCAGGGAGATGGTGGAGTCCCCTTCCCTGGAGGTGTTCACGGAACATTTAGATTTTGTGTTGAGGGATATGGTTTAGTGAGTACTATTGGTGATAGGTGGATAGTTGGACTGAATGATCTTGTAGGTCTTTTCCAACCTTGGTGATTCTGTGATTCTGTAATTCAATCTTTGTAGTTCTGATACTAAACCAAATGATAAACATGTTGTTTTTATGCAGAGAACAATGCTTTGTATTTTGACATGGATGTGTTCCATCGGATATACTTAAGGTTTAAAACAGCAGTTCTTATTTGCAGCTCAGAATTTCTACCATTTGTCTTACTGACAGTGGTAAAAATTTTCAAGAAGCAGCTGTCTTAACCATGTCACAGCCTTGACCTTTGTTGAGGTAACATCTGATAACACAGAAATTCTGTACAGTGCAACTAGATGAGGGAGAGAGAGATGGCTTGTTTTGCTCTACCTTTTAGAGATGGCTTGTTTTGCTCTACCTTTTATCCTCAGGGGGCATGTAAGGTGAAGCTGCAGCTCTAAAGGATGTTTGATATCTGAATAAAGCAAACTTGGTTACAGTTGATTCATAATAAACAGTGAAGTATGAGTGTGTGGATTTATGTTCGTAGACAAAGTGTGCGTATGTACATATGGTCTATACCTTTCTCTGAACCTTGTTAGTTTGCTCTGTGTCTTTGTATGCTTGAACATAGTGCCCAGGTATTTTTCCAGACTCACTCCCAGAAGATAGCAAGACATAATTCAGATTGGTTCACTCCTTGCAAAATAGTCCTCTAGCACTTCTCCAGCAGGCTTTTTATCTTATCATGTGCCTACATGTAGTGCCCCAACTCATGCATACCCTCTATCTCATTGTATGGGAACTGCTGAATCATGACCTGAACCTTTGGTCGACCACCTGGGGTGAGCAGTGAGGCAGCTGCAGGGGCAGCCTGGGATGATGCGGGGCTGGCCATGGTAGGCGGTTCGCCTGTGCTGCCGGAGGGGGTGGGGCCTGGCTCCGCCTCTCCTGGATCCATTTTGGGAGCTGACTGCCAGTGGGGGGGAATCTCTTCTGGAGATTGACTCCACTGGAGTTTCTTACATGAGCCCAAGATAAGGGTGAGTGTCCTTCTTTCTTGCTCCAGTATAACAACTACATAGCCAAGCTCATGGATATACTATAACATCTGTATATTCATTAATTGTACACTCATGATATTAAATTAAAAATGTCGATCCTGCCTGCTGCATCACATTTCATGCAGACACAGGATTAGTAGGAATGAAGGAAGAATAAATACTAGTTTGATTATATAGAGATTTTGGGACACTCAGGTTACCCTTAGCAGTGGCATGAGGCATGGCACCCTGTCATTTTATCTCCTCCAGTGGTACCAATCATCTGTTCTTTTTACAGTTATTAAGTCCTGGCTCTCTTGAAGAGGCATCAGCGTCTTCCAAAAAATTAATATTTCATTTTCAGAGCTTTATGTGAATCAAGATAAAATAACTTAGGTACTGATAAACATGCATTATATTTTCAGGTAAATTATGGTAATTTTTATTTTTTAATAAAAAGTAGTAAATAAGCAAACATCAATTCAAAGTGAATGTCTGAATTTGTGAATTGTTGCTTAGAAAATAGAATGACTCACAGTTCCAGTTTTTTAATAGGCTTAAAAACAAAAATAATATCTGTATGTCATTGTATTCAGGAGTTGATTAATCTGAATTCACATTTTTGAATATTTATATAATTAAACACAGCAATATCACTGCTTTGAATAAAAAATGTATTTTAGACACTGCATTGGTTCCAATGTTACACAGTGGATTTGCTTTAGAATTAAGAGTCTTTTCGTTTGATGTTTCGATGTCAGTTCCCGTCTTTATTTTCCTATTTAATAGGTAGACTTGGATTCAAGACATATTGGCTGGGTAACGAGTGAACTTCCTGGGGGTGATAATCACATCATCAAAATTGAATTGAAGGGTCCCGAGAACACACTCAGAGTTCGACAAGTGAAAATTCTTGGATGGAAAGATGGTGAAAGCATTAAAATAGCAGGCCAGATTTCTGCAAGTGTAGCTCAGCAAAGAAACTGTGAATCTGAGACACTGCGAGTATTCCGACTTATTACATCTCAGGTAGGATTTTCATATGTTGTACAGTGAAATTTACTATAATTTCTGTGCTTTCAGTGCTGATGTTTTAATTTAAAATGTCACCTCTGTGCAAGTTTGTAATGGAGATAAGGTAGTTATCACTTCCTTTCTTCCAGGTATTTGGAAAACTCATCTCTGGTGATGCTGAACCGACTCCAGAACAAGAAGAAAAAGCCCTCCTGTCTTCCCCAGAAGGAGAAGAAAAAGTACACAATGTATTTATTTGTATTCTATCAATATTACATTGGTGAAAAAATTATCCAGGATGATTTTTGCTATTTGTCTTATGCACCATAGTTTTCAGATCAATACAAAAGCAAAATATTACAGTTGCTTTTTTTTTTTTTTTTTGGTAGTAGTACTAAATGTTTATTGGGGCATATGTGTTTAATGGAAACACCATACTCTGGTGACTCAAATAATGTTTACATATACAGAAGTACTTAACACCTGCAGTAATGGTCAGCCTGACAATCTTTATTGCCTAATATCTTCTTCTTGAAGACAGAAAGTGGCTCCATTGATGTTTGGATAAAAAGTATTTTAAAAACCTCACCGGTATCCTTTTAGCTAGTATACTCTCCTGTCTTCCTGCAAGGAGCTTAATAAGGAGCTTAATAAGTATGTGTTCCCTGATTCTTTTATTGCAAAATCTATTAAGTTTATAGAAAGTGAAAAGCATATTTCATGCAGTGCTCTACAAAAACTTAATCAGAGATTATATTAAGGTAGAGGACGCTAAATCTCAAATAACTGCGCTTCACTTCTTTTGCTTATTATCTTATTTTGTGCTCAAATTTCCTCTTAGTCATAAAGAGAAAAAAAAATACTAACCAGTATTAAATATTTCCTGCTTATATATCTTGCTTCTGTGCAACAAAAAGCTGCAAATTTTTAGAGCAAAGTTTGTTGGTACTTCTTATTAATTGCTACAGAAGTTAGAGTTTGTTCTTGGCATTCTTGATTTAATACTAAATATTCTTCTTATGAAGGCAACATCAGATGCAGACCTGAAAGAGCACATGGTAGGGATCATATTCAGCCGGAGCAAACTGACAAATTTGCAAAAGCAGGTTTGTTCACTCTATAATACTTTGAGTATTATAATGTTATAATAAATATGTATCTTATATGTATATATAATAGTATGTTATAATAAATATATTAATTTTCAGTAAATACAGAACTTCTTATTTGACATTACACCTTCCATTGTTCTGTGTTATCAGACACTAAGTTACATTTTGATTGTCTCCTACAGTAATAGAAAGTTTTAGTTTGTGGTTTTACTTTGTTTTTCTCAACATAAAGTAGTAAAGAGTATGTTTTTCTTTAAAATACTGAAGTTGTTTTACTGTACCAATTAACATATTTGTTATTTTTAATACACTTAATACAGTTACCATGAGACAGACATTGCAGTAAAGATTTTTACAGTGATGCAGGAGGAGTTTGATTCTGTTTGAAGTTTAGTAAATACTGCAGGTCTGGTCCCACGTTTTTATCACCCATGTTAGCAACCCTTACAGTCTCTTAAGTATGCTTTTTAACATGTTACTGGTAAAATGAAAATATGCTTTCTGAAATCTTCTCCTAGAGAGTAAACTAAACAAAATACTAAAAAGATCTTTGTAACTTTCCAGAGTGAAAATGGGCAAATTCAATATTAAATATAAATATTAATTCTAAAGAACTTTATCTAAATGTTCTAAATTGAAATCTAAATTTATTCTTAATTTCAATTTAGTAATGTTGAGAAATAATTTAAGTATGGGACAAATTTCACAGGTTTTCCATTTTTGTCATAGCTATGAAGATACTTAAAACACAAATAGTAACATTCTAAAAGTTTTTAGGAGTTAACTGTGTATTTGGATTCCACTTGCTAGGTATGTGCTCATATAGTCCAGGCCATACGAATGGAAGCAACCCGTGTGCGTGAGGAATGGGAGCATGCCATCTCTAGCAAAGAGAATGCCAACTCACAACCTAATGATGAAGATGCTTCTTCTGATGCGTATTGCTTTGAACTGCTGTCAATGGTTCTAGCATTGAGTGGTTCCAACGTAGGCCGGCAGTATCTGGCTCAGCAGCTGACTCTGCTCCAGGATCTCTTCTCGTTATTGCATACTGCTTCTCCGAGGGTGCAGAGACAGGTAAGTGCTAAGTATTCTTTATCCATCCTGGTATTCCTAGAAAAGAGTCTTTACAATGGTATAATCATGAACTTGATAGTATGTACTTGAAGTGGTGGTTTTTTGAAATGTAATTTTGGATTTTCACTTTAAAATTGTTTTGCCAGTCATATTCAGGCTATTTCACATAAGGAAAAAAATCTAAATAAAGCAACTCAATTTAGATCCAGATCAGTTAGCACAGATTTCCTATCCAAAAGCACCAAGTTTGAGTATCACAGGGAGAATTAAAAAGAAGTGAGGGAGGGTACTGTGGAAATGTAACACAATTCTTAATACCTCAAGAAAAGTATTCTCTGTTTTCAAAAGTCCTAAGTGTCTCTAAGTGTTTTACTATAGTTTCTGACATCTAAAGATTGTATACAGAATGAGTATGTAATATGCCAGCAATTTAAAGTTGTACAAACATCTGTATTTCAGAAATTTCACTACAAAGTTCAGTACAAAGCATTTTTTCATTATTATATGAAGATGAAGGTGTTTTCTGTGTGTTTTGTTTGTTTGTTTTTGGGTGTTTTTTGTTTAGTTTCTTTTTGAGTGATATTTGTTCTGGACTCTTAAGCCTTGTCTCAGTGTATTATTAACAGTTATTTCAAAGCAAGATAGAAACCTCTTAGAATTTCTTACAATTGTGATTTGAATACATAGAGTAGATACATTCTGTCTTACAGAACAATTCATAATTATTGTTTGAAAGCTCCATCTCTCTTGTTAAGAATTGTCATGTTTTGATTCTTTTTCCAGGTAACATCGCTACTAAGGCGTGTTTTGCCTGAGGTAACCCCTAGTCGCCTGGCTAGTATCATAGGAGTGAAGTCTCTTCCACCAGCAGATATAAGTGATATTATTCACTCAACAGAAAAAGGAGATTGGAATAAACTGGGTATTTTAGATATGTTTTTGGGATGCATTGCCAAAGCTCTCACTGTACAGCTAAAAGCCAAAGGAACTACTATAACTGGGACAGCTGGCACTACAGCAGGCAAAGGAGTTACTACAGTCACACTTCCAATGATCTTCAATTCCAGGTTTGTTTAAAAATACATATAAATTCTCCAGCAAAAGGTATAACAGAAATATATATTTTGAAGTCAGTTATGTTGCCTTTTATGATCTTTATTTAATAGATGGGAAAAAAATGAATAACACTGATAATATAAGTAAAGTTACTAATAAATTTTGTTGAAAAAAGAAACAAAAACCAACCTTGCACCAAATGTGTGCAGTATTTGTTTTTGTGTATTTTGACAACTAATTGAATTTATTTCATGTATTACAATGTGTCCTCTGTAGCTATATTCGGCGAGGAGAAAGCCATTGGTGGATGAAGGGTTCAACACCTACACAAATTTCAGAGATCATTATTAAACTGATTAAAGACATGGCAGCAGTAAGTTTCTATGATTTAAACGTGTGGGAGATCATCAAATATTTCTGATAATGTATAATACATTTTTTTCATTAATTTCTATTAAAGTTAATATTGGGATGAGCTGTTCAAAATGACCTGGTCTCAAGAAGAAAAACATGTACTCTTTTGGGCAGGGTCCAGGTCTAGAAGCAATAGAACTCGTGTTCTGGTTCAGCTAAATAGAAGCTCAATATTCAAATGAACTTTCAGATGAGTCACAAAAACTTACGTAATAATCACTAATTTTCTGTCTCTTTCTTAACTTAGAAATCTGACTTTTTTTTTTTAAGAGTCATGAGCACTCAGAGCTCTAATTGAAAAATAAAAGGTGTTTACAGAGTATGGTGATAGTGTTTTTTTCACTTAACAGTGAATGTGTATGTTTTATACATGAAGTCTAGTTAAAAATGCATGTTAAGCTTCTTTTGGCCATCTCTGTAGGTCACTCCAAAAGTTATGCCTCTTATTCATTTCCATGGAAACTACAACAGATACAAAGAGCTCAACAGCACTACTTGACAGAGCAAATTTTCAGCTACAAAACACTATTTTTCAACAGTCTTTACTATTAGCTATGCATTTTCATTAGTGATGGACCTGAGCGAGCCTGCATGCTATGCTTGTAAAAAAATCCATCTGTACCAGCAGAAGTGACCCAGTGCTTCACAGATGCTATAATGGCGTTAGTGGTAGGAAAACGTTGCCCATGTAGTTCATCTATCATCCTCCTGAACAGACAGAAGTCAGAAAGTGTCAAATCTGAACTTCATAGTGGGTGTGGTGGGACAGTCCAGCCAAGACCGGCAGTCTTCAATCTACTATGACATTATCATGTTCTAAGAGAAAGATTGTTTTCTTTCCTGGCCTGACTCTGGGAGTCTGAGCCTTTAGCTTAGTCAGTGTTACAGTGTAGTGATCAGACTTTATGATGGTTTGTCTGGATTCCAGGAAATCCAGAAGAATCATATTTCCTATCCCAAAAGACAGTGCACATCACTTTACTCACTGAGGGCTCAAGGGTATCTTGAGAACTTCTTATTTGATGGAGAATTCACATCACCATTCCATTGACTGTTCTTTTGACTCTGGCTCATAGTGGTGACAGCACATCACCAGTAATGATGCAACCCAAGAAACTGTCACCTTCAGCCTTGTATTGATTCAATAAATTGCATACAGGTGTTCCTTCCATTCCTGTGTGAGCAGTCAGTGAATATCAGTGGGTGCCATTTTTTCCAGATGGAGAAATTCAGTGACACACCTTTGCTCCATACACACTTCCGTGTCAGACACCATTTTGTCAGACTGTCCCGCTCCTGCACAGCAACTTTTAATGGAATGTTGGCTGGAAGGTTCAACCTCTACTGCCCTGCCCTGTCACCACCCTTCACCTCTGATATTGTGGCTCAACATAATAAAATAGGAGGCATTACTTTTAGATCAGCTCTTGTACATTTATAGCTGATTTTTACTTTAGCCATCTGGGTTGAAATTTTCCATGAGTGTATGTGTACAGTTAACAGATGTACAGTTAGAAGAGTGGCTTGGTTACAATGGTATTATAACAGGTTTACAGTTAGATAATTAAAAAATGAAATTCTCACCCATGTCCTAGCCTCATAGTAAAAATCTCCAGAAAAAGATCCTTCCTCAGTGGCAGTCAGCCCTTAGATGGAATCTAGAAGTGCAGCCAGGCTCCACCTCTTCTGGTCATACAGGTGAATTGCCTTCACCTGTGCTCCTGTGGTTGACTCTGTCCTTGCCTCAGGTGATCAATCAGTGGTTCAGGCTGTCACTCAGCGGTTCCCATACGGTACATTTCAGGCAAATTTATTTGGCTAAAGAATTTGATGAAAGCTGATTCAGCTATTTCCCAGAAACAATACTGGAGAAGGAAATAGGGTTTGTATATTTATTAGAGAAAGGGGAAAAGTAATTTAGTAGGAAGTTAGTTTTGTTTTCTTTAATTCTACACTAGTTCAGGGTGATGCTCTAAATGACCCTGATTTTCCTCTCTGATTACCCTTAGAAAGGCTTGGAAAACCACAATTGATATGTAGTTAAAAGTTTTAATTGAAACTCTTTTCGTTCTTCAGGAGTGCTGGTCTGTATACAGAATGACTTTATTTTCCCCTTCAAGGAAGGGTCTGTTGTAGGTACCAGTGTGATTCCACATGATGTATTTTTGTTTCTATTTACTTCATCAACATCTTAGGAAACTTGTAAAAAACTCAAGTAGAAAAGGAATGCTAGCTGCAAATACAAGTACTCAGTATTTGTAGTGAATGCCAGGATTAATGTGATGACTCTTGTATGTATGTGCATGTTTTTCTCAGTCACCCCACTTCATTCAGTGCATAGGCTGTAACATACATTGGGAAATAATTGGTGAGGGGAGCCAATTTTTCAGGACTTTTTTTTAATGGTTGTTGCCAGTATTTTTTGTAGGTATTATATGTATTGGTGAGAAAACATCAGGGAAACAGTGGATTCTATTCTGAACCTGGGACTTGCTCTTTTATGATCATAAACTAGCATTGCTTGTAGCAATTCAGTTTTAGTTGTAAATGTCTATAACAGTTTATTACAGTTTTTATTATCATTAAAAACACATTCCTCTTTGTCAGGGTCATCTGTCAGAGGCCTGGTCCCGTGTGACAAAGAATGCTATTGCTGAAACCATCATAGCTCTGACCAAAATGGAAGAAGAATATCGATCACCAGTGAGGTGCATTGCAACAACCAGAGTAAGAGCTTTTCTGAATTTTACATTAGTTCATTGCAAGCAAGGATTAAAAGCCCATCTGAGAGCTTCCCTATATTTTGGCAAAAATTCCATTCTATGGGAATTCCCTTATATGGGTTTTCTCAGGAAATAATGTACGCAGTATACAGCTTATGTTGTATCCCAACTTGTTTTCTTTGTGGTAAAAAGTACTCCATTAAAATCAGAATTTCGAATAAATACACTTTTGAGGTACCTCTGCCACATCTCAAGGCTGCAGTGCTAGTTGAGTCAGGTCTTAGATAAGTACTGAACATCAGGCCAGCTCTCCTTGTGAACAAACTTAGCTCTGCCATGAAGGTGCACGTTTTGAAGGAAGTCTTAGTAGAGTCATTCAAAGAAAGCCATTTTGTCCAAATGAAAACTTGGTCAAAAGTCATCTCAAAATGTAGTTGTCAAGTTCATTTCAGTTTGGATTGCAGGATTACTGACAAGTTATCCTCATGTAGCTAATCTATCTAGCATTTCACTGTAGACAGTGGAGAGAAAGAGAAAACCTTTCCTAAAATCTGAAGGACATTTAGACAACCCTGTTATACTTTATCTCAAATGGCCATTATGGGGAGAAGAGAACAGGGAAGTGAATCACACTGACCTAAGCTTTTTTGATTAGTGTATTTTGTTCTGTTTCTCTTCTCCCCACAAAATCTCCAATGCTTGGGAAAGATAAACAAGTTGTCCTATTTCTAATATATTCTGGTTGATCTTGTTTCATTGTTTCTCTTTTGCATGCTAACTACCATAGTTTTGACCATAAAGTGAGGTAATTGAAAGAAACAAATTAGTTCCCAAGAGTTCAGTAAGTTTTATTGGGTGCTTGGCTTCTTTCGGTAAAGAAAAATCTTGTATTGCATGGACAAGGCTTCAGGTGATGATACGGTTTGCAAGTAATGGTGTTATTCTTGTCTGTCAAAGTTTAAACTTGTTGTATTTGAGATTTTTAATTTAGTTTTTCTATAACATTTAATTCTATATTGCCTTTCAATAGTTATGGCTGGCCCTAGCATCCTTGTGTGTACTTGATCAGGATCATGTTGATAGACTGTCCTCAGGAAGATGGATGGGAAAGGATGGACAGCAGAAACAGATGGTGAGACAGAAAATTATGCGTTTTTGTGTCTATTTTTTATTTATTCAGTAGTCAAAGAATTTAGAATAAGTAATAGGAAAAGGTACTTGTCCTAACCTTATTCCTCCTTCTCACTCCCATGGAAATACTACATATACATTTGAATTATTATAGACAATTTAAGACAATTTAAGTTTTCTAGACAAATACTCTTCAGAGAACAAAAATTCCAACTTAAAGCAGTAATAAGGTAGCAATTCTGCTGGCATGCAGAAATAAACACCTAAAGGATGAGCTTTTGAAAATAGTATTTCAAGTAATACAATGCTTTCTATTAGAGCTTTTTGCTTTCTGGGTTTTTATAACATTGTAAAGACAATTCTTTTATATTCCTTTGCAATTTAGCTTCATCTTCTAGATCTAAGAAAAAGATCAATTACCCCAAAAAAGAAACAGTCTAAATGGATTTAGTAAAGCTACCATTTACCTGGAGGATTTACAACTTTAATATGAAATATGGTGGATGAATTGAGTTTGCCTGTATTTTTCAGTGTTGCAAAAACCTTATGATATTTTTGTATGTGGATCTGGAAAGAGAAAAGTAATGGAGCTTTCTATAAGGAGTTTGGGTTTGATGGATCCCTGTGGGAAGCAAGGGGTCGTGCCTTCCTGCTAGCAACTGAGTATGCTTAAGAGCAAATAAGCCTCAACAGCGGTTCAGTGTAGGCAGAAAGAGAATACAGGAGGTATAGAGCTGCAGCAGTAAGGACTGAAACTCTGCTGAGAAAAGGAAGCAGACACTAAAGGTTTCTGAGGTGATTAAGAAAAGGCTTTCTTCTGTAGACCTTGCAATTCAGCACAGAATATTGCTCAACTGAGAAAAAACTTGAAGACCAGAAAAGTTTGCAAAGTCATGAGCAAAGACCTATTTTTAATCTTTAAGTGTTGGCTTCCCGAAATTTTTTAGTTTTCATACCTAAAAACTTCATAATCTAATGAAAGAGGTTTAGAAGAAGAAAATCTTGTTGCTTTTTAAGAATCATGCAGTATCCCAAGTTGAAGGAACCCACAAGGATCACTAAGTCCAACCCCTGGCTCCACACAGGACCACCCAAAATTCAAACCCTGTGTCTGAGAGCATTGTCCAAACACTTCTTGAATTCCAGCAGCTTGATGCCATGACCACTGCCCTAGGGAACCTGTTCGGTGCCCAACAACTCTCTGGCAAAGAATGTTTCCCTGACACCCAGCTGCTCCTCCCCTGACACAGCTCCACAGCTGAAAAGAGCTCAGCGCTGCCCCTCCACTCCGTGTGAGGAGCTGCAGCCACCATGAGGGTACCCCTCAGCTCCTCTGCTCTGGGCTGAGCAAATGGAGGAATCTCAGCCACTCCCCATACATCTTCCCCCCAGACTCTTTGCTGTCTTTGTAGCCCCCTTTGGGCACTTTAATAGCTTTATGTCCTTCTTATGCTGTGGCACCCAGCCCTGCCCCCAGTGCAGGAGGTGAGACCACACAGCACAGAGCAAAGTGGGACAGCCCTTCTCCTCATCCGGTGGCAGCGCTGGGCCTCCTGCTCCCCAGGGTACAGTTGGTCCTTTGGGCTGCCAGGGCACACTGCTGGCTCACTTTGAACTTGCCATCAACCAGAATTCCCAGGCCCCTTTCTGCAGGGCTGTCTCTAGCCTCTCGTTACCCAGCCTGTACGTATATCCAAATTTTTCCTGTTCTGGGTATGGAATCCAGCACTTGCTCTTGTTGAGCTTTATGTGGTTGGTGATTGCCCAACCCTAAAATTTGTCAAGATTGTCAAGGCAAAGCCTCTCAACCTTCAAGGGAGTCAAGAGCTCCCTGTAATTTAGTGTCATCTGCAAACATATATAGTATACCTACAAGCCCTGTACCCAAATCATTTATGAAAGCATGAAGACAACTGGTCCTAAAATGGAGGCCTATGGAACCCTTATAGTGATTGGCCACCAACCCAACATAACTCCACAAACTATAACCCTTTCAGTCTGACCTGACTGTCAACCAATTGCTCACCCACTGCATTATGGATTAACCATGGAATGAACCATTTTAGGACAGATCTGCAGAAGAGATTTTTTGTTAGATAATTAAATAGCTGAACCAGAAATGTGGATTCCATAATAAAAAAGACTGGCTTTATGAAATCAAACTTAACTCATTTCATGTCTTTGCTTTAGCAGAAGTGTTTCATTGCCTCAGGTTTCCTGTGTTGTTCCACAGGAACAAGCAGCAGAGGATTAGAGAAACAGAACAGAGGTCTAGTTTTGTAGATAAGAGGAAAAAAAGGCAGAAATTGGAGCTTATTTAAACATGTGGAAATGTCAGAGGAGCAGCCCAGACGCAGGCAAGCAGGTATATGAGCTGCTGAACTTGTTCTGAAATTCCCCAATCCTATTTTTATACCAGGATATTCAAATTTTGAGGTGAAGTGTGTTCCCCCTCGCAGGAATGCTGTGGAATGGATTCTATGTTACATGAACAATATCTTGGAAACCACAATTTCTGTAGTACAGTGGAAACTCAAAGATTTTCATAATCAAAATCACTGAACATTGTTTTTAGAGATATTTTTAACTGTAAAATAAAAACTGTGTTGAATTAAATATATCTTGATATAGTAAGGTAATTTTATGCTAGATGTTGTAGTCTGTTGCTTTGGCTGTGTTCTCTGAGTTATGGATGACCTGCAGCTTTGATTAAGTCTTTGAACAATCTAAATATACCATATCATAGTAATTAAGGATAAATATTTTGTTTATCTATGAACTGTTCTGTTAACATGCCAATAGCCCCATGTTAACAATTTTTTTCTGTGCAACTCCGGCTGTTGAAAATGATGTCCCAAATTTATTGTAGAATACATTTGTGCTACGTCACACAATATGTAAGATGAAGAATATTGAAATACTTATGTAGTAAACTGGGGCTCTTTGTGCGCAGAAGTAGTTGTTTAGATATTGATTATTCTAAAAGTAGAATTAGTAGTCTAAAGAAGCTCTTTATCATCCATTACTAATTTGAAGGTTAGAGCTAGGGGAGGATACAAGCAAGTGCTGAAAGGAAACGAAGGATTTAATAAAGGGAAAAATATTTAATGATCTTTCTTAATTTTTTCAGCCAATGTGCGATAACCACGATGATGGTGAAACTGCTGCCATCATTTTATGTAACGCCTGTGGGAATTTGTGTACAGATTGTGACCGATTCCTACATCTCCATCGACGAACAAAAACTCATCAGAGACAGGTATTCATGGCATCATGTTGTATGTGCTGCATACATTATGTACGTTTCTCCCATTAATATATAAGCAAGTGGTAGTAGCAAGAATCAAAATGCTATTTTATTTTGAATATGGAATAGATATATTTTCATTTAATTCTTTGTTCCATTTTACTGAAATTCCATTGTCCATTATCTTTAGAAGATTTGTAAACAATGTCACATTCCCTCATTCTAATTCTTACACTACATCAGCTTTTTTTCTGTCATTCTCACATTGTCTAGGAACAGTTTCAAGAAACTTCTAGAAACTGGAGAGCCTTTCTTAAGTGTACCTTGGTTCTTTATTCCTTTTACACTAAATCTCCTCTACTATTACTATCGCATTATAGTGCTTGTGAACCCTTTCATTTTTAAGAGTTTATATTTTTTTGATGTTCAGAGGATCACTTGACAGGAAATTTTCCCACTGGTTCCTTATGACAGTCATCACTTATTTTTCAATACTTCCCTAGTCCTCATGTTGTCATTATCCATAAGCTTGAAAACTTCCTGACTTTTATTTTATTTTTTTTTCTCTTAGGGATGAAATGTCTTTTCTCTTTGACTTACCTAGCTGAGTTTTTGCACATTGCCCTTAGCTTTGCTAATTAGTGTTCTTTCATGCTAGCCTTTCATCCTATTAATGTCTAAACCTGAATGTTTACTCTTTTTAGAATATTTCTTTTTCTCACTGCAATTTACACTGAAGATGCTGTTGCTTTTGAGACTATTGAACACTTCCTCTTTCTTGATACAGCATTTATCTTTTAAGTTTTTGTCGTCATTTGTAAGTAGTCATAGGAGAAGGGAAGAATATTTGTATAGAGGCTAAAATAATAGACCACATTATTAGTTAATAAAACTAATTCTGTGGACATTATTAGTAATCTCCCTGCTGACGTGCGGCTATGATAGTGTTTTACTTAGAATCAGGAATGTGCTTTTGAAGCAGATATGATCATCCCTCCTTACCATGCTTTGATTTGATAAAGAAGCCTTTTGGGAGCTTGAACGGGATTCCTTCAAAGTGAAACAGACAAACAAAGATTCTGGCATATACTTATTGTACTTCAAATACTAGCAGGCAGTCAGTGCAAGGGATCAGCTAGTCCAGAGCATATGATGTAAATATCAGGTCACTGTTTTCCTTGGTGCCTCAGCATTTGCAGAGTATGTTCAGCCCGGAAGTTCCTTGTACATCTGTTATATACTATTTTTTAGCATGGATCTTTGCAATCCCATTTGAAATTTTCCTTTTTGGTCATCTTAAGAAGATGATTTTATGTGTCTGTTCTTCTGTCCTGTCACAACACAGTCTAGTCTCATTTATTTTTCTGATTTCTCCTATATAGCCTGTTCAGATTACAGTTGATAAAAGTAAGTTCTTATCTCATAGAAGTCCTCACATCTCTCCTTTAATCCGTCCAAAACAGCTACTTATCAGATTTTCCTATTCACCTCTAAAAGCATGTTTAAACTTTTAATCTTTATTTACCACCTTTACCTTTACATCTTTCATGTCAAGCCTCTCCATTTAAATTTTAAATTCTGTCATGTTCCCTATTGCCTGTTTTCTCTTAGCTTCCTTTTCTTTGTCCAACTTCTGTTTCTGTTATACGTACTTCTTATCAGTTTTTCCTCTCCTATTGAGAAAGGAGTTACTGTGACCTGCTTATGCAAAACCTTTGTGAAGCACTTAGAGTTTTTGTTTTCTGATTCCAGTATAAATTAAGATACATCTATACCCAGGAGAATTCTAACTTTTATTGCATTGCAGGTGAAGTGAATAAAAACAGAACTACCTTTGAAATTAAGGAAAAGAGAAAGAGACCCGTGAAGTCTAACATGGATCTTTTATGAATTTTTGATTTTGGGGAAAAGAAAAAAAAAAGAATTTTCTTGATTTTTAGCTAAAAACATTCACTGCATATTTATGTGAAAGTGATGTGTTGATATATAACTCATTATGTAGTCCATAATATTATACATAATGACCATAATTATCAGTGCTACTTTGATAAATTACTGACATGGTGATGTGAAGATATTTCTAATGTTATCTTCTGCTTTTAGTACTGTGGTCTACTGGAGATGAATATTAGTTGTGAGCTACAGTCTCCATAGATTTTGAATTACAAAAATGTTGTGCAGCTCTCTTCTTAGCATTGCTGCTCTACTGCTTCCCAGTCATGTTATCTGGAGTGTTAGTTTTCAATATTTTTACTTTTTAAACCACAAAACCTCTTCCCACTATGTACAACTTAAGGAATGTATAAATTAAAAATAGTTTGCAGTAGACAAACCTGACAAAATCTTTAAAACTTCCGATCAAAATCCAAAGAGAGAATGACAAGAATAACATAGAAATGCTATTTATTATCTGTTTGGTTAATATAACAGGTATTCAAAGAAGAAGAAGAAGCTATCAAAGTTGATCTTCACGAAGGCTGTGGTAGGACCAAGCTTTTCTGGCTGATGGCATTAGCAGATTCTAAAACTATGAAAGCTATGGTGGAGTTCAGAGAACAGACAGGTAAAACACAGCTTCTATTAGATGTACTCTTTCCTGATTATTTTTTACCTTTTACCTGAGCATTTGTCCAAAAAGAATTAGGGCAATGGTCTTGATTTCTGCTTGTAAGTATAAATAGAACATTTTAAATGTATAAAAGTTACTGTTTTTCTGGTTGGTTTGTGATTGTGTCTGAATATTGGTCACTTATATTTCATGATGATAGTAGTCATTTTTGTTTTCTTTTTTTGTGGATGTAGGCAAACCAACCACCAGCAGTTCTGAAGCATGTCGCTTCTGTGGTTGTAGGAGTGGAACAGAATTATCAGCAGTGGGAAGTGTTTGTTCTGATACAGATTGCCAGGTCTGTATTAATAAATATCAATCATTATGAGATAAATAAAATAGAAGAAAGATACTGTAGAAAGACTCTTGTTTTGAGTAAACCTTCTCCATCCCTTCCTTTCCTGAAGGACCAAAATCTGCTGATGTTGTAAAGGCTGTTAATGTAGGGCAAGCAGTGATTACATGAGAGGAATGTTAAAAATACAAACAGAACTAATAAATATTCCTGTATATCAAAATGAAATGTTAAAATGTTTCTTTATGACATTGCTGTTTAGGAATAATATTTTATAGGAATGTGAATGTATCAGTTCTACTTCATTTACACAAAATGTGCAGTTTTTCCCAAGTACTTGGTCTAGCAGTGGACAAGATGAATTGTCATTCTTGCATCTCAGTTAATTGCATGAACTAGTCGCCTTTCAAAAAGTAGCACTATCTCAACCTGTTATTTGGCAGGGAAAAAAAGACCAAATGTTTACCTTTCACAGGAGTATGCTAAAATTGCCTGCAGCAAGACACATCCCTGTGGCCATCCATGTGGCGGTGTTAAGAATGAAGAGCACTGTTTACCATGCTTGCATGGTTGTGATAAGAATGCTACAACTCTTAAACAAGATGCTGATGATATGTGTATGATCTGTTTTACTGAAGCGCTTTCAGCAGCACCGGCTATCCAGGTTTATCTTTTTTTCTCTCTTTTAAACGATGAATCTTATGGTTGTAATACTATATATGGAAGAAGTTAAAATATAAAGTCCTTCAAATGACATTCTCAAGAGTTTCAGAATAAACATGGTAATGGTACAGGATGTAAATGACTTGAAATGCTTTCATTGTTTTCTGGCATTGCTGCTATTTGAAACAAGAAGGTTGTATCAATTTATTTTTCTGTGTTTATTTAAAATGTATGGTATATTATAAATAAGAAAACAACTGAGATATTAATAAATATACATCATATATATTTCATATGCCCACTGGCTGTCTTGGAGTGAAAGTGTTATGATTCTAACAGGTGCTTAGTATTCATTCTTTTCTTTAAGAAGAAAACTAGAGGTCTTCTAGTATTTAAAACATATTAATTTTATTTCATATATGTTGCTGCTTAAAAGCAAAGAAAACTTATATTTTAGTGTTTAACATAATGTCAGTGTTTGTTTATGTGTTGTTCTTTTTCTAAAGTTGGACTGCAGCCATGTTTTCCATTTGCAATGCTGTCAACGAGTACTTGAAAACAGATGGCTTGGGCCAAGGATAACCTTTGGGTTTATGTCCTGTCCTATTTGCAAGGTAAATGAGCTGTTTTCTGCAGAGATCCAACAAGTTGCCTATTACTCTCTTTCTACTTTTTTTTCCTTTCATTTTTAATGATACATTGCTTGTTACAATATAAAATAAGTATACTTCCTTTGTTTCCTTAATTTCTCATATTACTACAGAAAGGGTGTCATTGACATATCTTTCTACTTTCCCTACTATTCCCTGAATTAAGGTTTTTCTTAGAAAGTAAACACTATGCAGACATTATCTAAATGCTATCTTATTCTTAGCACCATCTGCTTGTAAATTTGCAGTTTAAGTACTAAGGGAAAAAAGGAAAGAAGTAATCTTAATTCACACTATCTCAAGCAGGGAATCTGGATTCTCCATTTTGCTTGCCTCTTTCAAAGCTTCTTTGCTTTTCAGTGACAGGCCAGAGCCAAAGAATATATATATCACTTCAGTATAATTTATTAAGCTGTCTGCTACTCTGCAAAATCATAATTGGTATAAGCAAAAGTATGTATATAACAGCTGCTGGGAAGCATTTTAAAGCCCCAGGAATGTTAAATTTGTGCACTGTCCGGCCTTTCTGCATGCTATGTTTCTTTCTTCATGTTGTGTTTGGTAACTAATGGCAATAGCTTATGATTAATACTTAGTATGGAGGACTAAAAGGCATTATTCCTATTTGCCGAGTAATAAAAAGGAGCAAAATTAGAGAAAAAATAAAATCACATATGTCAGATGCCCTTTACCATCCCTTTGTGTTTGTTACAGTCTGTTGTAAGGGCTGCTGATTTCATATAACAAAAGGCCATATAAAACACTGCAGAAGCAAATGAAACACATCAGCCTTTTTTTTTTAGGCATCTACTGACATCCATTATGCTATTTGTGTTTGACCATAATATAAATTATTACAGCTGTTAAAATAAATATACAATATATTTTAATCATTCTTTTTTTTAAATTTCAGAACAAAATCAATCATACAGTATTAAAAGACTTGCTTGATCCAATCAAAGAACTTTATGAAGATGTAAGGAGAAAAGCACTAATGAGATTGGAGTATGAAGGACTGCACAAGAGTGAGGCCATTACAACACCAGGTGTTAGATTTTACAATGACCCAGCTGGCTATGCCATGAACAGATATGCTTATTATGTTTGCTACAAGTGCAAAAAGGTATGACACTTTCTCAAACCACTTTCTCAAACTGAATGCATGTTATTCTATCAAAAGTCACTTAAAGAACGGAGCATACATTTAATATGTTGTTTATGGAAGAGGAAAGCAGGAAAAAAAATTGCTTCTTTTTTTTAGAAAAAATTAATGTTTTAACAAATTAGATGTACATAGTATCTTAAAACTCAAAAGTTTATACAAAGTAATTTAGAAACCAAAAGCATATTGAGGTGATAGTCTTCTTAAAAGAATGTGCAGGTGATATTGTGCACCAGCCATCCCTTTGTCCCACCTCTACTTCATAATTCATGTGAACATAAAATGTTATAAACATATATTTTAACTCCGATACAGGGAGTTTGTCACTAAGCTTTCACCTAAATTTTACTTAAAATGGAGTTAATTAGAACAACAGTAAACAACAAATTTGGGGCAGAAAAAACAACTACTTGTGCAAGCCTGTTGGTATGGTTTTCCCCAGCAATAGTCTCAAAAGATGGGAAAGTATCTTTATGACAAAGAATTTAGAGGAGTAACTCTATGCCGAACTTGTGAGAAAGACACCAGGGTGATACCCCCACAAACAGTTCTGGATCCCCTGCTCTGCCATCATCAAACAGATGGAGGCAATTTAAGAGGAGGAGTGGAAACAGGTTCAGCTCAGCATCACAGGCATCACCCATCCTGACCTAGCTTGGTTCCACAGATGCCCCTATGTAATACGTTTCAGGCTCTGAAACTTGAACAAGAGGTAAGTGAGGATGAGGTGGGAAGTGCACCCTTGAGGTTGTCTAGGGTGAGGCAGTTGACTCCACACCTCAAGACTGCCTCCACCAAGAAGGACAGAAGGGTGGTGATGCCCTGCTGAGAGGAAGGAGGGGCCGTATATGTTAGTCTGACCCTGCCTGCAGTGAAGCGTGCTGTCTCCCTGGGGCCTGGGCCAAGGATATTTCTAGGAAACTTCCTGGTCTGATTCACTCCTGAGTATTATCCCTTATTGATAGTTCAGGCTGGCAGCGATGAAGTTGCTGAGGGAAGTCTGAGGATGATCAGACAGGACTTTGGGGGACTGGGCAGGCATACAAGTTTTATTTTCTTCTGTCCCTTTAGTGGCAGGGAGGGATACTGAGAGGAGCAGGAAAACCCATCTCTAAATACACAGCTGAGAGGCTGGTGCAATCACAATAATTTGTTGTTAAACCATATGGTATGGTTTAATTGGCATCTGTCCTTATGGCTGCAGATGGGTCTCATCTGTCTCAAAGGGGAACCAGATCCTAGCCCAGGAGCTGGCAGGGCTCATTAAGAGGGCATAAAACTAGATATGAAGGACGAGTGTTGGTGTGGCTCTCTATATTAGAGTGTTCTGATGTTGTTGAGGTTGGGGCTGGAAATGATAATATCTATGGATAAGGATCAGTGGGAGGTCTAACAAGGTGGACATCCTGATGGGGGTCTGTTACAGACTGCTTAACCAGAATGAAGAGAATGGATGAGGTGTTCTACGAGCAGCTGGCAGAAGTTGCATCATCACCAGCCCTTGTTCTTATGCGGGACTTCAAACTTCCCTGATACATGCTGGAAATACAATGCAGCACATAAGAAACAGCTTAATAGGTTTCTAAATGCGTGGAAGATAAATTCCTAATGCAGCTGGTAACAGAGCATACCAGGGAAGGTACCCCGCTAGACCTGCTGTTCATAAACAGAGGACTGATGTGTCAGCGGTTTATGGGCTGGTTCAGCCCAGTTCCATGACTAGTGGGGCAGAGGGATACACAGATCCGCACCTCCGGAAAGGGGAAACAGGGGATCTTGAGTAATTAAAAACAGCAGCAACGATCTGAGGAGAAACAAACTAATTTACTAAATATGGTATCAGAATGCAAGATAACGCACTATAATGCAATATAATTAGAATTGAAGGAAATAAATATAGTGAGAGTGTCCAAAAGATGGAAATGCCTCAACATAATGCTGAGGTGAGATGCACAGTTGTATCAAACAACGACGAGAGTTGAAGAAAAAAAGGAAATCAGGTGACCTTGCCAGGGGGTCATATCTCCTCTCTGAACGCAAAGTCTTCCGGGATATGTAGTTCTTCTCTTCTGGACAAGTGGCCAGAACTGCAGCATTAACTCTTTAACTCCCAGTGCACTACATGATGTTATGATGTGGAATACCGATAACCAAAAATCATAAAACCATAACATTCCACCCCTTATCCCAGATCACTACATCATGCTTAATATATACAAATAAACCATAATTACTAAACATTAAACGTCCACACACACATATACATATACATGAAATTACTAACTGCACTCCCTCAATATCAAATTCCCTTTTGGTACACACTGAACATCCCCATTTTTTCTTCACCACCACCAGGTGGACTTAGGTCCCTGGACAAAACAGTTCCACAAAGAGGTTTGCCTTTCCCAGAAGCTGAAAAGACCCAAACCACTTTTCCCAATGTGTTCTTTACATGTACCAGAGGGACCTTATCTCCCTCTACACATAAGTCTAGATGCCCTAGATAGGCGCTAAAATCAGCATCAGATGAAAGAAGCAATGGGAAACTTCTTGGTCTTCCTCACAAAAACAATCTCTCTTCTTCATCCTTTCTCCAGCTTTTATTCCAGTTCATGTTTTTGTTATACTTTGTTTCCAACATTTGATGATCACTCTTTCCCTCTTTTTCTCCTCTTGTGTCTCATTATTTCTTTTCATGCTGTATGCATATGTCTTAATGGTAACTTTCAACTGTCTAACTTCTGACTCTTTTCCTTCCTTCAGCTCCTGTTCACCCTGAATTTCTACCTAATTCCCTAACTTTCATCCCTTGGGAATATCCCTTTTAATTTGCAGCATTTGGGGAAGGGTGGGCTGCTTACATTTTTGCTTCCTCATATTCACCTTGAGACCCTTTCCCTAACCTTTTACAGTCATAGAACCCTACCATCACAGCAAAAAGTAGGGAAAGCTAAGAGCAAAAAATCTATTTAGAATTCTATTTATTAGCAAATAAGATCATAATGAAGGAGATAAGGTTGTTACTTTTCACTTCATTTCACCACTCTATGAGAAAATACTTCAGTATATGAAGGAATTCAGAGTTGGCTTCTTACCTGGTGCATTTTAGTGCTTGATGTGTCTTGCTAGAATAATATGAGAAATTATAATGGATTTATAGAAAATAGCAACGTTCTAATTACAAAGGATCCCACATGAGGATAAAAACTGATATTCCCTTCAGCTGATAGAAAGCTGTTCTGGTAGAAGGTATCTTTGCTGTCTCCAGCCTCCATCCTGTCTGTATAACATCCAAACGTTGTTTCAAAAGCCATGCTTGCAGTCACTTGCGTAGAGCATAAAGTGTTGCATGGTTTTTGATCTTGTGTATCCTGAGTTTGAGAGTTCTTGTCTGAGTACCTAAAAAATATGTATAGAATTATTCAAGACAGTGGGCACAATGGTAATCACCTTTATTCATCATTTTCCCAATAAGGTTGGTTTCATTAAAATAATAGTTGTCTGTTGTTTAATGTCCTGTTGTTCCCATATCAAATTTAGGCATATTTTGGTGGTGAAGCTCGGTGTGATGCCGAGGCTGGACAAGGAGATGACTATGATCCAAGAGAGCTTATCTGTGGTGCATGTTCTGATGTTTCAAGGGCTCAGGTAAGCAAAGAGCTCATACTGGTCCTATTATTTAATTCCAAAGAGTACGTGAGCCATACAATAATTGACTGTCATTCACAATTATATGTATTGTATGACATATATACTACAGAATATAGAAATGTATTGGTTGGATTGTTACAGCATTGTTGTGTCATTTAACAGTGTTTATCTTTTTTCTATTTAGATGTGTCCCAAACACGGTACAGATTTCCTAGAGTATAAATGCCGCTACTGCTGTTCAGTTGCTGTTTTTTTCTGTTTTGGGACAACACATTTTTGCAATGCTTGCCATGATGATTTCCAAAGAATGACAAGCATCCCTAAAGAAGAACTCCCACACTGTCCTGCAGGTAATATTTTTACAAAGCAGATTTACCTAACTAAATTCTGAAATAAGTAATTAGTTCTAATGGATGTTCTTATCTCTCGTTGGTGATAATTTGGAGGAATGTCACAATGTCGATCATACAAATTTTAAACTCTGTAAGTGCAGTAATGCTAGAATGTGTTTCCTTTATGGATGCCTTCATGTTTTTTTATTAAGATACTTAAAAATAAAAGAAGTAAACAAAAAAGAAATGAGATGTCACTTTAACATTACTTCTGATTGCAGAGTACAACTCTTGCTCAAACTTACTGGTTTCACTTCTAGATTGTGCAATTATTTTTTTCCATAGTATCAATTTGATGAAATTTGTTTCAGTTACTTCTTCCTGTAAACTTTTTGCCTTTTCTTTTTTTTTTAATTACATGGCAATTTGATCTTTTCCCGTTGGATATGTACATAATGTGTGACATAACTCATAGAGAACTAACAGTTCTTGATTGAATTGAATGGCTGTATTTCTCTTTGCCTATTAAACCTTTAGACTTCTTGCTTGAATTTGTGCGAAAGCACCTTTTTATCTGCTGTTCTTTATGAATTGTAAGGAATCAATAATAAAGGCTAAGATATATTCATCTATATATAAGTAATGGATAGTGCACAGTATTGGTGGTAGGTGGTTAGCTGGACTGGATGATTTTGGAGATCTTTTCCAGCCTTGGTGATACTATGATTCTATATTGCTTTCACTTAATATGTTTTTGAAGATCATATGTTTGTTTCCGTTGAGTCTGCAAGCACTGACCCCTCACTCCCCCCCACCTCTTTTTCCCTCTCCCTTATTCACTGTAGGTCCCAAAGGTAAACAACTTGAAGGAACCGAATGTCCACTTCATGTTGTCCATCCACCTACCGGTGAAGAATTTGCTCTGGGTTGTGGGGTTTGCAGAAATGCTCACACTTTTTAGACTTTTTAAAAAAACAAACAAACAAAAAAAAGCAGAGCAAAACAGGTGCCCTCATCCCTCAAATGTCCTAAAAATAAAGCCCAGTTGGGATGAGGATGGGACCATTCCATAACCCAGGTAAAAGGAACAATTTGCAGTGCAAGAAGGATGCCAAAACCATGTACATAATTCTTGCTGTGAGAAATTGACATTTTTTTGAACCGAGACATCAAAACTTGTGAGGTGTTTGCATGTGGCCATTACAGTCATTGGCTAGGAAACATTGAACATTTACAAATAAATAATTGCTATTAAAGGATCTGTGTGTCTGTGGACTATGAATGATGCTGGCTTTGAAAAGAAAGAAAAAAATATTGATTATTGTATACTGACTTTTTGTAATCTTGTACAATTGTAACGCATCACAAGTGGGGATGGGAAAGAAGAATATTCTGGTTTATTTCCTAGACTGTTATTAAAAAAAAAAAAATTGTGTTAGGAAGACATAAATGTAACAAGTATTATGCTGTATATAAAGGTATCAATGTTTGTCCTGTATAAGAATTAAGTTACAACAGCAGTTTCATTTAAACTTCTGGGTTATGTTTGAGCCTGAAATTTTAATGAAGTGCAATACTGAGTGTGCCTCATATCTCGCAGCTGTAAACACAATGGAATGTACATGTCAATAAAGCCACTGTACATTTTTATACAGTGAAAGTCTAACAAATGTGTAAGTCTTAATTTTCAGAACCGTTTGCTAAAACAAGGGATTTTTTCTTCATATTTACTTCAGAAGATTCTTCTAAAAAGAATGAGGAGTTCTAGGATATGGTTCATTCCATCTCAGTGTAAGAGTTGCCACCTGGATAGCTCAGATGTAGATGACTAACGTGCATCTTTATAGTTAGGTGAAGTCATCACAACCACCTCTGCAGTCTAAAATAGAAACAGTGTTTTGAAGCCTGGATATCCCAGCCTTCAGCACCAGGCAGATTTTTTGGGAGGGTGATAGGATGTGAAAAATATAAAAGGTTGATGTGTTTGAACTGTTATTCTGCCTTTGTGGCTCTGTGTTGGCTGGTAATGTCTTTCTGACTTTGTTTTTTTTTTTTTTGTAAATACATCACAAGCCCTTTCTCAAGTCCTGTGTGAAAACATTTTCTGAGAGGTAAAAGGTAGACATTGTGCCCCAAGGTTTGATAGCCATTTTTAAATATTGCCAGATATTTTCAGAGAACCACTATGGACCTTAAGAAGACTGAGTGTCTTTACTTGAAAACATACACTGATTACAGTTACACTTGAATTTTATTTTTGAGATTTTCAGCCTTTCATTTTAGAATAACAGTAGAATTAATTTAAGAAAAAGATGTTTCAGCTGGGAAAGGAATGCCAAGCAACGTGCCACATTCAGTTTATACAGAGGTTTGGACTGAGTAAGGGACAGGCAGTGTTGAAATATTTTCGCCCAACACAGCTGTCCCTCTTTGATTTCTTCTCCCAGGTACAAGGCACAGTCAAGTGTGAAGGTTAGGCTCTCAAGCAGAGCTCAGCTGCCATGCTGACATCCAGACCGCTGGATGCTCCTCTCCTATGCAGTGCCAGACACTCACGTCACCACCTCTCCCCCATGTGCCAATCTCAGCCGCTGATTATAGCCAGATGTCAATGCAGGCCACTAATCAGCTCAGCACACAGGGAGGTGGCTGTGTACCTTCCCAGCAGTTTCACATGCTTTTCTGTCAGCTACTGTTCCACAGCCCATGCAATGGAAGCACTCAGTTCTTGCTTGCACGCCCTGTCTGCTGCAGTCAAGGTGAGTCCTCAGCTTGCCTTACACATCATTCATTTTACTCACGGGTGTATTTACTTCCTCAGCACACACCAATTACAGTAAAAGTTAATTCAGCAAAATTAACCAGTCACCATCAAGGACTGACAGTCATAGTGCTGCTCCTGTAGTCAGCACAGAGGTGATCGTTCTCATGTACTCAGCTCTGGTGAGGCTACACCTTGAATATTGTGTTCAGTTTTGAGCCCCTCACTACAGGAAAGACATTGAGGCCCTTGAGCATCTCCAGAGAAGGGCAACAACTGGTGAGGTGTCTGGAGCACAAGTCTTAGGAGTACTTTGAGTACTTTGGATGCAACTGTTTCTTCAGGGTTTGGTGACTGAAAACCTTATAAACAGAACTTGCAGTGTTGTATTTTGTTTTTCTACACAGACCCCATGAGCCGTAAGTAAAAGTGGACAACAAACAGGCTCTACAAGGAGGACAAAACTGGTATGACAAATGTAGCATTTGTGGGTCACTTATTCACAGTTCCAACAGCCAACACACGGTTTGTCCTGGCAACAGTGACATCGCCAACCCACCTCTGCTCCTAAGGACCTACAGATGGCTGAGGAGCAAACCAACCTGTGAGAGCCCCATCCAGCTGGGGCTACAATAGTGGACGCCACTGGACCCTGAGCTATACCTGGAGCCCATTACTGTTCCACCAGAGGAGTCAGTCAGGGCTGTGCTTCTGCACCAAACTGTCTTCATTTTGCATGAACCCCTCATGCAGCTACCTGCTTGTAGCTTGGCTTCTATCACTGCAGCTACTTGCATGAACAAGCACCATCCTTTGGCATGGGAGGAGAATCATAGAATGACAAGTTTGGAAAGGGCCCACGAGATTATCTAGTCCAACTGCCATTAAACCATACCTCGTAGCTCCTCATCCAGACGCCTCTTGAACACTGCCAGGGATGGCAACTCCACCGCCTCCCTGGGCAGCCCATTCCAGCACCTGACCACTCTCTGAGAGAAAAAGATTTTCCTTATGTCTAACCTAAACCTCCTCTGGTACAACTTGTGGTCATTTCCTCGGGTCCTGTTTGTTGCTTGGGAGAAGAGGCCAAGCCCCTCCTCATCACAACCTCCCTTCAGGAAGTTGTAGAGTGTAATGAGGTCTCCTCTGAGCCCCCTCTTCTCCAGACTAAACAATCCCAGCTCCCTCAGCCGCTCCTCATAAGACTTGTGCTCCAGACCCCTCACCAGTTTTGTTGTCTTTCTATGGACACGTTCCAGGGCCTCAATGTCCTTCTTGTAGTGAGGGGCCCAAAACTAAACACAGTACTCGAGGTATGACCTCACCAGTGCAGAATAGAGGCATGATTACCTCTCTGCTCCTGCAGGCCACACTTTTCTAATGCAAGCCAGGATGCCGTTGGCCCCCTTGGCCACCTGGGCACACTGTCAGCTCATGTTCAGCCAAACATCAACCAACACCCCCAGGTCCTTTTCCACTTCACAGTCATCCAGCCACTCAGCCCCAAGCCTATAGCGCTGCATGGGGTTATTGTGGCCAAAGTGCAGGACCTGGCACTAGGCCTTGCTGAGCTTCATCCCATTCACCTCAGCCCAGCAATCCAGCTTATCTAGATCCCTGTGAAGGGCCTCCCTACCCTCAGGCAGATTGAGGCCACCTTCCACCTTGGTGTCATCTGCAAACTTACTGAGGGTACACTCAATCCCTTCATCTAGGTCATCAATAAAGATATTAAACAAGATGGGCCCCAGTACCAACCCCTGGGGGACACCACTCATAATGGGTTGCCAGCTGGACTTAGCTCCATTAACCACTACCCATTGGGCACAGACCTCTAGCCAGTTCCTTACCCAAAGAAGGGTATACCTGTCCAGGCCATGGGCAGCCAGTTTCGGCAGGAGAATACTGTGAGAGACTGTGTCAAAGGCTTTGCTGAAGTCTAGACAGACTACATCAACAGCCTTTCCCTCGTCTACCAGTCTGGTCACCCAGTTCCCAGTTGTAGAAGGAGGAGGTTGCTGCCTGAGGGTTGGGCCCAGTCATTTCAGCATCCTTAGCCCACAGGAGTTCTCAGCATATACTGTTTCCATCTCCTCTTCTGAAGATTCATTTCTGAGTCAGCATGCTGTGCCTTTGTGCCCGCCCGCCCATGCTGTTTATCCTTTCTGCTTAGTCAGCTGCCCCATAAAGGAGTCCCACTCCACAAAGCCACATTCCTGACTCTCTCCAGCGCTATCCTCCCCAACTTGCCAGCCTTTGCAAGAAGGAAGGTGGGCACCAAACATACTGCAATGCAAACAGTGCTTACCCCGTAATGGGGAGATGCCTGGATGCCTGCAGATTCAGATGGTTCACTGTGATGGGCAGGGTACAGTCCACCAGTAGTAATATGCCATCTTAGTAATTCCTAACAGGCTTAGAAATATGACTGGTGAACCTGAATGACAGCCCTTTAAAAGTACTTGCTCAGAGGCAGGTTTTGTCTGGACTCTGTCAAGGAGCAGCAACACCAGCAACCTGCATTAGGATGTCCATGCAGGAGCCAAGGTACCCTCTTTCACTGCCTAGTTACCAAGGCATTCAATCCCAACACAAATGCCAGCCCTCTCTTAGCAACAAACCTGTTTGGGAGTTTAATTTCACTGGCAGCATGTCAGGTCAGCCTGACCTGGTACTATCCCTTTGCAGAAGAAGCCTCGAGTACTGTTCTCAGCTGGTGATCCATGGCCTCTTTTCTGTGTTGTCACTGGCACGGCTCACCACACTCAGCCCATCTGTACTGAACTCGTGCTCAAAGCAAGGCTGAGATTACTGCATCAGAGATGCAAATTTTATTATGTAATCCTACAAAACATAAAATAGTGATACAGCTTTTCCTGATGAAGAAGCCATTAGAGCTATCCAGCTGGAAAGAATCACTATAGACTCTAGCGACAGATATATCCAGATATAGTTTTGAGAAACCTTTTACAGCAGTTCACCCCAGCTCTTACTGCAGTACAGGCAACAATACCAAGAAATCAACCTGCTGCAGGCAACACTCCATCCTGCTGTCACTCATCCTTAGTTCTATTTATCTTCTTATTTTTCTGGGCCCATGAGCAGCATCAGAAGGTCCTGTGTGCAAGACTTAGGTTGAGACCCTATGTTTAAAGGACCATTTCAGCTGCAGCTGGCTCCTTTTTTAGAAAGGGTGAGTTTCAGCTCCCGTTCTATTTGGCTTTTTGTGTGTGTGACAGATACTGTGTACATATTTTGTCAGTCCCTGGTACTGTATTCTAGCGTAAATGCTTCCTGCCTCCTAGAAAACCTTTCCTGTATGGACATACTGAAATAAAAAGGGAAGCTTCTCTAACGATATCCATCACTGGAAAACATTTGGCATAAATGAAAAACAAGCTTGTCTTTCCTGTATTTTTCAGTAGTCTATCGAGGAATGAAGTGGTCATGAGTAACTCAGACCAGGTGCACCAGCCATATCCCACAAGTCTCCCCATGTTTTCCACAACTTGTATATTCATTAAATTGGAACGGGCTACCTATGACCTTCTTGCAAGCCTCAGACAGTACCCTCATAATAGCTGGATTTGGTCTACTTAATTCTTATTTAACTCTTTTACAACTCTATTATTTTCACCTCTGCATTTTTTTTTCCCTAGCCAGACACAAATCATAGAATCATAGAATCACCAAGGTTGGAAAAGACCTCCAAGATCATCCAGTCCAATCATCCACCCATCACCAATATTTCCCCACTAAGCCACATCCCTCATCACAACATCTCAATGTTCCTTGAACACCTCCAGGGTCAGTGACTCCAACACGTCCCTGGGCAGCCCATTCCAGCGCCTGACCACTGTCTCAGAAAAGCCGCATTTCCTTTATGTCCAGCCTGAGTCTCCCCT